TAGATTTTTATTTTATGGCAGATACAAAATAGCACGCGAGAAACACTTAATTAAAAATAATGATTACAGAAAAAAATGTTAAATTCCATTCGTATGTATGAACGTATGCTGCGGTGGTGTAAATACTTAGCAATCCAGAGATCGTCGGCATGGCACTTGAAAGCAATGAGGAAGCTTCCTCGATCCTCCCGCCTCTGTCCACCCAGCAGTATAAACGGTTACGCCACCGCTGTTCGTTCAGCAGGTCACGTGTGGTGGGGTGGAGTGGGGGAAATTGCACGTACATGTACTCCCATCTGACCAACACGAAAGAGTAACGGTGGCATGAGCAAGCAATTGCAGGGCTATATCTTTACATTTGCCCAAATATAAACAAATGTATGTATGTACGTAGCCAAACGCACAAAGCAAAGGTGCGATTAGCACGCATTAGATATTATTGTCAATCAGCTGGCAGAATTGTGAATGTATTTTGTTTACAAAAAGTGCTAAAATTATCGTGAAAAAAAAATAACAAAATATACTCTATACGTTATTTATCTACAGGTACGAATTGATGCTGGCTTGCTGGAATGCGGAACCGGTGGAGAGACCCACGTTTGATCAGCTGGTCGATTTAATTGAACGACAGTGGTCGTACAGCCACTCGAGCGAGGAAGAAACTCTTCAATAGCATCGTTCTCCGAGGGGCCAGTGGTTGAGCGAGCAGATCGAGATCTGAAGGTGGAGAATGAAAAATCATGGTCGGGGGGTTGATTTGGGCCATCGTCCCTCAGGGGTTGTTAAAATCGGTGCCACTCTATGAGCAAGTGGCCCAGGGCTGTAAACAGGAGACGAACAACCACTTCAATATTCATTTGAGTAAAAATAACTTTAATGTTAGAGTATTGCATCAGCATTATGTGTATTTCAACTTTACTGCACTTGAGCCCTAGTCAGCTGAAGTCTAATTAATCTTCAAATTCTCCAAGGAGCCAGAGTCCAGTTCATTTAGAAAACACACTCATGCATTTTAATTTACTCGGTGAAGATTCATATCGGCAAAAAATGGTTACATTCTGACGTCCAAATCCGCAAAAATAGCATGCATTTATATTCTTAAAAGAATAGCGAATGTCTGAACATTTCATTCACGCACTTCATATTTTCCTCATACGTGAGCTGCCAGATGTTATGTGATGCTCTCACCGATGTGTGGGGGGCAGACACCAGTTTCAAAGGGGCCTGAGAAATATCGACCACAACAAATGTTGTCGATGAAAAATTATCGTCAGAAGGTCGACTTTGTATTGACCCATCGTGCCATCTGTACCGTTAAGCTCATGTTTATAACCCCGGTTCCTTTCGCACGTTAAGTGAAGCCAACTCGTGTCGTATCCCATGCGACAGCAGACTTACGTACAACACCTCGATTTGTGTTCCCGCCTTAACATCACAGATCCGTTGGCTGGCTCCACTCCACCCGTCCACCCTTTCCATATCGTTCTGCTCTCTCTCTGCCTCTGGCCCTCTCTCTCTCTGAATGCCTACCCTCTATCTCTTTTGCTGTGCTCATTAACTCTCCAATCCTTTATTATCTCCGCACTGATATATCTAACAATACTGGAGTAGTCTAATTCCGCCACACTGCAACTGAATAGGGCATTACCCCTGGCAATTTAAACCCATGGAACCGCCAGTGGGATTGGTCGTTGTCCAAGATATGAATTGTGAAAAAATGTAAGGTGCACACCTTCAACCCAGAAATTCACTGCCTTTAACTGTGGTAATACATTTAACATACAAATAATAATAAACTCATAATCCACCAGCCTTAACGCACGATATTGAGCATCGCAAAGAGACATCCCTCATGGCCGGGAGACGGCCTCTGCTGTAGAATGTGCAAAGTATGAATGGCTTTCATATCCCATGTCAACTATGTCTGTTTTTGGTTTAATTGCATCAGAACAGAGTGCTCTGTCAAGTTAAGTGGCTGTCTAGGCCGACAGGTGAATCAACACAGTATGGCACGTGAATATTGTTTCAACTATGTACGGGTTTTTTTTTCATAACGTTATGGTATAAATATTGACTTCAAACTTTCGTGACTGCAGGAATTCATGTTTTTATTATTTTTCTATCTACACGACTTTACCGAAAGAACCAAAGAATACGTTTACGCGTATACATTTATTTTATTTTCATAGTAACAATATTAATGCACTTAATATATTTCGAAGAGGACATTTGCACTGTAGTGATTTCTTACATTAGTTACTAATTGTATTAACATACAATATAATCACCGATGGTTACTGTAATTTACGTGAAATTAAGAGAATATAGATTCGTCAAATGGTATTTAAGCGAATGGATATATAAATTTGTACTGACATTTTATAGCTTGTCACAAAAGCATTACAGTATTAGCTAATGATGCATTACTGCTACAGTTTGTGAGTAATGAATATCGATTTATATGGTCGCAACAAGCTTTACATGGTCATTTATAAAGCATAATTTTGTAATGGAACATGATACATCTGAAACTAATGATGAAAAACATCATCGGAGTAATACATCTCATGCTGTCGTAACGTGCTTTTAATGCAACTTTTGTCTTTGTTATACAATGTATTAGATCCATAATGTGCTTGTCGTCTTCTGCAAAGTATTTCACTGATATTTTACGTGTTTTTTTTAATACGTCTATTTTCTAAACTTGTAACTGTAAGCTTGAATAGTGTCTGAGGTTTGTCAGTTTTTAATTATCACACGTTTTATAACTTCGTGTTCTTTACATTCGCGTGTTATCAACACACCACCAGGATATTAATCAGATTACTTTGATGTTTAACACCGGGCTGTTGAAAGAATATAAGTGATTGTCTAAGGTGAGGGCGATTTTACGATTTATCTCAAATGCTATGAATGGAAGTGTTATTTCAACACGTTCCTTTGGAGTGGGCAGGTAGGAACTTGGTTGGACAGCGCATTCGTGCACGACAGAAAGCTCGCGGTCACGTGACACACTTCAACCAATCCGGGAGTGTACATGTTTGGGAGTGGCTATGCACGACAGACATATAATCCCTGGTGGGCAATGTGGAACTGTTGTTCCTACCTGTAAAATAAATTTGTAGTTTAACTGACACTGAAAACTAATGGCGAGTACAGTACTGTAAACCTGTTTGCAGTAGAAATAGATGTTTGAATACACCAATGACTTGATTTTCTCAAACTTTAAAATGTTTTACTGGATATATTGAACTCTTGTTTTAAAAACTACCTTAAGTATGTTTTTCATACACTGTATCTTAGTTTTTCACAAAAAATATATAAAATGTGTTTTTCAGTTTTTTTTTATTTTTGTATCGTTAAATATCCAGTATTCATATTTTTACCAAAAAGTTGTACAATATTCAATAAACAACAAAAAATATCATCAGCTCCGTTTACTTTTTATCTAAATTTCCCTTGCAAAAATAACACGATTAATTCATGACTTCTGTGGCACATACGGTAATGTCCTTTATACAATCTCAATGCGATACGTTGCTGCTTTGGCAAGGGAGACCTGTATCCAATTTACAGGTGTAATGATTTACTCTCCTCGCGATTCAATTACCTGTCGTGACTGCATTATACTTTGATGTTTAAAAATCCATTATTTTTTAAGTGTGGTAGAGTGGCATTCAGTGGCTGGATCATGCGAGCCCATTACATTTACGAATTAAAAAAACACCTAATGCTTAGGCACTGTATTAAGTGGACTGGTATCGCTGTAATTCCACGCAATGTGCTCGGAACCTGGCGACTTGAGATCGGTCATGGCTAACATCAGTGGCGAGTGATATCTAAACCATTCTAGATTTGAAGCTTTCGTGACTGCAAGGTAAATGAGAGATTACAAGAGCTACCACTCCCTATATATAATGGTTGGAGATGGGAAGGGCCAAGTAAGGCACACCTTACCATATTAATAAAAAGTGTGCCTTACTTGGCCCTTCCCCTCTCCAACCATTATATATACGGAGTGGTAGCTCTTGCAATCTCTCATTTACTTGATACAGCTGTCGTGGCTGTGACGGTTCCACCTGAAGACGGAAGCTTGTGTTGCCTCCGAAACGTCGTGATTTTTATTTTTATTTTATTTTACTTTTATAAATTTTAATGTTTTACCTACGTGACTTTACCGAAAAAACCTAAGAATAAGATATCTAAACCAGTTCTGATTCCTCCGTTCACCAGTCCGCATGGAACAGCGTGAAGTATGAACAAACAACCTCCACCACTGACAGTTTGTGGAGGCCTTCATCCAACAGTAGATTAACGAAGTTCATATTCTTTGGTTCGTTCGGTAAAGGCGCGTAGATAGAAAAATAATAATAAAAATTAAGTGAATATAAATGATAAAAAATTTAATAAAAAAATATGAAAACCATTCATGTAGACTGTAGGCTGGTTCTTAATCGGAGTGAATATACTGGCAGTCTATAATCTAGACTGTAGCCTGGTTATTACGTTTGGTGAGTGTACTGGCAGTCTATAGTGTAGACTGTAGCCTGGTACATAACCTCGGGGAGCGTACTGCCAGTCTATAATGTCGATTTATTCTTGGTTCTTTCAGTAATAAAAAATGAAATAAAAAAATAAAATAAATCCACGACGTTTCGATCACAACACAAGCGATCGTCTTCAGGAGGAAAGAGGGAGATGTTCACCTAAGGCAGGGTCGGCAACCTACGGCTCCGGAGCCGCATGCGGCTCTTTACGGGCTGCTTCTTGACAATGAGTACGTATGTACTCAGATGCATTGCGGCTCTTGAAATACTGAATTTTGTACCGAATTGGAAAGAAATGGCTCTTCTTGTTATTTTGGTTGCCGACCCCTGACCTAAGGTAACCGTTTATAGAGGTTTCAAAAATGGGCGTGGCACAAGAGCAAAAACTCCTGCGGGCGCCACGAAGTGGGCGGGGCATATGTGCCCTGGGGTCAGAGAGCACCAATGTGAAACACGGAACATGCAGTGCCACAAAGCGTCTCCGTGTCAGAACGAAGTTGGCGGGGCACGTGTGCCCTGGGGTAAGACAACAAGAAAACGACACAAATCAAGTCACGACCAAAAGTGGTTGATGACACCTATCCAATGATTGCTGAGTTTATAACCATCCTCTCGGTTGAAATTGTGTCTGTGTCTGTACATATGGATGGCTTCATGAACGAATCGTTTTGATAGCCAATGGGCTTGCAAAGTACCATCGTCTTAGAGAAATCAATTTCGTGTGAGCCAGCCGCATTAAAATAATGATCAGCCACGGCAGAAGTATTGGTCCTACCGTGTTTCAAATCTGACTTATGCTAACGAAAAACGGTCCGAGACATGTCGCTTAGTTCCCCCAATGTAACTGCTGCCGCAGATACTGCTTAGTTTGTAGACGCTGGGATATTGCATGTCAGGAATCTTGTCCTTCACATATGGGATCAGATCACGAATTTATGTACTGTGTTAAATCGGACCTGGATCTTGTGTTTGTTCATGATTTTGGAAATATTTTTGGTTACCTCTGCTATGTATGGCAAGGTGATGGTTTTGATTGGATCCTCAGATGGCTCCTTCCTCACGGTTGGGGTGACGGCAGATTGTGTAGTCAGAATATCCATTCTCCTTGAGAGCTTGGTGAATGTGTTTGATTTCACTGGTTAGGTGTTCATGGTCGGAGATACATTGAGCTCTATGGTGTAGCGTTTTGATGACGGAATTCTTCTGGGATGGATGGTGGTGGGAATCAGGTTTTAGGTAGGCGTCAGTATGGGTTACTTTCCTGTAGACAGAATGGCTCATTGAGCCATCTGGTCTCTTTTTGATTAGGACATCCAAGAAAGGTAGCATGCCATCCTCTTCCACCTCCAAGGTGAATTTGATGGCTGGGTGTATAGAATTGATGTGATTGAGGAATTGGTTCAGAGACGGTCGGCCATGTAGCCAGATGTCAAACGTGGATGGTGTCCGTCTCAAATTTTTCCATGAAAATATTGACAACCGAAGATAATAGAGAACTCATTGGGGTGCCTTCAGTTTTTTGTATTGGTGAGGCAGTGTCTCACCCAGGGCTGGTACATCAGCATTCAATCCTTGTTGGACCAAATCTTGAATGATTGCAATGGTATCAGGCACAGGTACTTGGGTGAACAAAGAAACTACATCGAAACTAACGAGCTAATCACCTGGGGAGAGTGAGATACCAGGTGAGCTAAGTTAAGTACAGAAGAAGTGGTCTTACCAGCGAATGGCTGCATGGTCTCAGACATATCGGGCCAGTTTGTAGGTGGGTGAGCCAATGGTGAAGACGATGGGACGAAGGGGTGTACCCTCTTTATGGACTTTTGGTAAGCCATATAATCTGAGTGGTCTAGCAGCAGAAGGTTTTAAGGAAAACCGTTTGGTCTGTTCAATTAATGAAGCTGAATCAGTGATTATACTGTTCGTTTTTGTAACGAGGCTGTTAGTAGGATCTATTTAGATTTTTGTCTAGCTACCATCATTAAGTGCTGCATTTTATTGTATGTGGTTTTGTCCATGATGACCGTGGCATTGCCCTTGTTGGCTGAGAGGATGGCGATATCATCCCTCTTTTTAAATTGAGAAAACACAAAACGCTCCTCCTTACTGATGTTGCTGGCTGGTATCTTAGTGCTTTTGAGTGTTGCAGCGATTTCAGATCTTGTCTCGTCTGCAGCGATGTGTCCCAAACCCTTAAGAGCTACATCGACCTGGGCAACAATGTCATCCACTGGTATGTGTTTGGGGGTGACTGCGAAGTTCAACCCTTTAGCCAAAACCGACTTTGACCATCGGAAACTGGGCTATTATTCAGATTAATAACCTTGTCAACATCTAACTTTTTAATGTGTGGATCTGGTTTCTTCTTGGAAAGGAGGTTGAACTTGGAAATCAGGTTATCTTTACATTTAGCTGACATTGTAGTGGCTGATGAAGCAGTCATGTTATCTACATGTTCCCAATGAGATGTAGACATTTTTTTCGTCAATGTTAAGTGTGTGTAATGTCCACATGATTTAGTTCAGTACTGAGCAGTCTAGTTTCTTTCTGAGATCAGGGCCAAGCCAGCCCTGAACAAAATTCGGCATTGGAAGATGTGACAGCAGCAGAAATCCGTGTAAATGAGATCGATATTAGCTTAGAGTCACGGCATCTCTTCAGAAATGTGAGTGACTCCATCAGATGAGCTTTCTTGTCTCGGAGTTTGTTAAAAGATCTTATGGTTATGTGGAAACCCTCCTGGTGGAGGCAGTTAAATGTTGACTTAAAACTTTTCTGACTGCAGGAATTCATATTATTTGGTTCTTTCGGCAAAGTCACGTAGATAGAAAAATAATAAAAAATAAAGTGAATAAAAGTGTAATGAAAATTTAAAAAAACATTAATGTAGATTGAAGCCTGGTTCTTAATTGGAGTGTACTGGCAGTCTATAATGTAGACTGTAGCCTAGTCATTAAAAAATATTGACAAAGTTATATAAAAGTCCTGATGCATTGTGGTACATCAGCATATAGTTTATCCAATTGATATTGGCCTATGCCATGGAAATGTGAAATTTCCACAATTAAGTGTTGTATTCATTTAATGGGGAATCCACCGTCCTGATTAAATGTAAAAAGAAACCCACCAGGCTCTTAAGTGTTACCCATGGTCTTTATGCCACCAGAACAATTATCATGTATTCAAGTGCCACTTTGTAGCAAGTCAGCATAGACTGTTCCATGCATGAACTTGTCTTGTCATAAGGAAAGGAATTTCCACCAATCATTACTGCAAGCAGATCTCCACCTCATTAGGCAGGGATACGCTTTCACCGTTTGACCTGAATAATGCATAAGTGTTATCAAAATGTGTGGAATGTGTGGAATGTGTTGAAAGTGTCATTGCCAGTGCCACCCTCAGATATAAAAATAAATAACAATGGGCTATCATGTGTTTACACAACATCTTAATTATCACAAAAACAATGATACCTAAAAAGTTATTATTGTGAAAAGTTAGCATTGATTTTTATTTAGATTTAAAGCTTTCGTGACTGCAGGGATTCATCTTCTTGGTTCTTTCGGTAAAGTCACGTAGAAGGGAAATAATAAAATGAAAACATAATAAAATATTTTAGAACCAAGAAGATTAGCATTGATTGTCCTATTAAATGTATTAAATGTATAGTACTGAACACAATGAGCAAGAAGGCATTCTCACCTATACATTTGAAACAAAATATTACAAACACTGTATTATTCCGTCATGCTGTGCCCACTCCTTCTCAGCCAAGCCATGATAACGTGGAATTTCCACCACTGGGCTGTGCACATAGACAGCAGGAATCCACCCTTACCTCAGCACCTAAAACACAAATAATTGCACAATAAATCACAACCCCATTCATTCCGCATTACACCTTCCCGTCACCCCCCCCCCCCCCCCCCAACATTACATTATTTTCCTCCACCACTCACGTGTCAAGAGCTCAAACGCCCTACCAGCAGTAGCAGACTGCATTACACACGAGACAATGTAATAATAAACCATTATGAACTCACAATACACAAGTCAACTGTGTTACATTATTTGTTCTCATCAGCCCAATCATGGGGATTTCCACACCCATCTTAATCCAGCAGGACGCCATCCTCACCTCAGCACCTAAACAATATCAAATTATTATAGAAAATCACAACAACCAGGTCTGATAATTGTGCCTTCATCAGCAGTCATGGGAATGTGGAATTTCCACACCCATCTTATCCAGCAGGCAGCCACCCTCACTAGAGCACCTAAACAACATCAGCATTATAATCGAATGATTATACTATGTAACACAATTTTGTCCCTGGGTAGTGTTATTTATTTGTATTGCTTATGCCTATAAAGTATGGAAAATGGCTATTATTCCCCACAAACTTTGCTTTTGTGACCAGGACTTTATGTGAAGGAATGACACAAACGCACACGTTTTCTCATTGAAAATAGGTACATTTCTAAATATCAATGTCCTGGTCACAAAAGCAAAGTTTGTGGGGATTAATAGCAATTTTCTGTACTTTTGAGGACATAAGCAATTAGGAAATAACACTTACTACCCAGGAACAAAAACAATTGTTATACAGTACAGCGTTATTAATGGAGTGGATTCACTTTGCGTTTGAGTGCTGGTCACAAAAGCAAAGTTTGTGGGTAATAATAGCCATGTTCTGTACTCTTGAGGCATAAGCAATTAGGAAATAACACTTACTACCCAGGATTTTTTTTTGTCACAGTGTTATATTTCAACTCACAAGAACACCCAGGTTGAATTGTCATCAGCACTGTAATGGGAACGTGGAATTTCCACACCCAGGCAGCCACCCTCAGCAACAACATCAACTGATTACCCACCACACAAAAAATAAAACAGAGACCAACAACCCATAGAGTTTGTGTTGTATGTGTTGTGTGTTTGCTGCTCACAACCTCTCACCCAACCTCTGTCCCTCCACTCACAGCTGCCTCAAGCCCCAGTGGCAGCAGCAGCAGCACGCGGGCGCTACCCACAAGGCAGTTCGCGCAAGTTTCCCTCGCAGCCAGCAGCACCACCATCATCACCACCACCATCATCATCACCACCACCACCACACACCACAACCAAACACCATCAACACCACCACTCATGCGCTCCACCATCGCCTCCCGCCGCCTCCCCGCGACCAATGTGCCGCTGCCATGAGCGGCGGAGGGGGAGGAGGTGGCGCCGCCGCCGCGAAGCCACCGCCGCCGACACCGCAGCAGCAGCAGCAACAACAACAGCAGCAGCCGCAGCAGCCACAGCAGCTGCTGCTGCCGGCCAAGCCTTGCCGCTACTACGCCAAGGACAGGACGTGCTTCTACGGCGACGACTGCCAATTCGTGCATGACGATCCGGACGCAGTCAAGCCCGCCGAGGCAGCAGTAGCAGGAAGCAGCAGCAGCAGCAGGAGCCGTTGTCGCTGCTACCGCCGCCGCCACCGCCGCCGCGCCCATGGAAGGCGGCGGCCACTTCTTGCAGAGTAAGCGACGGAGGGAGGATAGCGGCGATTCGTCGTAATGTCCGCCCCCCTCCTCCTCTCTCTCTCTCGTTCGTTCGTCTTCCCCCTCCACCATTGCCCCCCCTCCCCCTCACCCCCCCCCTCACCACCCCGCCCCTCACTCCCCCCCCCATCACCCCCGCCCCCCTACACCACAACATGGCGCCGGGAAGACCCCCTTTAGATCTCGCAGCGCGGATAGGCGAGGGCGCCTCCACGCGATTGGTCGGACGGCCGCTCGGTAACCAATGGGAGGGGAGCGCGCCAGGGGGCACGCACGCCGCCTAGGCCAATTGGAGCGGCGGATTGCTCGCGGGGCTGCGCGTGCGGACAATGGATTTCGAAGCGGGGGGCGGGGCCGGGGGGCGCGCGTGTTTTCCGCGTGTGTGTGTCTCTTGTTATTGTGTGTGTCTGTCATTTTACAAAAAACAACGTTGTGCTGTTATTGAATATTGTTTCGGTGAAATGTTTGTTTGTGTTGCGGTTTAAATTGCACCTCATTGTGGATTGTCCCGCAGATGTTGCCCCCCCCCCCTTTCCCACACCTTAATCCGAAGTAATAGAGTCGTGTTGTTGATAATGGTGGTGGTAGTCGTGGTAGTAATGGTGAATGGTTATGGCTGTGGGTGAGGGTTATTGAATATAGCAGCAGGGCCTCTCCTGGGCCTTCTGTTGCCCAGCATGGCGCACGCATGTAATGCTATCACTTGTTTACGTTTGTTTATTAGCGCTATAAGTCGAAGCCTTCATGCACAAACGAGTAACTTGACGAACAGTTGGAGGAAATAGCTTGTATTTACGTGGAAGTGACCATTCCTGCACGTTGCAGCTACTGTTATTTGTGATTGCAATCGGCTATACTAGACTGGGATGGAAACTAAAATGCAAATATAATCACGAAAATGTGTTCCCTTGGTGGTGTACAAGCTGTTTTGTTGGCGATCCGGATCCCGTGGTGAAAATTCCACCTTCCTGTCACTCAAGACTAGTGGGCCCATATGGAAACCATTGTTTTAGGGTGCTCTTCCAAAACTGCCGTACTGTGGTAGCAGTTAAAATCTCCCAAATGTGCGTATTAAATAATAAAACAACTAGTGTTAACCTTTCCGACAAACATTTATCGGTGGTCCCGAGGCCTTGGTGAAAATACCACGTCATTGGACAGCCTAGTCTGTCTATGTGGGAATCGCTTTTATCATCAACAACCATTGCATATCCACTGCTTGATGAAACCCATTCCTCCGGGTAACACGCAGCTACAATCCGTCGGCACTTCACACAAACTGGTCTTTGTTGTCCACCTGAACGTGTTCTCTCCCTTGGCCGCATTCCGTGTTTAAATCTGGCTCCCTCATCCGGCCATCCATCCATCCATCACCTCTAGCCACCCGTGTCTCTCGCTTACGTCCATTTACTTTTATTCCAATAAGACGTTTCTGATTTGTATTTGTTACCTTCATCCGTGCGTGTTTATTTTCCTTTGTGTGTGTATCTCCAATTCCAAGAATGCATCTCGCTGTGCTTCTTTGTACACTTTTTTGCAGCTTTTGTTTCATTTCCTTTGCCAGTGTCCACGTTTCTGATCCAGTTTCGTAGCTGGAATTGTGTACACTGAGCACTTAAAAGTTGCTGCTATGGCGGTCCTGAGCCATCGGTTTAAGTTGCACGTTCATTCGGTGGGTTCCAATCTGTCCGTCTGACCACCACGATTGTTTATAAAGCAGTAAGAGTGATAGTGCGGAATTTCTTTCCATTGTTTTGGGGGACTACACTTCATGCCAACCCATTCCAGTTCACATGGCATTGTCAGCAGTGCACATATGGTACAAGCAGAAACGGAAACAACGTTGCCACCATGATCACTGATAACACACTCGTGACTAACATATGTCGGTCATGAACTTAAGTTTCGAACATTGACTTTCACGACGTATAGCTTGCACTGTATGCTGTGTTATTCAGGGTAACACGTAGGCTTTCACGGTCAATATCCATACGGTTTTTTTGAACTCCATAATAGAGGTATTTAAGACCGAAACATGAGGATTGCCCCACAACTCTGCTGTCGCTTGATGATGCTAGTTCTGATTACTGGCGAAACGTCGAACTCGAATTGTAAATGTTGAGGGTTTACCTGAGGGTGCTGAACTAGTAGAGAACTGGCATGTAATGTTTACATGACAAACCTTACTTATTGGCTGTGTCGGGTGGTGGCGGGTTTAACGACACATTTAATTTTACGAGATCTAACCCAAGTTACAATGCAGTATCGTTAGTTTGGCATGTTTTCATTTGCAAGCCATTGTTTAACGACAGCACTCGTAAAACGATTTCTGTGTGCGTGTTGCCAATGCAGTCCCATGTGTTTCGTGAACTGAGAAAGGAAGGACGTCATAAACATCTCACCCCCCCCCCCTTCTGTAAATAATTAAATTATTTTTAATGCTTTTTTTTCCCCTTTACCACCAATTACTAAGTACATAACGCTTCACAATCTCCACTTGCCACGCAAAAATCAAGAGTTGGCGTCAATATCTTGCTATTGTCACGCATCACACGACATACGCAGATTTTTTTTTGCCAACCTATTGCTGGTTGATGGCCTCCCAACCATCGTGTCACGCGTGGCACCGCTGTTGTTTCACTATACTTCACGCTGATCATCGTGGCTCAGTGAAGGCAGGTAGCATAGATGCAGCAGCATAGACGTGAAAGTATATCGATACATCTTCTTCCACTCTGCGACTCGTGTAGCCTTGGAGTGGACTTACAACCCTGCTGTTCATAGTGGCCACCCATCCTGGGTTGCTTCGGATAATAGGCGTAACCATACTATCACATCACAATGTGTTCATTAATGACTACAATACACTGACCTAAAAATGCTGGGCTAATTCATGGATGGGGTGCCTCAGTATATATATTTTCTTTGCAAACACCATTTTTATAAAGGAAATATAAAACAAAGGTGAAAAAAATATATACTGAAAATTGGAGGTAAATTCAGGAATGCACAATCCAGTTCTCCATGAGTTACTTTACAGTAGCAAGCGGGGACTGACTTGTGCGTCACGTTCCTGCGTCGCATTGAGATGCAGCTAACGACAAGTCGGCATTACTTTGTGTGATATTTCATTTTAGAGGTTGTAGAGTGAGATTTTTAAATGTTCACATTTTTTTCGGAACATTGTGTCCGGAAACCTTGCTGTATGCGGGACATTGCATATCCGTCCACTATTTTGAGGATACGTGTGAACATTTTTGCGGATATTGTCAATCATTTGCTTTTGCTTCAATCAGCTGTCGTGTATTTGTATTTGCATGTTGGTATCACCATTATTGGATATAATATTTGCAAGATGTGTGAACTTTTAGAAAATTGTGCAGCAAACATGAGATTTAATATTGATGAGATTGGAATTATTATGCTACATTTGCGTAAATACTTACATAATTTTTTACACTAAATATCACAGGGCTCTTTTTTTATATCTTGCATTTGCATATATTTTTACTTTTCTCTCGTAAATGAAAGTACGTCAAGATGTTTAAAGTGTGTGTTTACTTGTGGTATATTTATAGATTGGCATATGGTGTTGGAATGCAAATTATTTTAAATATGCATTTTTATATTTATGACCAAATCACCCAGAATTTGCATGACCTTGCCAGATCACGGAGTGAAGTCTGATAGAGCTTTGGATGGGTGAACATCACGCACAAACAGGTTGTCATGGGTGCTGCTGCAGGGCTGACATGGTGGGCAGCAAAGCACGGTGCAGCAACATCTATACATCGACTAAATGTCTATGCTCTATGACTATGATCCCTACCTTCCTCAAACTACGCTGACCATCTTGGTGCAGTATGGTGAAATAAAACCCACAACCCTGACAGGATTTACAAAGGGCTACACATGTCTGAATGGTATTTGTAAAAGTGGTAATAGTCTAAATGTTGAGAATTAGTGGCAAGCAATGGCTTTATGTGCATTTAACTGACGTGAAGGTCCTGTGTTGGCCTTGCTGTGTGTGTGTGTGTGTTTTAGTCCCATTACTGGAAGGTGGAGGAGTACCAGATGGGAATCTTCCCAATTCCTTCTTCAGCAGCAGTTTTATTGGCGTGAATGGTTTTGGCGGAGGAGGGACCGGAGACGCCAAATTCCCCGTCATGGCGGTATCTCTCTTCTCTTTCTATTGCATCTCGACAACATCGAACCTCTGCTGATAGACATTACAGTCCTTTTCAGCACTGACATTTTGTGAATGCTGTGATTTTTATTGGAACATTTTTTTTCTGGCTTTTCGATGAAAGTTTGTTTTTGCAACCCAATGTTTATTTGTTTACCTTTGTATTAATAGGCACATTTCTGAGTGCCTTTGCTCTATTATGACTGTGAAACATTCATGTTCTGGCAAGGATATGTGTGTCAATGCAAAATATTTTCGGTTAAACTGACTTAAATGCAAATGTGCACTTTATTCTTTGATAAACTTGAATCTGCAGTTTTGTCGTGCTTCTAACTGGTGGAAAAGAAAGCAGAGGTTTATTTTGGACTTGAGCATTCATCATGACAGTGGGTGTCTGTTATTGTTTGCATGAAGTATAATTGGATAAAAACCATCGACCAACTTGTATTCTTATTTCCCACCATGCTTGTACTGTAATTGTTCTATACTTGTTAAGTGAAAATAGCTTCATTATAAGTGAAAATAACTTCATTTTAAGAGGTAAAGGAAAAGCTGCAGCCCTGCAATTCTTCGCTCATGCCACCGCTGGTGGAAGGGCCTCTCGGAGAGGGAGATCTAGGGTCTTGTTTAGAGGGTATTTGGCCTTCTTTTCCACACTCGCCAGACTTCTTGGAAGCGATGGGAGTACCCACACTTCATGATTGTGAATACAAATGTACAAATTGAGGATGGCCACTGCTTGGTGCGTGCCTCCCTTGCTATGTTTTAAAATAGAGGCTCTACCAGCTCCTGTGTGCCAAGAAATTTGATTTCATTGTTTCGTCTGCAGCGAATGACAAACAGCAGTAGTTCTCCCAGCCTCACTGGAGACAGTGCCAAACTCTACTCGCCTTCAGGGCAAGGTACTGCACCAGTTTCCCCCACCACAACATCAATATTTACCAGTGCTTAATTCACACTTTAATGAATTCGTCAAATGTGGGCTGCATGTGTTACGTCTACTTGCGCTCGCGCATCAGTTAATAAATGCTATTTTGTGGTCGCAAATGATGGTGCCCTTATATATGTTAACCAGAACCTAACTTGTGTATTTATCGTCAATATTTAACGATGCAATAACATGCATTGATCAGTGCGTGTAAAAATAGCTTATTTTAGGTTTGTGTATGTTGTATGTTATTGGTTTATTTGAACACTGCGGTAACTAATTATTTAGCGTATCTCAGTGGGACAAAACCCATTGATTCTTGAATTAATGTGCGACTCAGAATTGTGACTGCATCAAATTGCGAGGGTTACACAATTGTAAGTGCCTCATGCACGCATAACAATGTATGATACATTTTACGGTGTCCTTTTTCATTTTTCTCAACAGATTCCATAAACTCTCCAAATTCATCCCTTTTTAGTGACTTCTCAAATCTCAACCTATCTGCGCAGCGGAGAAAGGTGCTTAGGACTCTTATTGACTGTGTTTTGAAGAATAAGCTTCATGTTTTGCATTGCTGTAACTGTAATACATTTTCACTTGGAGGAAAGTAATTTTCTGACTCTTTGTTTTTTTTTTCAGGAAAGCTACGTAGATAAAAAAAATTAAATAAATTTGTACCTACGTGACTTTGCCGAAAAAAACAAAGAGTGTGAATCCTTGCAGTCACGAAAACTTCAAATCTAGAATACATTTTCTGACTTTATTTCCAATTACACAATGTGTTCCATAACCTTTCTATTCCACCTCTCTCAAAAGGCATAGAGGTCTGTTGCCTGTCGTGGCATAAACACTGCATCGGGTTGACCTTTTTAGATTAGCTTGACTTTAGAGTTTTTTAAATTCTAATTATTTTCTTTGAATGTGCAAAGCACACTTTGAAATGCACAGAAAAGCACATAAGTAATTACATGGCCATGGTGTTCTTTAAAAGACTAAAACGATTCAGTCTGTTGTTTTGTTGATTGTGTAATATTACTGAAATTATTCATTTCATGCATGCACCTCTTTTTAGTTTGTATGTAATAAAAAAGTTTTGCCTTTGTAAATGTTTGCTGATATTTTCTACACTTATTCCACAGACGCCAAACCCAACAGCCTCTGAGTTTATCCCTAAGGCTGGATTGGGCGCAAGTCCAAGAATGAGCAGCGGAGTGGCCCAATCGCCCATTGCAGGACCATTCTCTCCTGCAATCACCCTGACCCATGCCATGACAAGCCCTTCATCCCTTGCTCCGGGTAGGCGCTTTGTGCTGATTTTTACTGCCTTTGTTGACAGTGCTGAGCCATTTGTCAAAATTACTCTCTCGTTCTTTCGCACAGGTGCTACTATTCTGCTTGTATGACAGATCGCATATTATATAAACCTGAACAGCAATTTAGTCTGTGCATACTTTTTATCCAATATTTACGAGCTTAAGAGACGATATATCTGGCTTTAGTTCAAATGGTTTGCCTGTAAGTGACCTCAGGACATTTTTTAATTGTGTGCTTTCTCTGTGGACACTTGTTTATTTTCTGGCTTGTCTTCCAATGACAGAGCGGAGACTAAGGGACTTGAGCACATCCCACTGTTCAGCCGATCCGGCAAAAGGTAAGCCCCTCGGGTTTTTTTTGTTGTCTTATGCCGAGCTGTAAAGCGTACCTTGTGCCTTTGTGTGTTTTGACACAGGGCTGTCTCTCTCAGCTGGATCCTCCCCGCTGCATTCGCCCAAGGTCACCCCGCACACCTCTCCGGCGGCACGGCGCCGCAGTCACACGCCCAATCAAGTCGGCTTCTCCATCGGTGGCGGAGGAGGAGGCGGTCCCCATCACCACCACGGCCACGCCAACCCGCACGCGTTGACCCACGCGCACCAGCACCACGTGCACCAGCACGCTGCCCTCCCGCAGGGCCACGCGGCCCACGCTGGCCACGCGGCCCACGCGGCCCACCCTGGCCACGCGGCCCACGCTGGCCACACGGGTCACGCGGCTGCTCAGGCGGCTGCTCACGCGGCTCATGTTCAGGGCCACGGCAGCCACGCTCCGCATGGTCACGCTGGCGCGGCCGCCCCCGTCCCGTCCACCCAGAGCTCGGCCGTGGCCGACCCCCTGGCTCAGGCAGCGCGCGTGCAGAACGAGACTGTTGGGGGCACCACCTACTTCTTCACCGAGCCGGGACTCAGTCAGCACTCTGGCATGGTATTCCAATTCACTTTTGTTGTCATTGTCAATATTGCATTTATTGTTATAGTGCATAATAATCAACCACCCGGGTGGCTCCTTGGTTTGTGTGTGCGACTTGCAGTATGAAGGTTGCGATTTTAATGAGTACTTTGTGGGAATTCAACAGTGAAACTTGTACTGTAGGAATGTGTAATTTCTAGCACTGGCTCACGGTAATGAGCAGGGGATGAGCACTACCCCCCTGCCCATTTTTAAGGAGAAACCCCTTAGACTGATATTCATTTTTCAAATGATTTAAGCAGTTTGGAAATCTTCTGGCATGATTGTAGCGTGTATGTAATGGTTGTTCACCGATAATGTTGCTGTGAATTACCCGTAGCAGAGATTACCTCGGCAATGTTTTTGTTGCTGTTTATAAGGGTATACGTGATGTGTAGCAGACAACACGAGAGTGCTACACAAATGAGACGATGCTGTGGGGAACCATTTGGCTTTTTAAACACAATTGCAGCACGCTCGATTTAGAACCTACAGGACAGTTGCTTGTAATTCAGTACACATTGCCTCTGGAGAGCTACACTGTTTACTCTTTTAAGTGGCATTCCCTGGGTGGTTTACTTTTCTGCACAGACATTAATAAAATTAATTAAATCGTTTTATGTGCCACTGTTTTCCTTTGGGGCCAAGATTTACCTTCAACGTGGAAGAGAGTAATAACAAAGATAACGTTGTTGAAATTGGCCTCAACTCGGCAGAGAGTGATAGTTTAATCTTTTAGTAACTATATTATTTGGTTAATCGCAGCCATGAATGAGATAACATACAGTTTTGGTTATAACTGGAGGAACTTGATCAAATGTCATTTTGAAAGTGGCCTGACAATTGTGAAACATGCTGGAATGTGCAATAGTGATACCACACTGTGTGTGGGGGCAGGCGGGTCTGGGTGTGCGCCGCTACTTCTCCTTGCCTTTGTTTACAAGTCTTAGTTTTTTAATGTCCTTTAAGGGGCGACAATATAAACACATAAGACACTGTTCCTGGCTAGGCCAAGTTTCGTCACGTATGTGCATTAAACCCCACGAGCGGGGCTTTCTCCCAGGAGCTCACAAGTTCATGGGCGCACCGTATTTTCTTGTCGGGATTCAATGAGACGGTGCGCTCTACATTTCTGTACTCAAATCTAAGGGACAGCTTGTTACACTGTGTTAAATATGTTTTTTTTAAGTGATGGAATTTAGCTTGCCAATGACCAAATCACCTGGAATGTACGCAATCTTATCAGATTTCGGAAGCCAAGTAGGATTGAACTGTAGACAATGCTTGGATGGGTGACCACCAAGCACAAACCAGTTGTCATAAGGCTTGCAGGGCTACGTTGGTGGCCAGTTGAAGGCAGTGCAGCAAAGTCCCTTGTTGGACTGTACTTTTGTGCTTCTGTGTCTATGCTCACTACCGTCATCCCATACCAAAGAAGCGTGGTGAAATATGTCCAAATAACCCTCACAACTTACACAAGCTGGACAAGGGAAGGCTCTCATTGAGCAATGGACTGACAAAAGGGCTGTGCATGTGACATGTACATTAAACAAAAATCGATGCTGGGAAGCCTGTATTCTTGGTGGCACAGCTGTTTGTTATAATCCATATCTCGTGTAATATAATGTGTACACAGTATATAAACATATGTGCTCTCTTTTAGTGCTGGTAAAGGTAGTTCTGATATTTACATGGCATTAATCATCATCTATAATGAATATTTATAATTCCCTTTTACCTTCATTTTGCCCACAAAACTCACTGAGTGTCAAGGCTCTTATTCAGGAGGGTCTTGCATTGGGATATATTACGAATTCTGTTCATGAGTGTTTTGACTTGTGGAAACAGACTGGATTATCTCTCACAAGCACTAGTACAGCTTGATTGAATGTTCACTCACACTTACTTAACCATATGGTTGTATTGGCGGTGCACCGGTGCAGCATAACACACCGGTCCTCATAAACTGTCTAAAATCTAAATTTTAACTGACATTCGTCTTCCGAATGCTTCGACATCACGCAAACCGATTTTAGCACACCCCACAAGATTTTTTGACGGGGGTTGCGAATCGCAGGAAATTTATAGCTAAAATGTTGCTTTTTTTTATATCGCGCACTGGTGTACCGCCAATATGTTCATTTGCGTAACAGTGAATTGTTGTTGGCAGGTTTTCCCTTCCTATCATGTGTATCCTTCTCCCTCGGCGCAAGTGGCATACATGCAGCCCAAGGCGAATGCCCCTTCTTTCTTCATGATGGACGAGCTGCGGCAGGTGTGTTTCACTCTTCTCACACGATGGCACTAACCTCAACGTCGTCATCAGCATACCACCATAGAAACTTCAGCCATTTGAAAATATTTATAAAACACACACATTGTTATCATGAGTTTGTAACAAAAAAGAATCAGTTTTGCGATTGGATGACTCTCATTCAAGCACCGGTGGTGGTTTGTACTTTTTTTCCACACGCCGTGGACGGTAACTTTGCAGTCGATGATGGTTCTTTTATAAGCAACAGTGCACTATAGAAACTAGTTCCTTTAGCAGTATGTTACGCTGTATTGCTACTAATTTGAACAGTGCCCTTTAAAAACTGTTTGAGAGTTTTTGTACTTAACTGGCCTCTTCCCTCAGGACATTTATGGACACCTAATTTCCCAATAAGTGTTGTTGATATTTAATAACCTTATGAAAACACAAGCAACATTGCCCTTCATATTCATTGCAAAAGGTGTTGGTTTGGCTTATAAAACTGCCAGCAACAGGCCTCGAGGGTAGGAACTTTAGATCCATCACAATTTAAACATGAAATCCGCTGCTTATAGTATCTTGAGAAGGCTTCTGCACGGCCAAAATTACTATGAGACACTTTTGTAATATGGTGAATGTAGGTGGCCTGTGATAACGTAGGTGTAAAACTATGCTTACTTAGTGTTCGCAAAAAAAATCATTGCTTATTAATTTGCCAAACCGTATTTGCACTCGCAGCGTAGTTCTCAAGAGAAAATTGTCCAATAGTTCAAACAGAATGTGTACATTTTTATTAAATAGGATTTTTATTTTTGGCAGGATCTAATCAACAGACATCTCTTAACCATGGCTCAGATAGACCAAGCTGAAAACCCGGGTAAGTGTTTTTTGCCACGCAAATCCTTTGAATGTACTGTAGCAAACGTAATATTTTCTTATCTTTACCCTTGCAGCTTTCATGTTATTGGTTTTCATTGCTTCATGAGTGTACATGTGTGCGCCATGAGGATGTCTGATTTTACTTGGTTCGTTGCATTGTTAGTTGGTTTGGAACACTGCACATCCTTTTTTGGCAGATGTGACCTTTTGGTCAGTGACCGATGCCTGATTTTCATGTCCGCTAATGTGGTTACATTGGGCAAGCCTTCACGCATCAAAGCATAGTTATTGTATATAATTTCAATTTAAAGTGGCCTAGTTCCTAAAAATCAGTCTTGATGTGGACGGTGATTTGTTTGCAAGAAAGTGTTACATATATAAAGCAAATGTGTAATAAAAAAAATCACTTGTGTTTTGTGTGCCCTTCTGCACTGTATGGAAGTTGAAGTCGTTTTCAGATTGACATTTAGAAAATAAAAATGAACAAAACACGATTGCTTAATCAAAGGACAATGCATGCCACTTTCGCGTCCAGTTTTATTGCGTGGTGTACTTGCATATAATTGCGGAACCCATGGATATTTTGCATTCAAGAGATGGTACAATTTCTTTTTAAATAGGTTTGAAGTCACAGATTTGATTATAATTCAAGTTTTAAAAAAATGGTGGTACTTTGTATAAACCGTCACATTTATTGCCCATAGTTGCACTTTAAAAGCTGATTTCACATCACAACATTATCAAGATTTAGTCCTAACCTTTAAGTTTCAACACATCGTTGCACATATAATATCAGTTGAGCATGCCTCATTGTGTCACAGTCTCCAGGCGAGAAGTTGCATATCAGACGATATTGCTAAACAACCATGGGCTCCCATGTTTTCCATTTTCAGACATCCCAGCAGAGGTGGACAACTACCACAGTCTGTTTCCACTGGAGCCACCACAGACGAACCCAATGCAGAAGTCTGGCACCTTTGGCTACACCACCACCTGCTACAAGGCAGTCAGCAGCAAAGATGGCATGGCTTACTGCCTGCGTCGAATTCACGGTGAGACGTTTCAAGAGTTCCGCTGAAATCCATGCTCGGAGACAATTCGTTTGGAGGCAGAGGTTTTACCAGCTTTGGTGTAAGATTATGCATTGACAATATGCGTACACTCTAAAATTCATGCTAGGATTCTAGTTTCCATCTTAATAAAACAATAGCCTCAAGCACATAAAGACTGTCGAGCTGAGATTGCATCGGTACTTAATTTTTTGGGTTTCCAGTTTTATATTTTCTTCTGACAATTAAATATTGTGCATGTTATAATTACATACAAATGGCCTGTTTATGAACGTGTTCTTTTCTAAAGTTAGTATATTTTAGTGTCTTTTTTTGTAATAGCTTTGCTTGCCAATATTTAATTTATATCCGTAGATTATATTTAATATTAAACACTTGTGCTCTTGGATGATAAAGGTAATCCTTTTCACGGATGAACACAATAAGGGCAGAGATTGATGACGTAATCTTTCTGCACGTCAGACATGAGTCACCAAAAGCTGCGGGATGAGTGCTCTGCGCAAGTGTACATGACTGACACCTCCACATTTGTATGGCACCTGTTCATAACTTCTGCCTTTGGGTTGTGTGTAGGCTACCGTCTGACAAACACCAAGTGCATGATTCTCATCGACATGTGGAAAAAGCAACAGCACTCTAACATCGTGGCCTTGCGAGAGGTTTTCACCACCAAGGCATTCGGCGAACATTGTAAGTCTTGCTGTGCTTTCCAGGAGAGAGAGACAAAACAATATTTGAAAACTTATTTGCCGAACATTGGCCCCTTTCTTTAAGATGACTCCTAATGTCTTTTGAATTGTGAAAATATGGTTTCACTTCATCGTCATTCCTTTCCTAGCATGCATAAGAAGTGTTATTTTTTTTGGTCTGCTTAATCGGATTTTGTTGTTGCATTAAATAAATAATGATTGTGGCTCAAGCTTCCTCGAATCTGTGTTGAAAAGGATTTCAGGTGGGCTCTAATTGCTGATTTTCAGCATTAATGTCTCTTGAGGAAAATGGGTAACATCTGGCATTCTGCAGTACAATATATGCCTTTACGTTTATGTAAGCGTTACTGTTTAAACAAAACACAAATGATTTTGCAGAAATAGAAACACCATGTTTATTGTTGGAAGTGTTTACGATTATTTAATGTAGCCCCTAATTACTGGCTTTCAGCATCATTATAGTCCTTGTAGAAATATAGGTACATCAGGCATTCTGCAGTAAATGCATTCGCTTTAATATAAACATTTTGGGTTTTTTACGAATACTGTGATTTTTGCAAAAACAGACATACCACACTCACCGTCGAAGTGATTATGCTGCATCGTCATTGGTGTAAAAAAAACACAATGTTTTGCAGCCCTTGTGTTTGCGCACGACTTTCACGCCGGAGCTGAAACTCTCATGAGCAAGCACTTCAGTGACCCCAACGCAGACGCCTTCTTCAACAAGAGAAAGTGGGGTGAGAGCACGGAGCACACTTCGCCGATGTGCACATCACAGAGACGCTTGTGCTAATTTCTCACAAACCATGAAGTCTGCATCAGAGCAGTAGAAAAATGTCAGCCATATCTAGTGGATGCAGGGATCCGATTTCTGCTTTAGGTTAGAGTGGGCCAAGATGCCGTTCGATTCCATTCTTACGTTTGGAAATATGCTTAGGAGCTTATTGCCTATGTCAAGATCTCCTGGCCACGAGGGGGCTTCACGAGAGAGTTTGTGTAGTTTTGCTCCATTGAAGGCGCACGGACTATGGTGGTTTCCTATATGGTCCATGGCTTGTGTTGTGTGGGCACAGTTGCACTGGCTTGTCTTTAATGAAGGAGATGTAGACATTGGCCTATTCGTGTTCTGATGCGGTTGATGGTACACTCGGTGTCTTTGAGGAATGCCAAAACCAGGAGGTGCGATTCTAGATTTGAAGCTTTCGTGACTGCAAGGATTCATATTCTTAGGTTTTTCGGTAAAGTCACGTAGGTAAAACATTAAAGTTAATAAAAGTAAAATAAATAAAATAAAAATAAAATACAAAAAATTTATTTTACTTTTATTAATTTTAATGTTTTATCTACGTGACTTTACCGAAAAACCTAAGAATAGGAGGTGCGATGTCTGGGTTTGAGATCCGCGTTGTTCCACTCTGTTCGCCAGCATTCTTTCGGATCTGGGTGACATTCTGTGATGGTGACAGCAGCACGATCCCAGAAGGGGGATCGGGACTTGAGTTGGTGGCAAGGTACATTGTTGTGGTCTTGGTTAATCAGTCAGCTGGCTTTGGAAAGAAAACGTGTAACCTTCCTTGTACATTTACATGTCTGCAGATAATTAATTGGTAGTAGAATATTCGTTACAACCGGGAGCCAGTGGATTAGTTTTGGTTTCAGTGTTCCGGTTTTGATGCACATTGCATTATTTAATTGTGCATCTGGCAGTTTTATGTACAAGCTCCTGGACTAGGTTGGAGCTCAATACTCAGTGGCAATACTCAATTCCACTGAGTAAATCGGTGCCATGGCGGCAGTTCTCAGCACATAAGCTCCAGGTCGTTCCTGCAAGTTTCTTTAGTTTTGCAAGTTTTGCCTGGAGCAACAAGGGCTATGTCATTTGCATATATGGACTTGTGAGGTTATGACTTGGGAGGTCACTTACATATGTTACATAGTGATGGTGCTAGGATAGAGCCTTGAGGAAAGCCACTGTTTATCATTCTCTTGCAGTTTTGTTGCAGAGCATCTCATCGATTGGGTGTACATTAGAACGGCGTCCGATGATTTAGGCTAACTTCAGCAGAAGGCCATGATGGCAAACTGTGTCATAGGCAGCAGAGAGGTCAGTTTTCTGTTGATTCTGGAAACCAGTTTCAATGAGGGTGGTGAAAGCAACGATCTGTTCACTGCAGCTATGGCCTGTTGGGAATGCGGCTTGTATGGGAGGCAGTTTGGGATCGATAATGGGGGAAAGTGTGGCAAGCATGGCACGTTCCATCAGCCTGGCGGAGGTGGAGGACAAGCGCCATCATGGCCTGTAGCTGGAGGGCAAGTTGCTGTTTTCCAGGTTACAGTATGGCAATGACTTGGGCTTGCTTCCATTCTTTCAGGATTTTGCCTGTCCTGTGTATGACGGTGAACGATGTCGTTAACGTCTCCGTTTTGATAACGTATGGCCGAGGTTTTTGTTAGGATGGTCTTGGCCGCACTCTGGGTCGTGTGACTTGAGGGAGGAAGGGCTGTGGGTGGAAAATATTGATCTAATTAACACATCCGTATTGATATTTTTAGAGAATTTAGAAGCCACTGATTTTCTATATTTTTGAGTCCTAATGTAATGTAGGGCTCTGAAATGTCACGTATTTGAAGTCTAACTTCCATGTGACTTGTCTTTGTGACTTACTGCAAACATCTTGCGCATGTTATACACATGATTCGATGCGATACATGCATCGAAATCACGTGTGTAAGAATCAATCTTTTCCAATATATGTGCATTGTAATGCGTTCATGTGATCCCCTGGAACCACGGTGGCTGCTATATTCACCGCATGGTAAAACAAAAAAATCGATTGTGTGTTGAATCACGACAATTAATCAAAATGTAAAGGTGGTGAATCATACCCCTAACATACAATGTGTGTCTTTTACAACCTTTGTTATTAACTTTAATCATATGCAATTTTTAAGCATTAGATGTGTTCTTCATTTGTGTACCATGAAATAGCATATTTCTTTTGGCCCATGTTAAATATCAAAATGACAAATATTTATTCAGAGGCATCGTGCAAACTGCTTTTGTGGTTATGTAACTATTAGTAATGTTGCCATTTGACAAAGTGGTTTATACTTGATGAGGAGGATGACACAATGCATATGCTGCTGAACGCTCAAATACCATAAGTTAGGAAGCGGTTAATTGTCTTCCTGTGCGCTGTGGAAACAGCTTGCAGAAAGTTAGTCAACAGAAAACCTCAATCCTACATCACTTCCATATATGTGTCTTTGCATGAGTGGTTGGGCAACTGTTCCTATGAATATCTTCCCAACTGCATTTTTAAAATGTCCACATTGTTGGTTTAAAAAAAAAATGCATTTACACAATATTGTTTCAAGAAATATTGATTCGAAGCTTTCGTGACTGCAGGAACCCATACTCTTTGGTTCTTTCGGTAAAGTCACGTAGGTAGAAAAATAATTAAATGTGTTATTATGTTTCAAGAAAGCTTTATGGTTGATGTTGCCTGAACCACACATTTCTGGTTTCTTTTTGTTCAATTTAACTTTAGGGGATGTGTTGAAGCATGTGTTTTTTACAGTCTAGCGTTTAACAACAAAAAACCTTCCCTGCTTTGTTCCACCTTGGTTCAAGCGTAGAAATAGTCAGAACTGAAAAAAATTGTTGTGGTTTTTATTTCCCTAAAATTGAACTCAATTCTCCATTCTTGTAATGTCCCCGAGCAGCATTTTCTTACAATGTGTATTGAAAAATCAAAATGGTTTTATCGTTACAAATTTAATAAGATTCCCAACTTTTTGGTTTTGTGCAAAAGGTTTCTTCAGTGGGCTTTTTCTGTACTTACTATTTAGTATCCGGTCATTTCTACATTGTAAATCCCATTGCGACAACAGAATATAAATCAAAAGTCTAAGTGTATTACTTTATAGGAATTACTAGTGGTAGGACTGTAATAGAATAACAGTTCCCCAGCACCGCCCCATACCCAGATGCCCCCCCTTCTGCGTGCCCCCCCCCCCCCCCCACATGGTGTGGGGGCAGTACTGGGGTTGGGCATGCGACTTGCAGCAAATCAAAAGCGTTCTACAGGTCGAGTGCTCACCGAGTCGTGCAATTCTCTTATATGCATATATAAGAGCAATTTTGGTTAAGCTACCCTTAATACAATGCAATTTCGTGATGCTGTATTGACAGTGGTGCATAAGTATGGAAAGAACCCGCCAAAACATTCATCAATAGCATTGCCTTAAAAGAAAACTAAATCTGGAAAGACAATTTTTTGGGCACATACTTCTCTTAAATGTGTTATTAAGAAGGCCCATTGCCAAAAGCATGGCTTTTATTTTCTTTTAAGGCACTTTTATTGACGAATTTAAATACTGTTATACACATTCTCAGTAAGCATTTTACAATGGCAATTTTCTCAAATTAGCGTTTGCACTGTCCTGCTTTCAGAAATATTTGAGTTTCAGAAGGCCTCATTCTAAACATCTTTGTTACTGATGTCTATGAAACTAGTATGCTGTGTTCTGACCATATCCACCTTGTACACAATCTTTAAAAATACATATCCAGCTATCTGCAGATATTAGTGGACTTGGCAGTCTGCGAGATTGTCGCCATAAAAGAGCCTGTCATTGTTCACAAGAACAGGTCACTGTGTTCTGTGGCTTCATATCACATGTGGCATGAGACTATTGTCGAAGTTAACAGTGGCCTTTTAAAAACTCGAAAGAAGGCATAGAGATTGACTTACCTTTAGTTGGAAATAGCCTTTTACACTTGAGTTTACAACTTTTAATAATGTGGACTATACAAATAGTATTAAATTGATTCATAATCAGTCTTCTGTTCACATGTATTGAGTATCAAACAATCCATTTTACTAACCGTCATTATTAAGACACCGCATTGTTAAGTTGCAATTCCATCGATGTCCATCTCTGCCCTCAATGTCAACTCGATGTATGACATACTCGAAAAGCAATGCCTCCCGTGTTTTATTTTTTATCCTTGTTATGTTCTTTTCGAATATCACACTCGTACATGTTGAGACACTTAAGACATTGAAAGGCCATTTTGCCTATGCCTGCAGGTCAGGTGAACGGACCCCTCCCTCGGCAGCATGCCGGCTTACTGCCCGAGTCTCTCATCTGGGCATACGTGGTGCAGCTGAGCTCGGCCCTGCGCACCGTGCATTCGGCTGGCCTGGCCTGCCGCGTCATGCACCCCAGCAAGATCCTAGTTGGAGGGAAAACACGGTAGGGACTTTTGCAACACTCTTGTCAAAGAATGCGATGCCGTTTATTAGCTGTATTGATAAACCTGTCGCCCAACAGCTTCTAACCGCTGTCCAGCAGTCTTATCCCAGAATACATGGTGAGATCTTTGCCAAGCTCTTGCCAAAACAGGGTGACATTTGCTTCGGACGAACAGCTAAAATTAAATCCGGGACCGTTCGGAAGTCACATCTGAGCAATAAGTCATTTTGGGTGACCCTTAACATGTATACATGTACATAATAGCTTTGTTAACCGTGGGATATGAAATAAAATAATCACTTTGATTGGTTTTTGTTTGACTGTCTTGGACTGATTGGCTCGGTTTAGTCATTTGCTTAATTTAATGTATTAGAGGCACATTGAGCACAGGTTTCATTACTCGGTTGTGGCAATGATTGCACTGCAACATAACATTAGAGGTTATTCGCTTGTGAATACATGTGTAGTACAGCTGACATATGCGCAAACACGACTCCACACTTTTTAAACACGGCGTATTTTTTCCTGTGCTCGAGTTATTTAATATCAACATTTACATGTTTCTTGCTTGTACACAGTTTTGCATGTTTATTCCAAAAGTAATTAATTTCTGACTTGGACCTGTTCTTAGAAATAAATGTACTCTCAATGGACTCTTCCCTTTTTATAAATAAACTTTGAAAAATTAATTTTCTGAGCACGTTGGCCACTTCTCGGGTTGAATCAGGGGGCATCGCCACACACTTCATTACCAACGTTGATCATCGGCCGTGCTAATTACCCTGCATCGTCTCTGCATTCCCGATGGCATATTAAACGGCTACGCTTGTACTCTCGTCGCATTAACAGGTTACGTGTGAACTGCGTGGGGATTTTCGACGTGCTCACTTTCGACGGCACCCAAGCTTCTCCGCTGGCACTAATCCCACAGTACCAGGTCAGTGCACGGTGTGTGCGCGAGACGTGCCTGTGTGGCGACAGCAGCTTCACGCTGGAGCTCTCTTTACCACTGGGGAGCTCCAGTGATGGGCACTAAGCCATCGTGGAAAATGAGGCATTTCCAGGATACAAATTCCAGAGTTGCGCGATTCGGAAAGGGTGCCGTGGTCGTGTGGTGACACCCAGAGTTTCGGACTGCCACGCTGCGTCTTGTCGTTTTTATTCATGCCCAACTGAGCTCTCATTTATTCTTGACCGAAGTGATATTTTTTTAAATTTCGATTTAAAGCTTTCGTGACTGCAGGGATTCATCTTCTTGGTTCTTTCGGTAAAGTCACGTAGAAGGGAAATAATAAAATAATAAAAATAAAACAAAATAAAATAATTCTCACGACGTTTCGGCCACAACGCAAGCAGCCGTCCTCAGGTGAAGAACAGGTCTGTTGGAAAAACAGCGTCATTCAGACGCTGCCTTTCCGACAGACCTGTTCTTCAGACGCTGTCTTTCCGACAGACCTGTTCTTCACCTGAGGACGGCTGTTTGCGTTGTGGCCGAAACGTCGTGAGAATTATTTTATCATGTTTTATTTGCATTATTTTATTATTTCCCTTCTACGTGACTTTACCGAAAGAACCAAGAAGATGATATTTCATTATTTGGACTTTTTTTCAGCGACTGAGCAATTCATGTTTGCAATATAACCTGCGGAATTTGTGGCTTTAGTTTAGGACGTTATTATTGAAAGTAATGGGACCGCGTGTAATTTTCCGCAAGGATATTTAGATATGTTATAGTTTATATTCATACAAAGTTATCTATTATAAATATAACATTATAAAGTCATTTTATGTTATTTGCATTAATCTTATATCATTAGATTTAAGCATGTATAAGCATAATAATCGAGTTTATTCTTTGAATTCGTGCATATGCATACCTGTCAACTCCTTATCAGTGCGTACCTTATTATAGACCAATTCAGACCTTATTGGTCACCCCGTGACCTTATAAATCTCAACATAAATCCTACAACGTCCCATCACAAGGGGGAGAGACACAAACAAACCCCATTTTTTGCCCGTATTGAAACGGCTGCACGCAGTATGGACCTGAACTAAATTTACCTGTACAAGAATATGGGTAATCCTTAAGGGTTGACAGGTATGCATATGCCTAGTCACATTATTATGGTTGCAGGAAGATGAAATTGGCTAAACAAACAGTGTTGTTCGTTACATAATGCTTCGGTTTTCAAATCTAATTAGTCAAGTTACAATGTCCGTACTATTATAATTATCTTTAGTCTACCTAAGTCTCCATGACTGGCTATTATCAACATCAGAATCGTTGTTATGAGCTTCACTGTCGTGCCATTCATCAGCAGATCACCGAGCGCTATCTGCAATTATAAGATGATTTTAGTTTAAGACAGTACTTAGTAGGGGGTGAGATGATAATAATAACAATGCCCTTTGTGTATATAAAAGGGAAATTTGTGAGTATCTGTGTCTGTTAAATATGTTTAGCGTACTTCCCGACATGCAACAAACTGGAAATTTGCCATGTGGGTACTTTCCAGACTGTACACAAGTGAGCTGTGACGTCAAATCTGTCACGTGACCCGCGCATGTGGAAGCGTAACGCATTGTAGTGTAGTGGTTAGCGCGCTGCGCTACGAACTCGGCGACCCGAGTTCGATTCCCGGTCACGGCCACCACCGGTCACAATTATTTGAACCGGTCCTGGGCCTCCCCTAGGTCAATGCAGCCTCAAACAATTAACTGGTGTGGTGTGTGAACATCGCCACTGGGGAGACAAAGGCGGCCGGGCGTGGTGTTGGCCACCCACCCCCTCGTGTGCCGTACCGGCCTTCATAGGTGCTACTCGCTAACAGCACTTGTCCCCTACAGGCTACACGAGGGATTTTGTCTTTATCCTGCGTAGCGATTAGCGTGCCGCGCTACGAACCCGGCGACCCGAGTTTGATTCCCGCTCACTCCCACCACCGGTGACGATTATTTGAACCGGTCCTGGGCCTCCCCTAGGCCGACTCGGCCTCAAACGAGTAACTGGTGTGGTGTGTGAACATCGCCACTGGGGAGACAAAGGCAGCCGGGCGTGGTGAATCCAAGTCCCGGGCGAAGCCAGCTAGTAAAGCTAGTTTATCTATAAAAGCAGCCTCCTTTTTACTTGGTCCATAATTCCACGTCGTCTTGACCCTTCTCATAAAATCCTTGCTCTCCGTGCTTGCAGCAAGAGGATCTGACGACACTCGGCAAGATTGTGCTGTCCCTCTCGTGCAACTCGATGGTCGGGGTGCAGCGAGATAACATTTCCAAGGCGATGGAGCTTGTCACCCACAACTACTCCACAGACCTCAAGAACCTCATCATGTGAGGACCAACACTCTGAGCCATTGCATCGATTCGATGTTTTTCTGTCTGCTTTATTCTCCCGTTATGGTTTGGCAGCCATGGCCCGTAGCAGCATGCATGGTGAACGCTGCTGGATAGAAACATGCACTTCTTGGTCCTCCTCCTGTATTTACTCCCGATGTTTGCGCAAGCTTTTTACCAAAACAATATAACAATTGTGTATGTTGGTCGTAGTGCTGTTGATTTAAAATGTTCAAGTCCACGAAACAGAAATGTAAGGAGGAGAGAAAATGTTGCCAAGAAAAGCCGCTTGTCAAAAATAATTGGTAAAGACCGCCGGACCGATAAGGTTCTTGGCCATCTTTTCCATTGCGCCTATGGCTTGGGCTTTTTGAAAACGTTTGCAAATTATCCAGGAGCCGTGTTGACAAAGAAATTGCTTCAAGGTTCAATGTACACACGGGCAAGTCAAGCTGCCGTTGTGAAGCTTACGTAACTGCCGCAGTATAAATGCACACATACCTCCTTTGTGCTCATTTATCACAATTCCATGCTGTTCATTTATACAGGGCTCACGGCTGTGCTTAAAACAGTCCAGGCGGAACATGCACAAAAAGTCTTAAAGATTGTTTTGATGGGCTTTTATACCCCAGGATTAGTAGCCGCTGAAAGTGTGTTTTTGCGTGCGCTGCACAGTGGTTATTTTCACGGCGCACCCTGCAGGCACCCCCCGGGATGACGTCGCTGTGGGTTTGAACTTGCAAGAGCTCACGTTTCGCTCTTTATCTTTCATCCTCTCCGCTACCCCTGCAGTTACCTGCTGTCCAATCAGACGCGCCTCCGCAGCGTGAATGACATCATGCCGATGATCGGAGCGCGGTTTTACACGCAATTGGACGCAGCGCAGATGAGGAGCGACATCATCGAGGAAGAGCTTGCCAAGGTATTGTGTCTGCGGTGTCGTATTCTTCTACACCTCCTTTCTGCCGCTTATTAAGTTCTGCAAGTGTCTTCTTGGTACTTTCGGTAAAGTAACGTAGAAGGGAAATACGCTGCCAAGCTTAGCAGTGTTCATTGGGACACTGTCTTTCCGACAGCTCTGTTTCTTCACCTGAGGACGGCTGCTTGTGGTGTGGCCGAAACGTCGTTAGAATTTAATTTTTATTATTTTATTATTTCCCTTCTACGTGACTTTACCGAAAGAACCAAGAAGATTAATTTCTGCAGTCACGAAAGCTTGAAATCGAAAAAATTCTGGAAGTGTGTTTTGTTTCCACCAGGGGGCATCACCAGCCTGCTTTATCCCACCATGCATGCGGCACTGCAGTGAAAAGTTCAAAGTCTGTTTTTAATGAAGCGTGAGTTTGGCCAGCAGAGCATGCCAAACTTAATCTCACACAATATATATGCAGTACAATTTTATTTCTAAAGGAAGTTATAAATTAACTAATAATGGATATGTATATAAAGAAAGTGTACAGCATCTTAATTCATCACTATTATCATCAGCCATGATTAATCCACTGCTGGATGGTCCTACAATGCAACAATCCACGTAGCACCAACACACGAGCTGATTTCATCGCTCCATCCGTATTCTCACCCACCAGCCTTCATCCCTTCTAGAAAAGCGTCCTACCCAAGTTCGCTTAAGTTTCTTAGCGTTTAAAACAATGTCTTTAACCAACGTATGTTTTCTAATTCACGTATTCCTCTTTCTGCCTCGGTGTAATTGTACCCATGTACCTCTTTGTTACGTCCCATTTAAAGTTTTTGTTTATTTGATTAACACTGTTGAATGCCGTCGCCTCGCTTCACATTTACTCTTGTGTGTATGCAGTACATGTGTTTGTATTTACGCTTTGCGGGAGCATTCGCCATGATGTTTCGGAGCACAGGATGTGTTCAACAGATTTAGGAAGCGGCCCTTTGGTGGGCAGACAGACTCTCTTGCGCCGCGCGTCTCCCCGTGGCCAGCGGGTTTCTAAGCCAAGCTTTTCCTGTTGTTGGCCATTGCAGGAAGTGCAGAACGGACGGCTCTTCAGGCTGCTGTGTAAGCTTGGAACCATCAACGAGCGGCCTGAGTAAGACATGCCCCTGCACCCATTGGGGACCTGCCCTCTCTGTGCGGTTTTTCCAGCTTGACTTTGTCTGGCAAGGCTCGCTCATAATAAATCTGCCCTCCTTAACATCCCGTGAAGCGGGACTAAAAGGGTGGCTGTATTTTAGTTTCATGCATTCGCCACGTTAGCTGTGTTTTTTTTTTTTCCCGCGGTACGGATCGGCATAGCTTGTTAATGCAATCGTGTTAAGTACCGTGCTGGAAGCGGCCGAAAGCAACCCACCTCTACAACAGTCCCCATTGACTACCGGGCAGTAAAGAATCAAAGAGTTTGGCTCGATATAATGTATGTGCTTTGAACAACAAGGCAAACATGTAGTTCAAGCTGGGACAAGGTCCAGGAACTCGCGTAATGAGCTTTTTATAAAGTTAACCTTGAGCGTTGTTTACAATGCTAATCTATCCTCTCATGTACATACAGTGATGTGTACAGTATTAATATTACATGTAGTGGACAAAAACTCGCTACCGAAGTGTGTTACTCTTGTTTATGCTAATTAATCGTCCGACTTTGCAATAAAAGACACATTTTAGAGAGAAAAAAATCCCAAAGCAAATTTACGTACCTTAAAAATAATGACAGTCAGTTGCTGCATCCTTTACATTGGGATTTCCCGCATAAATGGAACAGCTGTTCCACCAGATGTGTGCCGCTTCATGAACCTGAATGTGTGTGTTTTTACTCTGTTCTATTGCGTGACATTATTTTTCATGTCCCGTGTGTCCAAGGTTCCAGAAGGACACCACCTGGTCAGAGACGGGCGATCGCTACCTCCTGAAGCTCTTCCGTGACCACTTATTCCACCAGGTGTCCGAGATGGGGGCTCCCTGGGTGGACATTGCTCACATAGTGCAGTGTGTCAACAAGGTGACTTCATCTGCACTCTGCCACGCATCAACATTTACGTCGCTGTTTCTGTGTCGGTCCATTGTTTTATTTGAGAGTATTCGGACAATAGTGTGAGGACATGTAGACTGAGAAGGAAAATTACAATTTTGCTTTCAGAGTTTTGGCTCGATGGCCTTTGTGGCTAATTCAGCTGAATATAGATCCCCCTTAATTGCTGTAGTGTTTTTTGTAAAGCAGAAAAACATGCACCCTGGTGTTTTTTTTGTCTTGTGATGCTGGATTATGTTTTCAGACGTATTGAATTTAATCCCGGGAATATCCATTGTCAGCTGATGAGTACAATTTCCTAGCAAGGTTGAAACAATTACAATTAAAGTTGAAAGCTCAAAGAATGTGACTAATACTTAAACAAACCGCATGAAACTTTGTAACTTTTTGGCGATGGAATTATTCGTGGAACAGTTTGGAAATTAGCACCGAGTGTGTGCGTCAGTTTAAGCTCATCTGATAGTTCATAGTGTTTCTTACCATTGTCGTGGCAAAACATAAGGATCCCACGACACTAACTTTTCCAGTCAAGTCAGCTGTTCCGAAAGCTTTCCTTAACTGAAACAGCATGTGTAACATATATTCCTTGGAAAATGGCCCTAGAAAACCCACATTTGTATTTTTTTTTTAATAAGACCAATTGTGTAACTTAGAGATCAGTATTGAATTTACTTGGACGTTAGACAGCACAACCTTTATTCATGAATGGCGCTTTGAAATTATAATTGTACATACTTTATAACGTGTCTTTCTCTTAAGGTATGTTTACAGTCGAAATTGATAGAAATGTTTTCTGCGTTGGATAATCAGTGCACAAGTGCCTAAATTTAAATCGCTATCAGCGATAATTTGCAATTACGGGAACCACTTGACCGGTATTTTACTTATCCGGCGAGTGAGACACATTGGTACTAATGTCAGGGAATAAGATGCCCAGCTCGTATTGTGTATTTGCATCACATTACAGATGCACTGAAGCTATGTTCGGTCTGGATTTGTTGCTGGAACAGCTGCTGGCCAGAAAATGTCGAGCACAAGCCGGCTCGCTCTTAAAATTAGTCATGCTTTGCCTCTCCGGTGAATTTCTGCCAAGGCCTTCAACTTGGCACATCACTGAATCATTACCAGCATTGCGACGTTTAGACAGACGCATTTGTTATATTTTGAGTAAAATGTACGTGCTGTTATTGAAATCGTTTTGTTGTTTGGTCAGGAACACAGCTTTTTTTTGTCCTCCGATGCGTTTTTGGGTTGTGCCGCGCGTATATTTTTGCGGCATGATGTCCAACATCGTGCTGGGAGCTGCTTATTGATAGCAAGCGAAAAACAAAGAAATGTGACTGTCAGCCATCGTTCTGAGCAATACACGACGCAACCTGCAACACATGGGAGATCTTTACGGCACAGCTGCAAACACCCCGCCGTACTTATTCTTGGTTCTTTCGGTAAAGTCACATAGAAGGGAAATAATAAAATAATAAAAATATAACAAGATAAAATTATCACGACGTTTCGGCCACAAGATGCTGTCTTTCCGACAGCCCTGTTCTTCACCTGAGGACGGCTGCTTGCGTTGTGGCCGAAACGTCGTGAGAATTTTATCTTATGTTTTATTTTTATTATTTTATTATTTCCCTTCTATGTGACGTTACCGAAAGAACCAAGAATATGAATCCATGCAGTCACGAAAGCTCTAAATCGAAGTAAAACCACGCCGTACTCTTTAAACACCACGCCGTAGTAGCGCTGTTATTTCCTTCACGCACAACCTCTTTTCCTGCGCCTTGTGACTCGAGTGAAGCGCTTTAAACGGTGTGCCATACCGTCATCACTTCAGAGACGGGCACAACTCGGGATGCTGCGTGAAATATATCTAGCTCGACTCTTGTAATCCCTGCTTGTCTTCTCTCTGGAGAGCTCATCCCAACAATGAGATCAGGCTGAATTCAGACACAGCCTGCCAAAATTGGCAATTGTCCTGCTGTGTGTCTTGCAGAGTATCTGTTTTCCTTCATGCTGCACGGGTGGGGGGGGGGGTTAATTCTGTTTTTGTCTAATAGCGCGGGGAATAGTTTAATTTCTGATTAAAAGCATCAAGGAATCCGATATGCTTTTTTAGTGTCCATTTCACGTACCATACATAACACAGAATTAGTAGTTTGGAATATTTTATTCAACTGACCGTGGCTTTCATAAGATGACGTTTGTTTTTATTCATCCCGTTTCATAACACGCCACTTATAGAAGAGGTATTATTAACTAAAACAAATCATTGGAAGTGAATAGTAAAATGCAGTGTATGTACAAAACTCATTCCACTATTTATTCAGGCATGCTACTATTTTTTATCATGGTGATTTGAGATTAATGGCCATAACTGCTGAAATGTCAGTAAAATGCTTGCCATGGACTATGAACTGACTGACGTTATTTTAAATACACCTTCATGGCATTACCATGGCATTGCATGGTGAAACGGTAGACAGGGACTGAAAGCCAGAAACAGTTGTGGGTGAGAAATACTTGAGATTTTCGGGTTCCATTCTGAGAAGACTCCCACCACTTCTAGTAATGAGATGTTAGTACCTGTGGACATATGATAAACACTTGTCTTGGGGGCTCCATTGCAACGTCTAAACACATAGTTCAACGCCCACATATTTGTTTGAACTAAATGTCACTAAGGTATATCTCGTTAATTCTCAGCCTCCTCGCCATGACCCCAGGCTATGAAAAGGAAGAGGCGTGATGTTACAGTTCTTCATTTGTTTCAGTGTTCAGCGATAAGCAAAGAGAACAGTTTGCCAAACAATATATTATATTGAGATTTTCAATTGCATTTACATTTTGACGTGAAAATGAATACAGTTTGAACTGAACCAACTCAAACATCAACACTTGGCACGAAAAAAATGAATTCTCATTGTACTTGCATGAGCACCATTTATCAATTGAGGTTTCGAAGAGAGGTAATGGTCTGATAAGGGAGTATTTATATTGCAGATGCTCGAGGCTAATGGAATGCCTTCCTGTGTGCTTTTTCCTTATCATTGCCCTGATACTCCCCCCCCCCCCCCCCCGTGCCGTCTGGGACATCAGCTTGACGCAGGGACTCCAGAGAAGCTGAGCCTGGTCTCCCGCGACGAGAAGAGTGTTTTGGTCGTCACCTACGCCGACTTGAAGCGCTGCTTTGATAACGCCTTCTCGGAACTGCTGGCTGCCTCTAATGGTCAGTTATAGCAGCAGCCCTGAGTCGGTTCTGGACCGCAAAGTGCGGACAAGTCAACCGGGAAGAACCCAGACCCCCACAAGGCTTTTCACAGCAGAACACTGTATGGCGATTGACGTTGCACTACAGCTTTTATTGGCGCTCGTGGTCTCTTTCTCCTCGCGTGATGAAGCCGACCGAAGCAAACCCGAAATAGAGGAACGTAACTTTTTTTTTTACGTGAACTTTTCCACTTTTTTCCTACGACGGCACCTCTGCCACTGGCTTCACCCTCTCTTGATGGACATTTTAAATTTTAGGTCGGATATTTTGCAGCTTGCAGCTGCTTCGCAACAAACGAGTATTAGCTTTCAATTGTGAGACATCATCAAGGACACGTGCATCATGGCACTACGTTGAATGTAGCCTGAGAACATGCTTTTATAGCAAGTGTCCAATTTCCTTGGGCTAGAAAACAAGACGACGTCTCTCAAAGTTTGAGTAGCGGCACTGATATTAATGAAGATTTCCAATATCCAGACGTTTTCAAAGTTGCGGTCAAAAATGATGGTCCTTCGTTTATTTTGTGGACTTGTAGGGGGAATGTTTAGAGGCACATGTTTTTGTTCATTGTTTGAGTTACGGGTGGGTGGTTGCGGGGTGGGGGTAGAATTTACATGCAGAGCAACTGTTGTAAGTTTCATGTTTTTATTGTCTTAAAAACAAACTTTGTATGAAGTCTTTGATAGCGTACACAGAAAGAAGTATTTTTCATCTTTGTTAAATTGTTTGAGAATTGGTAAAGCCGGCATCACTGTCCAACATACTATGGCAGCTTTTAATGCAAAATCATTTTTGCGCGGTTGCTTTTGTCGAGTCCATGGAAACGTTTATAGTTTAGGCAATTTGCCATTAAGATTTTGACCATTACTTTTAAATGTTTGGACATGACCAATGGATTTCTGATTTTCATACCAGAATGGGCATTTGGTGACCACTTGCATCATGCCGTGAAAAAAAGTTGTTTCAGCGCTGTAGCCATTTTTGTTCAAGCATGCGGTGCCTTCTTAGCATCAACGATAAATGGAAATGAAATCTGATATTTATCAATATTTACAAATCGCCAGTTTAAAACAAAATAGTTGGGCTCAAGGCTGTGATCATGTACACAGCCTTAAAAGTATTTTTTTGTAATTTACCACAATTTCAGGTAAATGTGTTTTCGGAGGCGGTGAGGTTATTCCATTCGTTGTAGCGATGTGAAGGCTGAAACTTGCTTTGTGCCCTTGGTGAATACAGGAACACTGCTGTCAATAGTCACGCGAGTTTTTTTTTTTTTTTCGAAAATGACTGTGTGAGCCTTAGCAACCAAAGCTCACCCAACAACATTTTCATCAGGTAAAACAAAGTTGCAAAGAGTAAATACATTTAGTTTTCCCTTTGACTTTTCTGCCAACCCCGTTGCATGTTTTCTGCAAGGATAATGTTGATTTTACTGCAATGACTGGAGATTAAATGATCCGCTCGGCTTAGAACTGTGCAAACGGGTTTACTTTATTGAACGACCTTCGAAGGTGAAACTTCGTATGATGCACGCGGTGCAATTTGAACGCCGCCAGTTTAAATGTGAACTGCAACACCTTGGAGAATGCCCTACAGTCTGCAGTATTGTTCACATTTCCCAGATTATGCCATTCACACATTCACATAACGAGTGAAATGAAGCTGCCATAACGTTGATATGATTAGTGCGTGGAAGTGCGCGAATGCTACTTTTTAGATTTATTCCCTGGCTCCATTTAAACCATTAACGAGTGGAGAGGAAACGGTGTTGTTTATTTGTTAAGATGGGCAATAATACAGAAGCCTTAAAGCGGTGATACTGAAAAGCCCTTAATTTCTTAAAGCTTCTGCTTTGCCTATTATAAAAGCAAAAAAAGATTAATTACCATGAAAAAAATATTGAAAGAAAAGGCCCATTTTTGTACTCTGAAGGCATACATTAAGAGGAGAGAATGGTAATCGCGATAAAAAAAAGCATTTGGTGCGAGTTTTAGGCCAGGTGTGTGATGACCACTGGATTGCACCGTATGTTTGTGTTGCAAGTTTTTTTGTTTAAGGTGCCAGAGGGTTTGCGATAGATTGAAAGTCATAAGAATATTACATTTGGGGATATAAAATAAAAATGTTAAGCACTAACAGAAGCAAGATGTAAGAGTACATAAAACATATATTAACGTCTCTGAAAAAAAGTGTCTTCTTGCGGCCTTAATGATATGCATTTTTATTGTACATTTCCAATGTAGTAGTCTGTTGTGAAACCTTTTGTGCGACGAAAACATGATGCCGTGTGCAGCCAACATTGAAAATGTGCACCATCTTGTCAGAAGGAAGGAGTGCGAGCCGGTCTTTTCCGAGGGAGTACTGAAATGTATATTTTTTGTTGCATTCAAAAAATGTGGGGGATAATTGGAGGAGCTGTCCAACGTGTTTGCGAAACTTTTCGCACCGCCACCTGGCCTGCAATGTTTTGTTTGCCCCCCTCCACCCCGAGAGGGAAACATTTAGGATTTTTGCAGCCTCTTCAAATTTGTTTTGTAAGTTTTCATCTTCGAGAAGGGATAATTGTAAGTATTTTATAGATAAGGCTTAAAAAAAATAGAAAAAAAACATTTTGGTATTCTGTGGTAATTGGTTTTATTTCATGTTATTTTTTTAAAATTGTAAACCATTTTGACTTGTCAATGGGATTTTTAAGGGTTTAAAGGTTGGTCTAAGGCAGTGTTGGTTTGGCAGACAAAAAATTGGACATTTGTCAAATTTCTATTCTTTGCTCAAGACACTTGTCATTGTCAGCATCCTGTTTGAGCTTGGGATGATTTGCCATCTTTGGGAACTATGCACAAAACATAGCTTTGGAACTTGTTTCACTACTTAACAGATAACAGTGTATTTTTTTAGTGTTGCCGTTTTTCTAAACCCCTCTGAGCCCCGAGATGGCACATTGTCCAATTGCAATTGCTGGTATAGTCCGATTAACATGATGTTACAATTGAGTCAGGAAATAATAAAACAGAAAATCTACAAATTACCCTTTTTCTTTTAATCGATGTTGACAGAATGGACATCTCGCATACCTGTTGCAGTACTTCCCAGGGTCTGGTTTTGCCAAGTGCAAGCACTGGTACTCTGTAGGCTAATGTTAAGTTTGGATGTTGAATTTATCCCGGTTAGAGTTAATGGGGATGTTGCATGCATTGTGTTTGCAGTGGCTTGCCACGAACAAATGTTGCTGCTTTCAAATTTGCCTCTATCCAGGGACATTGGAAATCCACGAAAGCGCTGCGTTCATGATGGGGTTTTCATATTTTTAAGCAGGCTTGTAAATTAAGAAATTGGAAATGGCACAAACTGAACATCGACTAAGGATCCATTCATTGGTTTGTTAGGTAGTTACAGCACCAATGGTAACTGCAAGTGTTTTATCCGTGGATTTCTAATGTCGTGTCCAGTCTTGTTTGGTCACCAAAGTCAGGTCTGGAGATAATGATATGCATTGCAATATTTAAATTTGCCATGTGGGATGGCGTGATCAATGAACCTCTCAAAATTTATAACATTTTAACATTTAAAATCCACCTACATGCAAACACAGTGTGCATGTGTTGTCAAAAGACTTGGGAAAAACTGGTCAAACCAGTCACAGATTCCACCAATATTACAGAAATCGCAGCAAACATGACCATTGTGTTTTGTATTGTTGGAGATTATACAATGCGGGCCTCTGTATTTAATGTTATTTAAGGCCTGCTTTGATGTTCATGTTTTCTTCGGGGATAATCAACAATGCATTGCATTTTCTCGATTCCTGCACCAGTCACTGCCTTGCCACTTGCAACCCTGATGTACAGTTTTGAGATGAAAACACTGTATTGCGCATCAGCAATATTTTAATAAAGAATACCTTGTGTGAAAATGTGTTTGCAGTGAGTGAATTTACATTAATACATTTCACTTGGATCATGCCAAAAAACACGAAGTAGTTTGAGAATTTACAAAGTCAGGTCTGTAGATAATGATATGCATTGGAATATTTTGGTGTCAAACGACTTGGGACAAACTGGTCATAGGAGTCCAGAGTTGCGCCGTATAGCGCTGCGATTGAGTTTTTAGGGTTGTACCGCTTGTTGTGCATGATGTTCGACATTTTGCTCCATGTGTTGTGAGCTTCTTCAGTTCCTGAAACATTTTGGCTTGTGGCTACAACCCAAAAACACATCGAAGAGGAACTTTACAATTTCGTTTGGCCACACCACCGAACAGAGCTATCGTTTTTGTTGAACAGTGTGGTCGAAGGATGAATTTACAAGATGCTGCAGAAGCGACAGGAGAAAATTCACCTTTGGGAATGAGCCACGCGAGTTGAAACGAGCAACGGCTTTGGGCAGTCAACTACGTTCCCATGCTGCTCGCCGACGATTCCCCGGCGTTAAATGGAGCCTCATGGTGGGTCGTCTACTCTGCACTCCCCTTGCTGACACTCCAACAACAGGAAAAGCTCTGCTCGGGAAGCTGCCAACCACTGGGAGGCCCAGGTCATGGGTCAACGTGCACAGCACGACACACTTCCTACCTTTGTTTACCTTCATATTCTATTGTTAAGCCGCTCGCGAACGCGCACGCACGCGCGTCGTTTTGTTTTCATTAAACAGTGTGATGACATTTTCCCGGCGTGATATGAGAGTTAAAAAAAAGTATTTCACTTTAAAGCATAAAAAAAACCTTGAATAATGTTTTCTGCTTCGACGAATGTAGGTTTTGGGTCAGGATAGGGGCTATATCATGAAACATGCATGGAACATAGCCGTTCTTGTAAGCTCTTAATGTGGCATCGTGTCGGAATCATGTCCGTGGTGTCATGATTAGCAGTATTCTGGGACTTGCAATCCAGAGGTCGACGGTTCGATCTCCTGATGCAGCAGTTGAACTGATATGGTCTCTGGCATTCCCGCACCAGGCCACCTTTGCCGTATAGATGACTTCAGTTCGCAGGCGGTGTGGTGAGTAACCCGTGGTTACCCGTACCTCTTTCAAGATGTTTGGCCAGTGTGAAAGAGCAGACCAAACTACCCTCAATAGATAGGGTCTATAGAGCAGTGGTTCTTAACCTTTGCTGCAGCCTTGCACCCCTTTGGTTCTCAATCGTAAAACTAATTATGTTCTTGGTTCTTTCGGTAAAGTCACGTAGAAGGGAAATAATAAAATAATAAAAATAAAACAATAATATAAGAATTAGGGAAATAATAAAATAATTACAATAAAACATAATAAAATAATTCTTATTTTATTATGTTTTATTTTTATTATTTTAATCTAAATAAAATGATTCTTATTTTATTATGTTTTAGTTTTATTATTTTATTATTTGCCTTCTACGTGACTTTACCGAAAGAACCAAGAAGATGAATCCCTGCAGTCACGAAAGCTTTAAATCGAAATTTAAGCTAGTTTTTTTTTATCACATCGTAGGCAACACCCACTGAGTGCAACTGTGATTTGTCTTGTATGCCTTTTGTGTATTCATCACGAAAGGCAAAACGAGAAAACATGACTGACGTTGCTGAATCTTCAGAAGCCATGCAATGAAAATCCTCGACCTCTTCACGCGAAGGCGCCAGTAGAGGCAAAGAACAGACTGTTGGGGCATGCGCCACACCACAGATGGTCGAGGTTGTGCTGTTTGGCGTGCCAATGTATTTCCAGGCTCTACCTCGCGTGCAGTTCAGTAGTTTGGAATTCTGCGCGACGTTTTGCTCTATCTGCTTGGGAGCTTTTTCGTGAATTCCTCGGGTATCACCGCACCTCCGACTAGCACGGTTGGCTACGTGCGGTGCGAAAGAAGTTCAACGTATTTAAAGCTTTCGTGACTTCAGGGATTCATCTTCTTGGTTCTTTCGGTAAAGTCACGTAGAAGGGAAATAATAAAATAATAAAAATAAAACATTATAAAAATAATTCTCACGACGTTTCGGCCACAACGCAAGCAGCCGTCTGTCGGGAAGACAGCGTCTGAATGAATGACGCTGTCTTCCCGACAGACCTGTTCTTCACCTGAGGACGGCTGCTTGCGTTGTGGCCGAAACGTCGTGAGAATTATTTTATGTTTTATTTTTATTATTTTATTTTATTATTTCCCTTCTACGTGACTTTACCGAAAGAATCAAGAAGAAATTCAACGTACACATCACGCCGAACAACAACACGCAAACGCCGCCTGAGAGTGCCTATGAAAGCCAGCACGACACACACGCAGCATCAACAATGGTTTGAGAGAGAGAGACCAAAGGAAGAATGATACGTTTATTATTTTACAAGTTGTTAGTCCACTCCAGAACGTACAAGTAAATACACAGCATGATAACAATGGCAGCTCACACACGGGCGTGTGGGATCTTCACTTGCTTGTGGAGGGTGGCACATCGTAGTCAGTGATTGTCACGATACATTATAAACTAACCATACAATATTCTAGAACAAGGCCGTAACTATAATATATAATATATATTCAAATATGCTCAAAATGTCCCCCCCAATTTATTGCTATAAAATAGATTTCTGTTTATATGATTGTGGTTATGATTGTACTTTATTAATCCATAATCTCTGCAATTACATACAATGCAACAAGAAAAGGTAAAAAAAAACAGAGCAATGTAATACAATACACTATTAGACATTATTGTAAAAAATAAATAAAAGTCCATCCTATGTGTAAGTGAATTTTTTCATATTTTAGGCAGGAAATGGCAGGAAATTCGTTTTCAAATTTAGATTTTGTCCCCCCCAATGTTGACTCCATGGCTACGGCCTTGTTCTAGAAACATGAAAAGACACTTCCCATTTAGATGAAGGTGGTGTCCGACTTGTGCGTTTATACCGTAAATGTCATAGAAATAACTGTCTTCTCGACAGACCTGTTCTCCACCTGAGGACGGCTGCTTGCGTTGTGGCCGAAACGTCGTGAGAATTATTTTATTATGTTTTATTTTTATTATTTTATTATTTCCATTCTACGTGACTTTACCGAAAGAACCAAGAAGATGAACTGGGGGAATAACCGCTGGTTTCATATGTCATACATCTATGATTTAATATGCTCTCCAATGTAAAATTACCAATAAGGTAACTGCAATTGGCCTGACCAGCAAGCAAACAGAAATCAATATATGGTAATATAATAAAAGAACAGTGATAGCTCTTTTATTTTCTGCTAAATTTAAAGCACTTTCATAATTTCAAACATATCACCGTAGACTGTTTTAGTTATAAAAAAAAACGCTTAACATGTACATAACACTGCAGATATGGGTAGTCGAAAACGCTCCGTTTAACAATTGATCACCGTCGGTCATCATCTCTGCACTGCCGTACAAAGGCCTCCTCCGCACGCTGTCATCACCATTCTCTCCGTGTCTTGCGAAACCACAATCCGTCCCACTCCTGTCGGCGTGAGTTGATTTCATAGCTCCATCTCCCTGGCCGTTTACGCCTCGGTGGGACACATTCGCCTTTCCTTTGGCGAGGTTAAGTTGAAACGGCAAATATCAAAAATATAACTCGATACACGAAGCGCAGTCTAACAAAATGCTGGCAACAAAGCAAAAGGCCTGACGATATAGGTTTGATACAATAAGTTAAAAATGCGGCTTTAATATATCAAAATAGATAAGCAGACAATATGTCTCCTTCATATATTTGACGAATCATTACTTAAGTGGTATTTAAAAATAGCAGGTGTTTTTCACATTAGTGATTTTTTTTTTTACATAAAACTAAATACAGTATGGTGTGTAAAACATTGTCATTCATTCACTCGTGGATACTCGCTGCATCCTTTGTAAACCTTTTTTTTCATAGCAAGAAATCTTTCCCACCATTTTTTTTTCCAGTTGAACAAGAAATAATACAATCTAAATAAAATACACTACGCAGATACCTTCGTAACACACACAACACAGTAGTCATAGTTAACGTAGTGTCTACCTTCTTCCTGTTACCGTGTCCTTGGGGCTGCCCCAGGACATATCACGGCAACAAGATCTCACAATACAGGAAGACGGGAGAACTACATGTCAATGCAACGTCTTGAGTGGTTTTTATGTTACACAACTGACAAAATAACTCCCAGTAACATTAATGTCCCGCTAAGACATACAGATTTCGCGGGACAACCACCTCAAAAATAGGACGTCCTAAGAAAACCTGCGCAGGTGACAACACTGCCATCTCCGGACGTTGATTTTAAATTTACTCTTCTCGCGAACGGCAGCTTTTCCGTTTAGGAAGCCAACGGGGCTCTCTGCGGCCGGGTTTCCAGAGTCTTGGTGCCACTGCGGCAGATTCTCTCCCGGCAGAGGCCCCGCGGAGCCCTCGCCACGCATCTCCCGGCGAGGCGTCGGGAGCCCGCCCGCCCGCCACCAAGGTTGGCCGGTCGCCGTAGCAGGAAGCGAGCGGCGCCGCTCACACGGGCGACACCGTGTAGCGCACGGACGCCCCGTAGGCCGGCGGCGGCGAGGAATTCGCGCGGCGGCCGATCATGTGCCTTGGCTCGGTGGCCTGCAGCACGCGGCCCAGGTCCTCGTGCGAGAACAGGTTCTCCCCATGATGCTCGCCGCCCGGCTCATCATCGAGGCGGCGGCGGCGGTGGTGGTGGTGGTGTTGGGCCTCCTCCGCAGAGCGCCCCGGCCCCTCGGACAGCAGGGACTCCTTGCTTTTGCTAGAAGCGTTTTTTACGCAGCGTTTGGAAGGAAAGGGTCGGGTGGGTGGTGTTTGGTTTGGGAAATTTGTGGGAGGGTGGGTTTGCAATGAGAACACACGCACACACAAATTCCAATTAAAACAAAACGTGTGGCCTGTTCGGTTGAAGCAACAACAATCTCTTCACCGTTTTTTTTTTTTTGCGATACTCGTCTTAGGTCCTCGTCCCCTGGCCAACAACAATTATTTAGCCGTTTTTATTTTTTCCAGGGAAAGAACAGTGCCGGACGTTTTGTGCTCGTACCCGAAGGCTGCCGACGACCGCGAGCCAACCTCCAGCCTCTTGAACTCCTCCGAAGCCAGAATCATCCCACTGTCCGTCTGGTTCTCCTGCGAGAGCGGAAGCAAACACAGCCGCTGTGAAAAATCCGGCCGCTGTAAACGCCACGAGCACACGAAGGCCGTGCGCTCGTCACGGCTCTCGTGAACAGACTGCCGTCGATAACGTGGCCCCGGGAGGCAGCGTGTTGCCGCTCGTTGCAGAGGTTCGCGGTTGAAGCCACGCGGTCGGCCCCGGTGAATACTGCGGTTTCTATTCATCGCAAACATTACGTGCCATCTGCCCCCCCCCCGCCCCCCTGTGTGTGTGTATATATATACTGGCGTCACGCTCCGAAATTTGCCGAATTTGAAAAATTAGCTGCAAATTGCTCAATTGGGAAAACATTGCCTTGACTGCAACATTTTGCAAGAACCTCCTGAAAAAGCCCTGCGACTCAGAGAAGCTTCAGCAGATAAACAAAGGGAAATAATATTATTCTAAACCAAATTATGGGGATATAATCGCATTTCAATGGGACAATTCCGGGGAGCCCAGAAATATGACTCCTTGACAAACCATAAAAAATTGTTTTGGCTAAAAACTTAAGTCCGTGGGCTACACTGCCAAGCCCCCTGCTGCAAGGTAATTTCCATGAGAGAGTGAATTGAGCTGCGTGCCTTACATACGGTGCGGTCAATGGCTCGTGAACTAACAAAACATCTCGCTTGAGTTATGCACGATCGTGATGGCGCCCAGTGCGTGCCTATTGCCTTGATAGAGATAAAGTTTCACAATATTCACATTCCCATAACATTGGGAGGAGGGGGGGGGCGGCTGAGGGCTGAGTGCCCCCCCCCCTCTCCGCCCACGTTAAGCAAGGTAACGATGCAGCGTTGCATATGTACGCGTCGCGCGCTTCGGGCTTGGGTGTTTGACGCGTGGCCTGGCTTCCTACCTCTCGCGAAACCGGAGTCGTTTTCTCCAGCGGCACCTCGTCGAACGTCTTCACGCTCACGGGACGGGCGATCTTCCTGCCCGACGAGGAGTACCTGCGGGAGGCGACACGTTCGTGTCCATGCAGCAACAAGTTCGTGTCACGGCGGCCACTGGCTTTTTAGAGTCGACCTTAGGGGAGGCCAATGACCGGTTCAGACAATCGTCACTGTGTGTCGGCCGTGAGGGAGATTCAAGCTCGGGTCGACAGGTTCGCAGCGCAGCGCGCTAACCAGCACGCTACCGCTTGCCACGTGTACGTACATATTCTTGGTTCTTTCGGTAAAGTCACGTGGAAGGGAAATAATAAAATAATATAAATATAAAAGAATAAAAATTCTCACGACGTTTCGACTGCAACACAAGCAATCATCATCAGGTGTGAAATCCACAGAAAGAAAATGTTTAATTTAATTTTTTAGTATCGCAAATTTTTTCTAATTTTCTTTCTGTGGATTTCACACCTGATGATGATTGCTTGTGTTGCAGTCGAAACGTCGTGGGCATTTTTATTGTTTTATATTTATATAATTTTATCATTTCCTTTCTACGTGACTTTACCGAAAGAACCAAGAATATGAATCCCTGCAGTCACGAAAGCTTTAAATCACGTGTATCTACGTTGAACTTCTTTCACGCCGTACGTAGCCAACCGTGTTAATCGGAGATGTGGGATGAATCCTTCTGAAACTGTCACAGAGCAGCGTGACCCTTCGTTTTCAAAAATGGTCCACAGAAGCAGACACCACAGAGCTACCTCTGGTCTCTGATCAAGTGACCTGTGGTTTACACAGCAGGGGCAGCGCTGTCGCACCTTCACTGCTCCTGAGAGCAATGCTCGTCACATGACGGACGTAGCAATATGTTTTTTCACTCTCAGAATTATAATGCACCAAAATTGTGTGCAGAACCAAATTCAACGTGATGGGTTTGTTGAGCGCAGTCATTGATGACCGTGTTGAAACCATCAACTCACTACACTGAAGAACCCAGTTTAACCACAAGCGGCTGTCTGGATTCAAACCCAGGGTCTCAGCGGTGTCTGCTTAAGTACACTTAGTCACATATTCACTTTAAGATGTTTTCTTGTTCATGTTTTTTGTTTGTTGCGGTTGCACCCGATTTAAGAGCCGAATGGCTCACAGGGCGATACCTAATAAATGAACTTGAACTGCTAAGCCAACCAGCCACCTCCCTGCGACCTGGTTTTAACTCTTAAGGTCCGCACAAAACACGAGTGGCAATCGATGTCTGACCTCCTCGCGATGAACCCGTCCTGAAACCGCAGTACGTTGACTGTAGTGCAGTGTGGTTGACATCGGCACTTAAAAGACAAAGGCGGTTGGGCATAACGCTTATTGCCATATCGACCTGAACGGGTGACAACACTTGCGCCAATAGTAAAAGTCTACAGAGCGCGTCTTCGTTTGCACATGTGCGCCTGCGCCGTGTGTAAACATCAGCACTGGGGAGACAAAAGCGGCGGTGCACAGTGCTGGCAAGCCAACCCCCTCGTTTGCCGTGCCGGCCTTCATCGGTGCTCGGGAACAGCACTTTCCCCGACGGCCTTTACAAAAGGCTGTAATGGGGGTATCATTGTCTTCGTGGGCGCAAGCACAGCGATCGCTCGGCACCTGAACGTGGCCACGTTGTCGTAGTTGAAGTTCGGGTCGTGTGGGTCGTCCGCCGCACAGGGACTCGGAGTGGTGAGCAAGGAGAATCCCGATTCATCGTCCAAAGCCACCAGGTAGTCCTTCCCTCCCTGCGCCCACGCACACGGGGGGAGCCACGTCACGTGGGTGTGCGAAGGGGACGCTCGTTATTGCGCCGGTAGCTGCGAGCGTGACTACTGGACATATGTGAAAAAGAGCTTTATAGCTCATCGAATTCCACCTAGTATTAATACATATTCTGCACGCACGCACGCGGACATCTCCTTCTCCCGATTGTATTTTGATTGTGCATTCAACGGTGTGGCATGAGATGAAGAGTTTATCTACGTTAAAAAACAATAACTCTAGCAGCGAGCAGTAATATCCCCCCCCCCCCCCCCCCTGCGTCAGAGCATGGCTCTGCAAGATGAAGTTACAAAAGCTGCTTTTCATGTCGCTTCAATCGGTCTCTCTTCTTCCTCGGGGAATGTGTTTACTACATCCACGCTCGTCGCACACGCAGAGCGTTTGTCACACGTCAAGCTGATCTTTTTAGAATTACTATTTTTCGAACAGCTGGGAATCTGCCACATTAGGTGAAACGCAACATTTTGCGTGATGGGAGTCTCCGCACAGTCGCGAGGTCACCTGCCCGAGACCATCAACTCGCTACGTAGCTGTGAACCCAGTTTCATCGCGCGTCACTCGACGCTGGCATTCGCAAAGCCAAGGCCCTCAGTGGTGCTGGCTCAGCCCCCGGACATGGCATGAGCCCCGAGCCTCCTCTCGGCCACAACTTGCTTGGCAAACATTATCCCCTCGGCTCGATGAAATGCACGAGGTCAGTGACGGCGCTAGGCATAAGCAAACTAAGCACATCCTTAGGGTTGCCAAGAAAATCAAAAAGGCTGCGGATGCATGGAAAGGAACAGGGGCGCATCGAATATCAATTCGAATTCAAAACCTACTGAACACAACGCAGCTAATTACCATCAAAACGCTCGTCGTTCTCACTTGCCCCCGGTTTTGTCTGTGTCGCTCTTCTCTCATCCAACTAAATTTTTGTCCCTTGTATATACATCGCCATCTCTTGTCCATGTCCGCACTAGTCCATTAAAAGATTGGGAGGGGCGGCTGCTTGCAATGTGCCAGGACCCCAACACAGTGAAGGCGCTGTGGCCGGTGAGTCTTGCTTGCCTGCTGCACGCTGGCTTGCAACAAGTCCCCCAGCCGCTCCACCAGCTCCGAGAAGGTTGGCCGGTCCAAGGCGTCCCCACACCAGCTGTCCAGCATGATCTGATAGCTGCCGGGAGCAAAGGCACAGGTCAAGATCCATCATATAGCCTCAACAGACTGCAGGGGCAAGGCAGCTCCTTTTAAGGCCGGCACGGTACGCGTAGGTGGGTGGGTGGCCAGCACCACGCCGCTACCGGCAGCACGCCGCTACCGGCAGCACGCCGCTACCGGCAGCACGCCGCTACCGGCAGCACGCCGCTACCGGCAGCACGCCGCTACCGGCAGCACGCCGCTACCGGCAGCACCACACTATCGGCACCGCCAGATAAACTGCGGCAATGGCTACAGTAATGGTGATCAGCACGGTGAGGGTGATTTCATGATTATGGAGACCGCATGTTGATCAGCACGATGGCTGCAAATTTCCCTCCATATTCGTCGATCGGCAGGTCACTGTGGTGGGTTAAAGTGTGGGTGCATCTGCCAAGCGTGGAATCGAAGGCCAAATATGCTCGAGAAGGGCTCTCCAGAGCTCCCTCTGGTAAAGACACTTCCACCAGCAATGGTGCGAAACAGACATTCTTGGCCTGTACATGTACAATCCCCTCGTCAATGGAGTTGGCCAAACACCCCAATTTATAGGGCCACATTGCTTAGGCAATCGTTGGCGCCGGTTCTAGCTGTCTTCCCGATTGTCTGCGGTTTCCCGCACCTCTGAATCGAAGGAAAAATCGTGCACGATACAAATTTGTGACGTTGACTTTAAAAAACAAAAATCTTCACTGATTAAAATTTCCATATTACTAACAATGGACAAAATGCAAGCTCTGTTGGTCAGACAGAGGCGGTCCAACATTCTTTGTTGTCGACCGCTCTCCGATAAAGTTGGACAAAATCCATGACAAATATGTGCGAAGAGATTGAAATGAAAAGCTGAACAATGTCTGGCAGGGAGACCTGGAATTCAGCACTGAAAGTCCAGACGCCGGTCTCGATCATTCTGAGCACAGGGACACTGGAGCCAGGAAACACCTACGCACCTGTGTCAGCGCCTTGACCTCCCATGAGTGGGACGATGATGAGGGCAACAGAAGACGGCGCAACAACATCCGCTGTTGTACTGCACTCATACGCTCCTGCGATTTTCTATCACCGATGCTTTCACCAACCGTATGGTCAAATAACCCCCATTTACCCGCACTGCTTGGGAACAGCCTTCTCCAGCAGTGGATTGACAAAGGCCTGCCTCTTCTTGGTTCTTTCGGTAAAGTCACGTAGAATGGAAATAATAAAATAATTAAAAGAAAACATAATAATAAAATAATTCTCACGACGTTTCGGCCACAACGCAAGCAGCCGTCCTCAGGTGGAGAACAGGTCTGTCGAGAAGACAGACATTTTAGACTGTCTTCTCGACCAACCTGAGGACGGCTGCTTGCGTTGTGGCCGAGAAGACAGACATTTCAGACTCTGTCTTCTCGACAGATCTGTTCTCCACCTGAGGATGGCTGCTTGCGTTGTGGCCGAAACGTCGTGAGAATTATTTTATTATGTTTTATTTTTATTATTGTATTATTTCCATTCTACGTGACTTTACCGAAAGTACCAAGAAGATGAATCCCTGCAGTCACGAAAGCTTTAAATCGAAAAAGGCCTGCCTGTGTATGTACGTGGACAATATTGTTAACTGACTCTTGAGAGTGCACTGAAGGTGACACACATACCCAGGTGGAACCACCACAGTTCATCGGTGAGTGTTGGTGATGTTTGATGCACGTGCGTGGAAAGTTTGAGTTGTGTGTAAGGAGCGGTGGCGCAATGGTTAGCGCACCGCGTTACGAGCCCGGCGACCCGAGTTCAATTCCCCAGCGTAGACAGCACGAGGTGCGTATCACTTCACCCGCATACATAAAAAAAATTCACAAATCACAATTCGGGGGTCATGATTCGATTCAGCAATCAAATTTTTCTTGTATCGTGTTTACCATCTCGTTTGTATTGCTTCTCTTTTCCTATCCAACCTGTACAGGTTTGTTTGGTCCATTTGACTCCGTGTAAAGTTATAATTTGTATAAAACTTTACACGCAAGGTACGATGCATGCATTGTGAGCACAGTAATCGTGTAATCGATGAGTCAAGGCATGATTACATTCCAATGGATCTTCAAATGTCGTGGGACTCCCTAGGGCAACTCAACCAAAAATGAGTAGCTGATAAGGTGTGGGGGTCATTACCACTGACCGCACCACACCTTCATTTTCCATGCATGACACAAATGCTATCAAAGGAACCTTTGTCCTGTGTGTGTGTACTGTAGTGTATGTGTGTATGTATGACGAGGATAAGCGGTGGCAACGGTGGTTAGTGAACTGCGGCTACACAAATTAAATTCCTGGCCACGTGCTAATATCCGTGGAAAGGGAGTTTTTTTTCTACCAGTCCTAGGTCTCCCCCCTAGGTCGACTCAGCCACGAACGAAGATAAAAAGGCAGTGGGGGTGCGGAGTTCTTTTGGCCATGCCGCAACCGACGCACGCTGACCGGGTGGTCGTTAACAGCACTTGCCCCAACCTTTTGAACAGGCTACGTGGGAAGTCTTTGTCTTTGCTTCGTGCGCGTGTGTGCGTGCGTTGCCTCACATGTCAGGTGTGCTGTACTCTGGTGGCCGCATGCGGGTTCCGTCTTTCAGTCGCCGGCAGAAGTCTTCATCGATCTGGACTCCGGGGTAAGGCGACGCGCCTGCAAAATTCCAAACGGTCAACTTTTGTTGATTGAATTTTGACTTCAAACTTCCGCGAATGCAGGAATTCATATTCTTTGCTTATTTCGGTAAAGTCACGTAGATAGAAAAAAAATCAAGTTAATAAAAAATACAACAAGCACTAATGTAGTCTGTAGCCTGGTTCTTAATCGGATTGAGTGTACTGTCAATCTATAATGTAGACTGTAGCCTGGTTATTAAGTTTGGTGAGTGTACTGGCAGTCTATAATGTAGACTGTAGCAATGGGTATTAAGCTGGGTGAGTGGACTGGCAGTCTATAATGTAGACTGTAGCCTGGTTTTAAGCTGGTGAGCGTGTTGGCAGTCTATGATGTAGACTGTAGCAATGGTTATTAAACTGAGTGAGCGTACTGGCAGTCTATAATGTAGACTTATTCTGGCTCTTTCAGTCATAAAATAAAAATAAGAATACAAAAAAAAACCACGACGCTTCGATCGTAACACAAGCGGTCGTCATCAGGAAAGGGGGGGTTAACCTCTAAAGGCAAACTGCTTATAAAGGTTTAGAGATGGACAGGGCAGCTAATGTTAACGGAGGAGAAAACCCCGACACCGGCAGTAGGTCTACACCAATCAAAGCATTGCACCTCGCTCCACACACACCACACTGCTGACGGTGGAGGTTGACAAGAAAACACAACCATTGGAACCTTATTTGCCAGTCAAAATATGATAATTGGTTTTTTACCCTTCTATCTGGCAACAAAACTGACACTTTTTTACAGGGAGTCATGTTTGCATAGACCACAATACCTGCAGTCATAATGCAAACAAAAAACACAACTCTGATAATGTGCACTGTCCTTGAAGTTGATTGCTCCACACCCGAGACAGCTTTCCTTAGAGCCTAGTCTCACATGAGTTGGACCAGATGACGCCAAAAGGCGCCTCCTTGTAAAAAGGTGTCAGTTTTGTTGCCAGATAGAAGGGTAAAAAAACAATTATCAAGAAAACACAAATCAAGTCATGACCCAAAGTGGTTGATGACATCTTTCCAATGATTGCTGAGCTTATAACCATCCTCTCGGTTGAAATTGTCTCTGTGTCTGTACATATGGATGGCTTCATGAACGAATCTTTGTTGATAGCCAGTATAGGCTTGCAAAGTACTATCGTCTTAGAGAAATAAATTTGGCGTGAGCCAGCTGCATTAAAGTAATAATGATCAGCCACGGCAGAAGTATTGGTCACTTTATTATTATTTTTCTATCTACGTGACTTTTCCGAACCAAACAAAGAATTTTGTTTATGAAGAAACTTGAAAAAAAATGCCCGATCTTGACATTTTATGACCAACTACGGCACTGTACAGCTCCGCCATGTGTCTTCGGGTTGCACCGCGTGTCGCTCGGCACAATGTCCGACGTTTCGCTCCACGTGCTGGGAGCTTCTTCAGACGGTACAACCCGAAATCACACCAGGGAGCTACGCAGTACAACTCGGGCACTCTCGTTTGTGGGACACCGTAAATGTTACCCTCCTATGGAGAAGTTTTTGCCTCCAAAAAACAAATCTAAACCATCTTATTATTGGTTCTTTCGGTAAAGTCACGTAGAAGGGAAATAATAAAATATTTTTTTTTTAAGAATATGTAACTTATTTGTTTGTTTGTTTATTTTATTATTTCTTTTCTTTATTTTATTATTTCCCTTCTACGTGACTTTACCGAAAGAACCAAGAATATGAATCATTGCAAGCATCGAAAGCTTTAAATCGCAAACTAAACCATCTTGTTAGCATTGTATTGAGGCGTAAAAAAATACTATAAATGTGCGTGTCAGTTGATCACGCAAATTGAGACGAATCGTCATTTCTTAGAACACTTTCAGTGCGTACAAAACGCATGCAGCGAAGGGGTATGCATCATTTCAAACGTTTAAACTTGCAGCATCAAACATCTCGAGACACGAGTTCCGTGACCGTAACGAGGCGGTCGTAATTGTTGCAATAATTCAGAAGGATCCGTCCGGTGGACTCCCGGTCGCGTCTCTCACGGATGCTGGGCAGGGAAACCCCTGAGGACGCATTAGCGGCAGGAAACCAGACAGACCGCGTTCCCATTAAGAAGCTCAAGAAATAACTCAGCTTCTCCGATTCGAATTTATACGAGTCGAGTAAGTTCCCGTTTGCCACAACTGAATTTTGTTTATCTTTCAAATCCACTACTGCTGGCGTTGCGCCATGCAATTAATGCGTCGTTTGTTAGTGAAGCGCCCTCATTATAGGGGCCGTCCCTAAATGACGTCACGCGATTTTGGACGATTTTTGACCACCCCCCTCCCCTCGTCACGCGGCGTCACAAAGTCAGACCCCCCCCTCAAATATGACGTCACAAAGCTCTGCCCCCCCCCACCCCCCCAAATAAAACATGCTTCAAATCGCTTTAAACTATTGTCATTGTAGTGCGTATTTAATGTGGCGCTGCACTCTGATGTTGTAGGAGAAAACATTTATTAAAAGGTCTATTTAATTAAGTAGAACGTGTTGTCTACATTTATTTAAAGTTGCGCATTTTAATGTGTCACATTTCTCAAACCCCCCCCCCTCGTCACACATCGTCACAAATATCTGACCCCCCCCCTCCCCTAGGTGCGTGACGTCATTTAAGGACGACCCCATACATATCTGCGTGCTAAATTGAACGGTACCCATTACATGTTTCTGATTTCAATAAAAAAAAACTCGTTCACTGCACCCTATATGAATTTATTCGACGAAACCCAAAGCACGCGTCCCTTTTTAAATCCTTTATATTAAGTTTACTTGCTTGCTTGCTTGCTTACGACCGTGCAAATCTTTCGGTCGTTTTTTAACCCACTTCCCGTTATCCAATCGAGCTGACATTTTGCACACAGACTCGTTGTGCGAGACAATTTATTTTCGTGAAAAATTTTTTCCATAACTTTACACTTTTTAGGGAAATGTTTTGTATATTTAATTACCAATTGCTTAATGGTGGCAGGCAATCATCTGACCCATAGGTGGCCGCCATCTCAAGCCAGAGGACGAGAGGACTCTAGCCGCCACTCATATAAAGGATTTATAGTGAAAAACTTTGTTTTTACGGGTTAATTTTTTATCATGTTCGCGAGCAGGACACGTTTTGTGTTTGTCGTACGGACGTAGCCATTTTCATTTACCGCCTCAATTTATTCAAAAATTTTCAATGGAATGAGCAGCACTTATTTGACTGGGGAAATGCTTCATTCGGAAACCCAGTCGCAGAGGTGGAGGCTCTTGAGATGAAGGCGTCCGGGAATAGACTGCCAGTACACTCACCCAGCTTAATAACCAGGCTACAGTCTACATTATAGACTGCCAGTACGCTCACCAGCGTAATAACCAGGCTACAGTCTACATTATAGACTGCCAGTACACTCACCAGCGTAATAACCAGGCTACAGTCTACATTATAGACTGCCAGTACGCTCACCAGCGTAATAACCAGGCTACAGTCTACATTATAGACTGCCAGTACACTCACCAGCGTAATAACCAGGCTACAGTCTACATTATAGACTGCCAGTACGCTCACCAGCGTAATAACCAGGCTACAGTCTACATTATAGACTGCCAGTACACTCACCCAGCTTAATAACCAGGCTACAGTCTACATTATAGACTGCCAGTACGCTCACCAGCGTAATAACCAGGCTACAGTCTACATTATAGACTGCCAGTACACTCACCAGCGTAATAACCAGGCTACAGTCTACATTATAGACTGCCAGTACACTCACCCAGCTTAAGACCAGGCTACAGTCTACATTATAGACTGCCAGTACACTCACCAGCGTAATAACTAGGCTACAGTCTACATTATAGACTGCCAGTACACTCACCAGCTTAAAACCAGGCTATAGTCTACATTATAGACTGCCAGTACACTCACCCAGCTTAAAACCAGGCTACAGTCTACATTATAGACTGCCAATACGCTCACCAGCTTAAAACCAGGCTACAGTCTACATTATAGACTGTCAGTACACTCACCAGCGTAATAACCAGGCTACAGTCTACATTATAGACTGCCAGTACACTCACCAGCTTAAAACCAGGCTACAGTCTACATTAGAGACTTCCAGTACACTCACCAGCTTAAAACCAGGCTACAGTCTACATTATAGACTGCCAATACGCTCACCAGCTTAAAACCAGGCTACAGTCTACATTATAGACTGTCAGTACACTTACTCAGTTGAATAACCAGGCTACAGTCAACATTATATACTTTCAGTATGCTCACCAGCTTAATAACCAGGCTACAATCTACATTATAGACTGCCAATACGCTCACCAGCTTAAAACCAGGCTACAGTCTACATCATAGACTGCCTGTACACTCACAAAACTTAATAACCAGGCTACAGTCCACATTATAGACTGCCAGTACGTCCTAGAGACGGCGGAGGAGAACTGAGATTGGCAACGTCGTCATTTAGAAAGTGAGCAGGGAACTCGGATGCGTTGGTTGATATTGCCACGCAATGTCCCCTGGCACCGCTGCACGCTCCCGGTGTTACTGCTAGAACGCAAAGGGCCTCGCAGTCAGTCTGAGGTTACGTCAGCGGAGCTCTTTGTAAAGTAGTTTAATGTGTCCACAACACCCATGACTGATGCAGTGTGGGAAGACCTTCACATGGCGGTGAATTGACACGGAACTGCAAGTGATTCATATTCATAAATATAATTGCTATGATTCCGATAACATTTCTCCAGGGGTTTGCCATCGCAACAAAAGCAGGGTGAGGCCCTTATTGCGTCACTTTGGAGGCTATCCAGCCAGTAGATTTATTAACTGTAAACTCATGACACCAGTGCCTTTTTCTCAACACAGCTTGGCTCTTCGGAGTGATGAATGTATCTTTAAAAATATATATATACGTGAAAGAGAACGAAAAAATAACTTCACTCATTACAAAAATGTCTCTACGGCTCGACTTTGGTTGCCACCTCTGAGGACAAATCAGAAGAGGGACGAACGAACTACACGTGAATACTTTTTGGTGCTTTCGGTAAAGTTACGTAGAAGGGAAATAATAAAACAATAAAAATAAAACATAATAAATTAATTCTCATAATTTGTAGTGAGAATTATTTTATCATGTTTTCTTTTTATTATTTTATTATTTCCCTTCTACGTGACTTTACCGAAAAAAAAACAAGAAGAAAAAATAATACATCACGACGTTTCGATCGCAACATGAACGGTCGTCCTCGGGTGTAAAAAAATAATCCAGCAGTGGAACTGCTGAACCAGCGAGAAAGCTGTTACAACATGTGAATATCATTATAATACGAGTTTTATAATATCACAACTATCGTCGTATACCTTTAACCAACTATCGTTACGCAACTGACTAAAAGACAGGACTTTGAATGTACTTGGAAGACTTCACAGAATTCCCGAGGTGGCGACCTAAAATAAAAGGGCGATTCTAGGAAAACTCAGACCAGGTGGTGACTCTGGTTTGTACCTGCAGATGTCTGAGCAAGCGGGAAAGATCCCTGGTTATTAGAGCACGTCATTCTAAGTCGTGACATTGCTGAGCAGGTATTTTTACGTGCCCAATTACAGGCTTATTATACAATTCGCTCCTTATTTATTTTTTTATTTTGATGCCTCGGCCCACAGTCACAATTTAATCCGCTTGCCCTGCTGTCACAAAGGCTTTGCGATCTCCCCGTATCTCTGAATCACTTAATGTCTTTGCACAAATGGCTCATCCATGAAGCCGTGTGCGGCTCATTCAATTATTTTCTGGCCCACGTGACAATTTCAAAGCATGTGATCGATTAGGTCACTGTAGAAGAATGAAAGAGCGTGTTCTGTGCGCCAACGGCATCATGCGGTTTGTTATCGCGGAAATAAAAAAAAAACTTAGTGCAGCTCCTTTCTCGTAAGTACGAACTAATCTGCGATTCCAGCCCTCATGAGAAACCGTCGGAGCACGTGGTCATGATCTCTGCCTTCCTTGGCCTCAATTCCCGCCAAGACAAAGGCAGGTGCAAATTAGCTCCGAATCTTAACATCGCGAAATTGTAAAATCAGCTCCCACAGCACAGCAAAAAAACGGATTTCGAAAACCCTCCAGAAAAATAGAGACTTGAACCGTCGTGAGAATTTTATTGTTTTATATTTTTATTATTTTATTGTTTCCCTTCTACGTGACTTTACCGAACGAACCAAGAAAACTTGAGGCTGCGTTAAATATATTTGGCAAACAATAGAAAAGATTAAGACATTTATGATAATGTTCAACCTTTTGTCTATCAACTGCTGGATGAAGGCCTTTTCAATGCAGTGTTGGTCACGGGGGTTGTATGGCCATACTTCACCACGCTGGCCACAGTGAGTTGTTTATGCCGGAGGGAGGGGGCCCAGAATGGACACAGATATATTTCGCCACTGATGTTAGCTGTGGACCGGTACATAATGCAGTGCGCTAATCACTATGGCACTACCCCCCCACCACTTCCCCTACAAAAAAGATGTTATTTCAGTAAAAAATAATCCCAACTTGTTAATATTCAACTTTGCGAAATGTAAATTTGCAATGTTTGTAGCTGTACTGTTATTTTAGGAAGTAAAACAAAATCCTGCTTATAATTCAACCCTGTTAAATTTCTATTCGCAATTTTCGTGCCAAATGTTTCCATTGCTTGCGACAAAATGATTGCTCAGTTGCCCCGACCTTTTTCCCCCGACGTGCAATTACAATTCTACTTTTAAATCCACCAAAAAATTCCTCAATATTACTCCAGTGTCATGTCATTAGACAACGTATCAGATTGGGATCTCTCACAGGGCAGCGCAACCACCCATGTTAAAGGGTGACCCACTGATGCAAATATCACAGAGCTAGTGTATGACATTTCTTCTAGCAAACCTCTGGCCCACACAGCAGTAGGAAGCACTTTCCTGCCCGCTATGTGCACAAGACATGGGGAAGTGGTCAGAGCGCTGATCTGGCAACACTGAGATCCTGGGTCGGAAAGCAGCTATCTGCCTCTGATTAAAGCAGGTTCTCAAGTGTAGTGAGTTGATGGTCTCATAAAAAAAAAACATCATGTTAAATTTGGTTCTGCACTTAAATTGGATAAACTCCAGCTCTAAAAATGAAAAATTGCAGACATTCCTAACGAGTCAAGACGAGGTTGGCGGGAGGGGGGGGGGGTCCTAGTTGGCTTCCCTCAGCACCGCGCTTAAGTTCTCATGGAATATTTTGCAGGTCACTGGTAGACTTGGAGTAGGTGACACGTGACTAGTAGCTTCAGCCATAGCGCAAGGCATACCCGATGCGGTGTACCAGATGTGAAACAAGTGTCTGGGTTACCGTTAGACTGGAGGAGTAGGCACGTGAGCCGTAGTGTGATTGTTCGGGGTGTGCAAATATTTTTTTCTGGGCCGATGACCCAGACAGATCCGGCCGACATCAAGGCATCACTCACCCAGGGAAAAGATTTCCCAGAGAAGCACTCCGAAGGACCACACGTCGCTCTGCGTGGTGTACAACTTGTCAAAAATCGACTCTGGGGCCATCCACTTGAGCGGCAGACGAGCCTGAAAATGTCAGTGACAGAGCAGACACCGTGCATGTATGACCTGCTGCAGGAACGTAAGCTATGTTGGCAAAATGTGCAGAACTGAAAATAAATACCAGCTATTAATAATCCACCAGGTGTCCCGAGTGCCTTGTCAGTCACGAGGGGTTTTCTGTTACCATACTTCACCACGCTGGTCAGGGAAGGGTGGTGTGAAGCAGTGTGCGGTAGGGGCAAGGTCATGTCAGACGTTGCCGGAACTCAAACTCGGGTTGCCGGGTTCACTCTACAACCACTCTGCCCATAATGATATTTGCATGTTTTTAAATCCTTTATATTAAGTTCGCTTGCTTGCTTGCTTACGACCGTGCAAACCTTTCTGTCGTTTTTTAACCCACTTCCCGTGATCCAATCGAGCTGACATTTTGCACACAGACTCGTTGTGCGAGACAATTAATGTTCGTGAAAAAATGTTTCCAAAATTTTACACTGTTTAGGGAAAACAAATTAAATATTTAATTACCAATTGTTTAATACTGCAGACAATCATCTGACCCATAGGTGGCAGCCATCTCAAGCCAGAGGACGAGAGGACTCTAACTTTGTTTTTACGGGTTATACTTATTTTACTTCTGTAAAATAAAAGTTTAACAAACAAATAAAAAAAAGAGTCTGCCAAAGAGGTTCTGGCTGGCCAGGGCCATATTTCAAGTTACAAAATGCAGAAAAAAACATTGCTGGGCAAAATTATAACAAATTCTTGAGGTCTCAAGTGAAAGCACAGTGGCATTCCAGTGAAACGATGCTGTTCTTCTCTAGCGACACTCATACACACATCGGCCAAAACGTTCCCAGTTTTATCGACAAACTTTCTGCGGGCATAACCGCATGCTCGTTGAGTTCATGCAGAGTTTGCAGATGGCTTTCATTAAGAATGTTAAACGGCGCTTTAAATGCTCGTGTAGAGATTTGCCGCGTCTGCCCAACATCAGACCCCGAGCGGAGTTCCTCTAACCAAATGGTATTGGAATGAAATGAACACAGGTGATTTCCATCCCTAACCCTCAATTATTTACCAAATAGGTGGGAAGGGGGGTGTCTGCAATTGCCGGGGGGGTAGGAAATTATGGCAAAAGTCTTTTGCAGCCTTTTGGCACTTGCTTTCTTCAAGAGGCTATCTTGCGCTGACAATTCCTGAGGAGTGTCTTCCGATCGTCCTGATCGCGAGGCTGTTGGCATCCGCGATAGTAATGCAAACCTGCGCGAGATAAACCCCTCCCAAACAAACGCAGACGTCAAACTATTCCTATCGCATCACGGGCCACGTGCAGGGGCTTCTCACGCAGCGCCTTGCGGCTGCTCGCCGTCGAACAAAGGCGGCGGCGGTCACCGCATCGAGCGCCTTCAGATGCGCTTCTGCGGCCGTCTGGAACGCTCTTCCTTCCCATATTAGGAAGCCGCCGGAGCTAAGCACTTTTAACTCGAGATTGAAAACTCATTTCTTGAGAACTGCTTTGTGTGTTTAGGTTGTTGTACCCCCCCCCCCCCCCCACCCACAGTTGCAATCAGCACGGACGGCTACGTACGGTGCGAAAGAAGTTCAACGTGCATGCATACATACACGCCTCCATCACTCCCAGGATACTTCTACCTCGCTTTTCGTCAACCCCCGCCCCCCTCCCGGGCCGATTGAGCGGAACGTCGGACATCGTGCCGAACAACGCTCGGCGCGGCTCGTAAACACGTGGGTGGGGGGGGGGGGATGCGGTGGGGGGGGGGGGTAACTGAGGAAGCGGCCTTCCCTCGCGGGGACGGCCACTTCCACCGTGTGCCCTACTCACGTCTCCCTTGCGCACGTAGTCCGGGTCCTTGTAAATGTCGCGAGCGAGGCCAAAGTCGCAGATCTTCACCACGTTGTTGTCGCTCAGGAGGATGTTGCGCGCTGCCAGGTCCCGATGGATGCACTGTGATGACGGCCCCCGTGGAGAGGGGGGAGGGGGGGAGGGGGTTGACGGATCGACGAGGTGGGTGATGAATGGGGGGGGGGGGTGAACGAAAATGTAAAATATAAATAAATTAAATGAATACCAAAAAAAGCCAGGGGCATAACTGTGGGACGGAGAGCTGACATGCAGGAGGGAGGATGGCAACAACAACACCACCACAAAAAACAGGACGTACATTGTGTGGAAAACTGAATTTTGTAAAAAAAAAAAAATTACGGGAAATGAAATGTCACAAGAACGAAAGACAAACGTTTAGGGGGCTTGTCACGGTTGTCTATTTACGTCGATGCAAATTCTACAACAGCAAAGCTCCCTGTAGCAATTACGTAACGATCCCTTGTACTTTTGTGTGCACAAAAGTTGTGCAGCCCGGCGCTGCAACGATAAAGTTTCAATGCCGTCCTGATCGTTCATTTACAGCGATATTTCTAGCATGGGGCTTGTGCAGTACCCTTAGTAACTGGATAGCAGCAAAAAAGTACAGTCATACACATTGGTAAAAACCTGTGTTCACAGACCGCATGGATGAGTGTTATCAGAACAAAGATCTGCAAGGGGTTTAAGATGCACCAATCGGCGACGTCAATCAAATGTCGTTGTTGACGCTGCTCCGTTGTCAGTGGTGCACAAAGCGAGAATAACAACAACAACAACAGCAACAAGCCCAACGTGTCCCGTCAACAGCTCTGCCTCGAGAGGACGACTACAAAACGGGCGACGTTTCGGGCGACGGCGTCTCTACACGGCACGTCTCGACACTGGATTGGGATTTTTCGGACGAATCCAGCAAAGTCAGGAAAAAAAACATCTCTCGTCTTGGGATATGGGGACTTTCACCGGTTCAGGTGGTGAAACTGACTGGCACCGCGCGGAAGGTGCGGAGAAAACGATCACTGACGAATCATGGGACCTTCTTGGCCAGTGTCAAAATATAAGAATAGGTTTTTCCCATTTTTTCTGACAACAAAACAGGTGTTAAGATGTTAAAACGCCAAACTGAAACTTTTTGCAAGGAATCATGTCTGCATTAACCACAGATAGTTGTGGTGAAAATACAAACAAAAACCATGCTCTGACAGTACACACATTGTCCTGATGGTGGCATTGTCTTTGTGCTATTCGCATTTTGACGTCCTCTGGTCTAACACCGTTTGAGACTCGGCTCTAAAGAAAGCTGTCTCTGGTGTGGAGCAATCCGTTTCAAAGACGATGCATCATATACTGTCAGAGCATGTTTAATTGCTTGTATTTTCACCACAAGTACCTGTGCTCAATGCAGACATGATTCCTTGCAAAAGGTTTCAGTTTGACGTTTCAACATATTTACGCCTGTTTTGTTGCCAGACATAAATGGAGGAAAACCCCTATTCCGATAACTGCCGAAGGCGAGCAGAGGAGTGGAGTACCTTGCGGGAAGACAGGAACTCCATCCCGCGAGCGACCTGGAAGCTGTAGCAGATGAGGTCCTTCATGTTCAGCGGTCGCTTGCAGGTCTCGTCGAGCTCTGAGCATCAGACATCGGGCAGAGGACACGGCACGTGACGGCAATCACAGACGCCTCGAGTGGAGAGCAGCAAACAACAGCTAGGTGTGTAACGATGCATCGAATCTCGATTTTTAGCTTTCGTGACTGCAGGGATTCATCTTCTTGGTTCTTTCGGTAAAGTCACGTAGAATGGAAATAATAAAATAATAAAAATAAAACATAATTACATAATTCTCACGATGTTTCGGCCACAACGCAAGCACCCGTCCTCAGGTGAAGAACAGGACTTTGTCTTCTCGACAGACCTGTTCTACACCTGAGGACGGCTGCTTGCGTTGTGGCCGAAACGTCATGATAATTATTTTATTATGTTTTATTTTTATTATTTTATTATTTCCATTCTATGTGACTTTACCGAAAGAACCAAGAAGATGCATCGAATCGTTCAGTAACGATTCTTACGCTCACGTGCCTAGATCGAAGGATGGGTTATTATTTTTTCGCGTGTGTTGCAGAATGGACGCTGCTGCACTGCAATGGTTAGCGCACCGGACTTGCAATCCCCAGAGGTCACCGGTTCAATTCCATCTTCCAAGAGTGGCAGAGTTGTTAATGTAAAAAGAGATCAAGTGGAAACGGGCAGGGCAGGGCATGTCATGTCAGCAACTGACGAAAGGCGATGGGGAAAAATTACTGTGTGGATCAGAGACGGCATCGGAGAGTTCTGAGGCCACTATCCGACAGGAACAACTCATTTCTTCAGAACAGCTTTTTGTGTTTTAGTTCGTTGTCCTTCTCCCGCACCTGCGATGAGCACGGTTGGCTACGTACGGTGCGAACGAAGTCCAACGTGTGTACGTACAAGGGAATGGAAGAAAATTGGGGACGCCTTCGACCAGCTGACAACAGCAGCAGCAGCAGCAGCCAGGCAGTAAAGACAACCAACAACACTCACTACGCCTTTGGCGCTCAGCCTGCTGCTGCAGTCACCGTACTTCTGTCAACAATGCGGTCGGCTGAGATTTGTTGTGGTCAGCATGCTTCACTTCGCGAGCGAACGGGTGAGTGCGTGCCTTACCCGCACGTACGCACACGCACTCATGCGTGAACGAAATACCGAGATTGTGTTCTTATCTATGCACACGGGCACACGCGCACACACGGGCACACGCGCTCATGAACGCAAAGGTCCCCTGTATAGCCTGTAACAGACTCTTGGGGCAAGAGTGCTGTTAGTGAGCACTTATAAGAAGGCCAACACGGCACACAAGGGGGATGAGTGTCCAGCGGTATGCCCGCAGTGCTGATGTTTACACACCGCACCAGGTACTCATTTGAGGCTGCCCGGGACCGGTTCAAATATCCACCACTGATGTCGGTGGCCGTGAGTGGGAATCGAACTCGGGTGGCAAGGTCCGAGGCGAAGTGCGCTAACCGCTGCGCCACCGCTCGCTCGCACGCACGCCACCCAACCCCGCAGCGGAGCCTCTCGTCGGCCTGCAGCCCGAGAAGCGAAACGCTGGCACAACCACGGTCAAAAAAAAAATTATACTTTGGCTTCAGGTCAAGTTTATTCTCTTTTGAGAGAGAGAGAAAGGGAAAAAAAACCATGAAAAGGTTTATTTTTCTGTCAACGTAAAGTGGCACTAAACACGTTACGAGCGCTGGCGCTCGCAAGGCCTCCCCCGGTCGCTCAGCGCATCAAGCGCAGCTGCAATGAACTAGACTGCAGAGCGTGACCTTGAGACAGCGTAGACGTATGTATGTATGATGTTGAACTTCTTTCGCACCGTACGAAGCCAACCGTGCTGATCGGAGGTACGGGGGGGGGGGGGAAGGACAACGAACTAAAAGCAAAAAGCAGCTCTCAAGAAATGAGTTTTCAATCTCGATTTTAAAATGCGCAGCTTCAGTGGCCTCCTAATATGGAAAGGAAGTGCGTTCCAGACGGCCGCAGAAACACATGTGAAAGTGCGCGATGCTGTGACTTTGTCTTTGTACAGACTCGTATAGCGTACAAGTTCGTATAACGTCTCTCAATCCAAGAGGCGTGTTAACTCGAGTCTCGTACAACTTTAATCATGTCGATAGTTGTTGGCTTGCGTGATGGGCCTGTCCTCAAATGAATCAATGGGGACACACACGCACTACCCCACATTACACAGTAATTACACGGTAATTATAATATTATTGTATAATATTGAAGCCACCCGCACCAAAGTATTAAAATAAAGTCCTTGGAGGTGGGGGCGGGTAACATGGGAGGAGTTGGTTGGCGACAAACACCACATTTTGCCCTCTCGGTGGCAGATCCAAAGTTGAAGGGTTGGGGGATTGTGGTGAGATGGGGGCAATGCCAACCTCCCCCCCCCCACGTCCCTTGGGAGGTGTACAGCGGCCTTCCCGCCCGCTGTCGCGACGTCGCCCGCCCCTACCTTCGTCGGCCTCGCATTCCCTCAGCGTCTTGTCCTCGGCGAAGCCGGAGCTGTTGGAGCTCCGCGAGCTCGCCACGCTGTCGAGGCGACGCGTCTTCTCGTCCCCGTTCTCGCGCGTGTTCGCCCGGTCCCCGTGCGTCTTGCCCAGCCTCTCCTGTGGCGAGCACGGCGGAAACTCAGCGCACGCGCGCGACACCGCACGCGCAAAGCCCTGCAGCCGTGCAGCCGCGGTATCGCTGCCACAGCGCCGTGCGCACGACGGGGACAGCGGCTGGTAGTCGGGAGGTTGCTAGTTCAATTCGTGGGTAGGGGTAGACTCAGCCCATCATCATCCCCCCACCCCGGTCGATAAAATTAGTACCACTTTGTGGCGAAGTAAACCAAGGTTATCCTGTGCATAGGCTCGCCCCCTGTCATGGCAATGTGTAATTTCCACCACTGGTTTAGGACTGTAAGCAGGAGCTGAGCACAACCTCGGTGCACATTTGAGCAAGGAATCACCAATTTGAACCGGCGACCTCTCACCATTCCACCACGACACTGCAGAAGGCACGTGACCAGTAGCCACTGCCATAGCGAGAGGGATACTGGACGTGGTGTGCTGGGTGTGTAAATATTTTCTGGCTTGCTGACCAAGAGATAGCCGGCTGAAATAAGCCGCTGTGCACAGACAGCCCTTTCACCGGGTGTGCGAGTCGTGGGGGATATTTTTCCAAACTTTGCCACGCTGCTCAGCGTGGGTTGGGTGAAGACGGGGAGCTTAGACGTTGCAGCGTAGAAACGCGACAATGGATGTTTTACTGCACTGACCACTGCTGCCCACCACATACAGCCCACAGCCCCATGACTGCCCGCAAGGCGGTCGCCCAGCCAAGCACTGCCCGTGCACAGTTCCGCCTGGCTTCCGAGATCTGAAGAGATCGATCCCAGGTACCTTGTCGGTCACGAAGTCCTGTCTCTTGTTGCGGAGGTAGTTGGACAGGTTTCCGTACTTGCAATATTCCACCACCACCATGAGTGGCCCTGCGGTTGGATTAACAGGCGAGACGCACGGCAAGGGTGTCAGGGTCGGGGTGAGGCTTGTGAGCAACACTGCGCAAACCTCCCAGAGTGCGCAGAGCGGAAGGCACGCGTTGACATGCCGGCGTGTGCCAATCTGGTATGTGTGTGTGCCGGTACGTTGTGGGTGCTGATGCGGTGTGTGAGTTTGTGTGTGTGCTGGTACGTTGTGGGTACTTGTGCGGAGTGTGCGTGTGTGTGCGGTACATTGTGGGTGCTGATGCGGTGTGTGAGTTTGTGTGTGTGCTGGTACGTTGTGGGTACTTGTGCGGAGTGTGCGTGTGTGTGCGGTACATTGTGGATGCTGATGCGGTGTGTGCGTGTGTGTGCGGTACGTTGTGGGTGCTAGTGCCGTGTGTGAGTGTGTGAGTGTGGTACGTTGTGGGTGCTGTGCGGTGTGTGAGTGTGTGTGCGGTACGTTGTGGGTACTGGTGTGGTGTGTGAGTGTGTGTGTGTGTGCTGGTACGTTGTGGGTGCTAGTGCCGTGTGTGAGTGTGCGTGTGTGTGCGGTACGTTGTGGGTGCTGTTGCGGTGTGTGTGTGCGTGTGTGTGCCGTTGCATTGTGGGTGCTGGTGCGGTGTGTGAGTGTGCGTGTGTGTGCTGGTACGTTGTGGGTGCTGGTGTGATGTGTGTGTGTGTGCCGTTGCATTGTGGGTGCTGGTGCGGTGTGTGAGTGTGTGTGTGCGGTGCATTGTGGGTGCTGGTGCGGTGTTCACCTCCGGGTTTCGTGCACGCGCCCAGCAGGTTCACCACATTGAGGTGGTTGCCGATGTGGATGAGGATCTTCAGCTCTGACATGAGGGCATGGTATTCACTGGTGGTCGCCCCCTCTGGTGGGAAGGACACATTCGCGCACGGACAAACAGAGATCATTCATCTCGTGGCACTGAATTCCCAAAGAAGCTCCTAGGACCAGGGGCGAAACGTCGGACATCATGCTGAATAATACACGGTACAACTGGAAATCACAGCCGCACAACCCGATGCAGTATCAAGACAGAAATCAGAATTCACCCAAACAGCCTTTTTTTATAAATTGCTGAAGCCAAGAGCTGCTAGCGGGCATCTTTTATTGGGGCTGGCACGGTGCGGAACGGTGTGGGGGCAGCACTACGCCCTGTCTCCCCGGTGCTGATGTACACACACAATGTACCAGGTACTCATTTCAGGCTGAGTAGACCCAGGGGAGGCCCAAGACCGATTTAGATAACTGCCACCGATGTTAGCCGGATTCTTAGTGTAATGCACTAATCACTGAGCTACCGTTTTCTCTCTCCAAATACAAAGATCCCCGTATAGTCTTTAACAGACTTTTCGGGCAAGTGCTATTAACGAGCATCCTAAATACACACGCAAGAGACACACACGAACAAAGGCTGCCCATGTAGCCTGCACAGTCTGTCGCGGCAAGACAGCACGACGTGCCACGTGACTCTCCCACGTAGTCATCTGCAATTACCTGGGCCTGGCACGTGCATTCCGGGTGATGGTGGTAACGCGTCGTTAGCACTTTTTTCAACTTACGTAAAAAGTTATTATCGCGTGCCAGAAACAAAACGTCCCTGTCTATGTACAGCTCTCGCCATCTCGTGGGGGAGGGCAGATACGGGGGAGTGAGAAAAACAATCACACTCCCGTTAATGATGGAGTGTTGGATGACTCCCATAAATTAGTAATACGTCATTCTCTATACAGCCTTTGCGTGTTACGCGCCATTGCCTATAAAAAATGGATATCATAGAAATGTTTTATTTATTTTCAAGCCACAGTGTTATTGACCACTGTCCTGAGTGTTTTGTCAATTGTGCTTGTGCATCACTGCCCAACGCAGCCTTCATAGGTGCTCGCTAACAGCACCCACCCCAACAGTCGGTTACAGGCGATACAGAGAACCAGCAGCATCACCAAATAAGTCCCTTAAATTAAGGTCACAATAACCTGGCCACATGAGTTGGATTTACAACCAAGGCGATCACCGTTAGGGTCGGTGATATCTAACCTGTCCTTGGGTATCTCCTTCACCAATCCACACCGACCGGCGTGGTGAAGTATGGTCAAACAACCTCCATGACTTGCCCTTTATCCAGCAGTGGATTGACAAAAAGATGTAAATTGTTCTTGTTTAAAAAAAGACCCCTACGTATTACTATGAACAAGAACGAATCTGCATTTCCTGTGTCTGGAGTTCTTACATCTAGCAGCTGCCTAGGCTATCTGATCCAGCCTTGCTGGCAATAGACACCAGAATGAGTCCACGCTATTGGGAAGGAAAATATGTTATTTAGTACTTCAGGTTTAAATCTCCACTCCCTTCTTCGCTCTTTATTATTCCAGTGATGATGAAGATATGGGTGGGACACATTCTCAACCGCTGCTTATTTTAATACCGGCCTTCGAGTCATGTTGATGTGGGGAGAGGAAATGACCGCATGCAATAAGCCACTGTTGAATTATTGATATTTCAAACGTTCACTCAAGGATTCGAGCAACCACTTTAAAAACGAAGCGGCCCATTAGGCTGTGCGTGTTATTGTTTCAATGAACATTTCACTTGACACAGACGCTTAATTTTGCAAAAATAACAACTCCATGAGAAATAAAGTTATCTCATTGGGAATAATGATTTTCGTTTACAGTAATAGGTGGTTAAACGCCCCAGCATCTCAAAGCGTCTTGCAGCACATCTCATCTCAATCATATCATTTACGACTAATGCCAGTAATTACAAGGGCGGCCTCCTGGCCTCCCGGCTTCAAACCGCAAACCTCGGCAACTCGTGGCCAAAAAAAAAAAATGGCGCTGCCGCCGTTTGCCGTCTCACCTTTGAGCATCTTGACCGCCACGGTGCGGCAGGTGGACGATTTGTCGATCCCGAACGCGGCCGCTTCCATCACCCTCCCGAAAGCGCCACGGCCCAGCGTCTTCCCTGCAAGTGGGAGGAGGGTCATCGCTCGAGGTCGCGACGCCAACCCCTCACAACCCCCCGCCCCACCCCCCAACTTTCACGCAAAAAATGCGTCCAAGCGGCAAGCAAAATCCGAAAACCGCAAGAGCTTTGTTCATAAGCGCGCACTCCGCGTTTGCGTTCACGTAAGCGCGTGCCAAGTGGAGGCGTGCCAAGATCCCGTCCGTCACATTACGTATGTGTGCAGAACTTGTTTCGCGCTGAGCGTAGTCGATCGTGCTAATCGGCGGTGAAGAGGTGCGGGCAACCACCATCGGTGGCTCAGCCACATTAGGTGTTTGAACACGTACGTAAATCCACAGAGGCTCACACAGTAACAATAGCGCTTAGTGAGGCTCTACACGCTGACACCATGATGGTATGAATTTCTAAAGTCACCTGCTCTTGATGATCGCACTAACTCATGCCGCAACAGCAAACACACCATAACTATAACACTATTATATAATATTCATCATGATTGCCAGCCAGGGATAGTCCACTGGTGGATGAAGGCCTCTCCAAGCCGCCATCACCTCACGATCCTGCGATGTAACGATCCATCATCTCACCATTGGTACCTCATTTGGCAGTAAAAAAATATGATAATAGTTTTTTTACCCTTTTATCTGGCAACAAAACTGACACCTTTTTCATGTTTGCAAAGACCACAATACCTGCAGTCATAATGCAAACAAAAAACATACCACGTGTCCTGCCCGAGCCACCTTACTTTCAGTTATAACTTGGTCTTTACCCTGTGCACATATTCTTTGTGTCTTTCGGGAAAATATTTCACCTGATGACGATTGCTTGTGTTGCGATCGAAACGTCGTGATATTTTTATTATTTTTCTATCTACGTGGTTTTCCCGAAAGACCCAAAGAGTATGGATTCCTGCAGTCACGAAAGCTTCACATCAAGACTGCCCACGCTTCTTCGCGCACTTTTGCGTTTTTGTTCCGTTGAAGTTTTGTCAACGACCAATCTTCTGAACCACACTTCATATCAGGAAGTACGCAATGATTAAACACTTTTTTTCTGGAGGCATATTGTTATGTCACTCTTCATGATCAAGTTCTGCATTCCAGAAGCAAAGGGCAAATGTCTACATTGACGTGAAATCCCAAAACAGGCAAGAGCTTTGCTTTAAATACACTCTGCTATTCAATGTGCTTAGCCTTGGGTTCACATTAGCACATTCAACTTAAGTCATGCCAAGATTTTTGGTGCCAGATGAGATGGTTCAGTGGTTACCATGATGACCAATCTCAACACACACACGTAGATTCACACAGACACACACAAACATGAGCACTTAATGGCATTCTAAACACCGATACCACGTGGTATGAAGCGCGAAAGTCACATGCGCACGCTAATCACAATAACTTCTACCAAAAGAGCCCAGCATATCTTAAACCAAGACAATACAACACTTTATTTACCTAGTAAAGCCTCGCTGGGTTATAAGTCTTTATTCAGGAGGATCCTGAATTGTGATGTTTGGCCAATTTGATTGAGCCATGTTTGTCTTCATGTGGAATAAAATTAGGGTACTCAAACATACGAGGGGATAACACTTAAATCCCCCACACAGATGAATTCAAGAATCCGTTCATATCCTGCGATGTTCTGGCCACCGCACAGCCCAAGCCGACAAAACAAATTATCGTTCCAATCCAAGTATTGCCCAGGCTCAAACCTGCCGAGCCTCAAATGTCTCATGAGATTAGGCGCATGAAGGGGAGATTTGATTGTAGGCTAATTCAGAGACTGTATATTTTTTTATCTTTCAGATATTTTCAATTAAATGAGATCCTCCATAAACAATGTACCTGGCAAAGCACACTGTGACACGACGCGGCCATTCGACAAAGCTCACGGCATTTCGCTCCCAAAAAAACTAACAACAAACCTGCAATTTGGCGAGTACGAGAATCCGGCTGGAGAAAAATTCTCAAGTCGCCGTTCTCTGGGACAATTAATGAGCAGCAGAGACGCGGGTGGCGCCCCTCCCCACCCCCGAAGCAAGCGAGGGTTTTCGTTATCTTCACAACGCTCTGCGGATTGCGTGGGAGTTCGACCGTCAAGGACTAGGCCGGGCGTACAGACCCCGCATGCCGCGCGACACCGCGCGCCCGCGTTGTACGTGTGTACACGTACACTGAAATGCTTTCGCACCGTACGTAGCCAACCGTGCTAATCGGAGGTCCGGGGAAGGACAACAAACTAAACTCAAAGAGCAATTCGTTAACTGCTTTTTGTTAACGCAGAGGCACGAGTTTGCACACGTGCGTTCGTTCGCATGCACACCTGTAATCGCAGTTTGGAACGCGATGTTTCTTCCACGACAGTTTTTTTTTGTTCTGCCAATCAGGAGATTGCAGGGCTTAATTTCCAGCTGGTGGTGGAGTAGGCACGTGACTAGTTACCACAGCCACAGCGAGAGATAAACTGGATGTGGTGTGCCGGGAGCGAACAGATCAAGCCACCGAAATTCAGCCCTGAGTAACGGCATTCACTGCACAAGTAGCTGTGGCTGTTGGTCTCGCCGCATCAGGCCATACACGAGCAACGAATTACTTCGATGGTTACACCTGATTTCATAGGCAAACAGACGACACGATGATTAAAATCTGTCAATGACGGAGAAAACCCCATCGCAACGAAGACATTAGCGCAGGTCAGAAAACGAATAGATTTAACAAAAACGCGCAAAGATGTCCAAGAATAGCACTCAGTTCTTTTGAACTGAGAGCTGGGGGTTTGGATAAGGCTTTTTGTGCATGCTATGCAAATCTTCATGTGTTATTAAGTCTGACCACACAACGTTGGTTTAAATTTCAAACTTTGCTGTTCGAATGCTACAATTTGTGCCCTTGTGTTGTCGTGGCGTTATGTGACAGCGTGTTGCAATTGAGCAATTACCAACGCACTAAGCGACGCTATTTCTAGACTCATCAAGCTAAATAGAGGATCTGTGCGTTCCTGTGCATGCAGACTCACGTACGTGCGCGCGTGTGCGTGTGTGGCAGCTGGGCGTGGTTCCGGCCACACCATTCCTCAGGGCCTCCGTGTGTTATGGGTACACGCGCGAATGGTTATCTGTGCATGAGTGTGTATGTGTACGCACGCATGAGTGTGTGTGCATCGCCAGTCATCTCAGTCAGTCAAACCATAGCACCTGGGCCTGTCCCGTGACCTCCGGCCAGTTGCGAGCCTTCGACACTTCACGTACTGCCTCAAGGTGCACCTAGCCTGGCACAAGCGCCGTGGTTTATGACTGGTCGACAAACCAACTGCAATTGATTTAGGATCATAGCTCACGTCCGTGGCAGGATGTGTCTGAATAATTCCGAGCCTCCTTTAGATTTACTCAGACTTATTTGAGTGTCTGGTGTGGTATAAAAACAAGGGCACACAGTCATCTTCATCGGAGCTCACTTCGAGCACTTTCCCAAAGTTGCTGTTACGAGGAGGATCTTTGTCTGCGCCTTTAATTTTCCTGCGTGCACCGAGCCTGGTATAGGCTCTACAGTGATGTCACCGCCACTTAGTGGGGGAGTGGCGGCTATTACCTTTGTCATTGTTGCTGTGTGCGTTTGTGCAAAAAAAGAGCCGGCTTTCATGGGTGCTCGCTAACAGTCTGTTAAGGTTTACCCGGGAGATCTTTGTCTTTGCCTGCATGCGGACCTAGTGGCCTGCCTGCGTAGGCACGTGGGCGCGTGCGATCACGCCTGCATATTTGCAAATTTGGATGTTCTCTCTTTCTCCCAGCGTGGTTGCGTGGATTTTTCTCCGGGTCCTCCGTTCTTTTTCCCTCTCCACGTTAAGAATCAACATCACTGCGACTTTAGAATCCTTGGCTCCCGTACATTTCCACACGATGATGATAATCCACTTCGTTGAGCTGACATTTGCGATAGCCAGCCCGCTTCTGAAAAAGAGCTACGCAGCTCAGTGGGCCTTACCTGGTTTCAAATAAATAAAACATATAAAATTTCGATTTAAAGCTTTCGTGACTGCAGGGATTCATCTTCTTGGTTCTTTCGGTAAAGTCACGTAGAACGGAAATAATAAAATAAAACAATTAAATACATATCACGACGTTTCGGCCACAACGCAAGCAGCCGTCCTCAGGTGAAGACCAGGTCTGTCGGGGAAACGTCGTGATAATTGTATTTTATCATGTTTTATTTCATTATTTTATTATTTCCACTCTACGTGACTTTACCGAAAAAACCAAGAAGAATAAAACGTTTAGTTTAAAGATCGTACCCAGCTTGAGCCGGTCGCGCGGGAACTCCCACTTGCTGGCGTCGTAGGGAAGCCGCTGGCACTGCTCGTCGAGCGGCACCTCGCCGGGGTCCATGATGATGGAGAGGTAGCCCGTCTTGATGTCCGCACTGCTGGGCTGCGGTCGACACGACGGTCACGTTACCGCTGAACACGCGGCCTTAGCCAACAGGCCACACTTGGGTCAGTCATTTATAATGATTAAATAAATAACGGTTAAGAGACGGATGCACATTTTGCCAAAACGAACTATAATTTTGATCAACTGTACCATAATTGACGTATGAATGTATGGTGAACATCTTTCGCGCCGTACTTAGCCGACCGTGCTAACCGGAGGTGCGGGAGCTTGCACGTTACTTGATAGCCGCACAGGGACATTACCCCCTATTGGCGGACTGATGCCCACTTGCTTCCCGGTTGCTTTCACCCGTAACAGTTTCCTTATAGTGGCCGTTTTAGAGTCACCGGAACATTTACTGGCATGACTATTGGGCTCGCACTAAAGCATGCGTTTGACAGATGAAAAGAAGTGACGGCAAGGTGTTGTGACATCAGTGGCACTGGTCCGGATGACCTCCTCGTTTCGCCTTCTGTGCTGGCGGCGCTACGATTGCGTCGTTTTGACCTACGACCTGGCGGCGCTGTGATTGTGTCGTTGTGACCGGCGACCTATTTCTGCCACAAAGGAAACGATGGGGTCCACACATTTCACGGATAATCTCACTCGACGGGGCTTGCAGAGGATGTGCGCCGATCGCAATCGACCGGCGCGCCGTCATTTGTCGCGGTTTCAAACGAGGGTTGATAAGGACGTACGGAGGAGTTTTACATAACCGAGCGCTTACAGAGCGCTGTAATTATATCACAAAAGAAGAATCACCGCGTGGGTTTTGGCCCCGCGGCAGACGCGCCATGCGTGAAAGCGGCTGCCTGTAGCCAGGGTCACTCTCACGTGAAATTCGTTATGACAGCTTCCAACAACGGCATAATGCAGCGCGCATCGGGACCTATCAGAGCCGCCCTTTGTGCCGCTGTAATAACGAAGCTCGCGGTGAAAAAAAAAACATTAATTAATTTCCCCAAGTGGAGCAGAAAGAATTTGCGGGCGATTTGTGTGTTCTTTCTTTCTTTTGCGATGTCTTCCTGGACGCTGGCTCTCGGTGGGATCCACCGCGACTCACAGCTCCCATGCCCTGTTGCCCACGCGTCTATTCATCGCGCTTTATACGCCCCTTCATTTTAAGTTTATTTGATTGGATTTCGGAGAGAGCACGGTTTATATCCGTATTAATTCGTCCCGTTTTATGGCCTTGTAAAAAATGTTCATCCCGTCGGACCGCTTCTCCGACCGAGATGTACGTAACGTTGCCGCGAATCGCCAAATTTTTTGTTTGTCTTCGTTTACTTTCGGCGCTCACAAAAGCACGTTCGGCCGTGTGCGTCAAATGGATAGCTTTTAATCGCTCTGCTCGCCCCGTTCATTCTGAAGCCAAACACCGAGCGACTTTGTTCCTGCCACGGTTTGTTTGCCACCGAGCCTTTTCGCAAAATTGGGCAAAGCATAGATCAGCGGCAAGCGCTGAGAAACTTGTAACCTGGACGGAGAGCCTTTGTTGCCGAGGTAGCATTTGTCTCTCCAACTGTCCATCCGTCCGTCTTTCTGGGGTTGGTTTGGCCGGGGCTGGTGGTGTACATTCACCACGGTGCAAAAGGCTGTCGTGCATTTTTGAATGCCACGTTCTTTGCCCAATTTTACAGCCCTTTGTCAATCCACGGATGTATGAGGGCCCTCCACGCGCCATGTGAGTTCGCGAATGTGCTTTACCATACTTCACCACCTTGGTCGGTGGCAGGTTGCTGAAAGCGAGAGCCCAGGACCGGTTCAGATATTACTCGCCACTGATGTTAGCCGTGGCTGGGAATCGAACTCAGGTCACCTGGCTCACAGCGCGTTGTGCGAGCCACTGCTCCACAGCTCCACACTTCCCTCCCTTAGCTCAATATGCCTCTTCGAAAAACTATCTAACTAAGGGATGGAGATCAAGTTCACTCACTCGGCCTGCTCAGCTCATCATTCTACCGCGGTCAATAAAATAAGTACCACTATGTGGTGAAGTCACCAGCAGTTATATTATGGAAAGACACGCTCCCGCCATAGGAATGAGGAATTTCCACAATTATACACGGGGGGTGAGCACCGCCTCGATGTTCATTTGAGCAAGTGGCGGCTTTTTGATTTTGGCGCTTCACACATGAAACACTTGGCTGTGCAAACTCAAAGCGCTCGCGTAAAGCAACAAAGGAATTTGCGGCGGCGCTGATGATGAAGCGCAATCGAATGTGAACTCGAGTTTTGGCCAGTGGGGCTGTATGGCCACACTCTGCTTACCTGCCTGACCCTGCGGATGAAGAGGATCAGCAGCAGCCACAGCAGGATGCCGATCACGCCGGTGCACAGCAGGATTATGGTCATGTTCGACTGGTCCGACAAACCTGTGGGTTCAAAAAGAATAAGAGAGATGATTATTTTCCAATTGCCAAGCACGGATTTGTCATAAATTGGCAGCTGATAAGGGAGGCAATAAGAAGTGGTCTGCTCAATCATTGTGAAGGTCTTTCTCCGTGCTTTGTTTGGACTAACAAAGGCAGGAAAGGGTTTGTCCAGCTGTTGCAGAGTCAGGCAAACTTCGGATGAGAAAAACACCGGTTAGGAAGACATGGATAGTGATGGTTAGGAAGGAGACCTGTCCGTGATCTATATATATACATACTTTCAGGGTCTCATTGGTTATTAGATGCCCCGTATTTCTCACTGTCAGCGTGCATTTCATTTTGACATTAATTACAAGCGTACTGTGGCCACATAAGTTTAATACCACACCAGCATAAGCTGAATGATGAATTGTGGGATAGAATGTGAAATTATTTCAAAGCTGTCAATGAAAGACTTGTACAGCACAGCACGAGTAAGTAAGTTAATCACCAACAAGGGCTTAATTTCTCGCGGAATAATGTTCAGGTTGCAGGTTACATCGGTGTAGACACTTGATTATTAGCCATTGCCATGGCATGAGATATACTGGATGTGGTGTGCTGGGTGCGAAACTGTTTGATGGGTTGCCAAGCCGGACCGACCCGACTGAAGCGAAGCTCTATCATCACCCATCTGTGCGGAGTTTGAAGTGTATATCACTCCAGCAAGTGGCCAAACATCCCAGGCGGCACTTTACCCGAAAAATAACCACGAAACTCACCGAGGCTTTTCTGGGTAGATCACCGAGAGAGCCATATTTGATCGAATGCAAACACATTACAGGTATAAAAGAGCACATGTGAAAATAAACACTGACATTAAATCACTCGACAGACTTCTCTGCTAATACCCACTCTAATAATAATATATTGTAGGGATATTGCCGTGGTGTAACGGTCAGAAAACTGGACTTCAATCCAGAGGCCGCTGCTTTGCTTTCTCCGCTGGTTCAGGTGCCTCTATGGAATGGGAACATTTATTGAGTCCCTTCGCCTATTTCCACCGAGCGGGGTGAACGGACACACCGCTGTTCGTCGATTTGCAGATCGCGCCTGGTGGGGTACAGGGTGGGTAGGGCAACATAGCCACTCGAGGCAGCTCTCCGGAACGCTCTTTAGCGGAGGCCCTTTCGCCAGCAGCGGCGTGAGCGGGAATTTGCAGGACTTTCAACCACCTCCACCTCGTACGATGACGCATTGTGAATGGTCTGCGAACATGACGCGTGCGTGCGTCGTTCTGTCCGTGACGCTGACCGTGCACGCTGACGATGGTGGAGGTGGATTTGTCTCCAAGGCGGTTGGAGGCGTAGCACACGTACTCCCCCGAGTCCTCCTCCTTCACGCGGTCGATGCTGAGCACGCTCCCCGACTCGCTCAGCCTCACCGCTACGGGGGGCACGGGGGGACACCAGGGGGGGGGGGCAATGGGGGACACGGGGGACACGGGGGGAAACCAGGGGGGGGGGTAATGGGGGACACGGGGGGACCACGGGGACAGAGTGAGACACTTAGGGTTGTGACCGTGAGGGGTAACACCATTTGACAAGTTAGGGGTGGGGGGCTGAATTATTCCATTGTGGGGGGTGCGAGGGAGAAGATGGAGGGGAGGGCAGGAGAGGGGTGGGACGTAAGGGGATGGGGCCCAGGGTGGAGGTGACTCACTGACATGCATCATCTCTCTTTGATTGCACAGCGGGCAGCATGAGCTGTAGCCGAGGGGGTAGGATACCAGGCGGCTTCCTTGAGTGTGTGAATGTCATGAGCTCAGGTTACATTGTACTTCCTTTTTCAAGTCACCCCGAGGCTATCCGGCTGCAGCAACTCTCCATTCAGCAACTCTCAGCAACTCTGTCTCTTTCCGCTGACTTGATCCACGGTGAAGAATGGCTGCATTTGGGCAACGACTTCATACCGCACGACCCGATATTTACCGTCACTGCAATAAGGGATCTTAGCCGCATTCATTGGGTCCTAGAGGGAAATACTTTTGGCCTGGCAACAAGGCTGCTTCTAATATTCCTACCGCGCGCGCGTGTGTGCGCGTTTACGTGGGGTGCCTGCCGAAGGTACTAGGAAGTGGCCATTCGCCGCTGAGTAAGGAAGAAGGCTCCCCGCTGCCGTGTCCCCGTGCGAGCCAGGCTCCCCGTGACAGCCGGGGCGGAGTCGCGCTCGGCCCTTACCGGCGCCCGGCGTCAGGGGGCGGCCGTCCTTGAACCAGCTGATGGTGGGACGCGGCCGGCCGGACGCGCTGCACTCGAGACGCAGCGAGTCGCTCACGTTCAGCGCCATGGCCGATAGGTTGCGCAGGTGCACCGGCTCCTGGGCTGCAGCGCGCGGGGACAGGTCGTGGGCACACGCGCCAGGGACGTCGTTAGCGCTCGCTCGCTCGCTCGCTGGCGATCGGTCGAACACGCGCACGGCAAGACGAGAGCGAAAAGGTGGCTTCGTCGCGCCCCCCCCGCCCCCCCACCGTACAATGCGACTTTTTGCCGTGAACAATTCCGGTGAATTACTTTCCCTTTTTGTGGGGTGGTGGATAATTATCTTTCTCTTACCGCTGGCTGCGGACGGCGAGAGCACACATAGCCACTGTTTGTCTTGTACAGCCGGTATGCTGCCTCACCTGTTTGATTGAGCAATTAGATTTTTTTATATTTAAAAATACATAGTTATAAATATTGATGTAAATACCTACAGTCCTATGCAACTAAACTGTTGAACTTTTTTATTTTATTTTACCAGGCAAGGTGCCACTAAGCCATGTAGCTCTTTTTCAGAAGCGACCTGGCCACAAACGATAGCTCAACGAAGCGGCTTACAAATGGGAATCTATCGCCGCCAAATTTTCTAAACGAGTGATTCTAAACGTGGAGAGAAAACCCAGAGAACCCGGAAAAAATCCAAGCAACCACGGCGAGAACATGCAAACTCCAAACATACAGGCATCAAGGGTCGTATCGAACCCACGCTCTCATGCATGCCAGTGAGGTAGTTACCATCTCGCCACCACGGTGGCCATTATTAAATAGAATAACATTTGTATTTTGCATGTTTTTCTCACTTTCAGTGCTTTACCATCAAATACAAGTACAGTAAATAAGACATTGTATTACTTCCTCGCGACGTCCATCACACTGCGAATGAATTCAGTTGCGATGCAGTAGCTACAACCGAGTCTGAAGACGCGAACCATCATCCTGCTGCGTACCGGCGCGACCGATATTTTGCCATGGCTGCCGTTCTTTCTCTCCGCATGCAAGGTCAGGCAGGTAAGCCGGGCGCGCACGGGCGCGCACGAACACACCTTGCAGCTCGACGGTGAGGTTGCGGCGCTGCCAGCGGCCCGAACGGCTCTGCGCCAAGCACGCGTAGTTCCCGGCGTGCGCCCGCAGGGCCCCGGGGATGGAGAGACGCACCAGCGTGCTGTACGTCCCGTCCGTCGCCTCCGCGGGGAGAGCGTACGCGCAGCCCGCGCTCTCCGCCGCGCCCACCGGGGCCGTGGCCGGCAGGTTCCAGCCGGAGCCGTCGAGTGGCGGGAAGAAGGAAGGGGCCGGCGCTGGCGAGCCGACGCTCGGGCAGAGCCAGCCGACGTTGCTGTAGAGGAACTTGTTGGCGCGACACTCCAGGGTCAGGTTGTCGCCCTCGATGGCGGAGCTATCGGCGGAGAGGCGGGCTTCCAGGCCGCCTGGCACGTCTGCGTGGGGGAAGAGTTTACCGTGAGGCATGTTTTGGTCGCGACACCGCGTGGGTTGTTGTCTCGTGGTTTGAGCTGTGACAGCCTCGTCGGGGGGAGGGGGGGTCGCCGTTGACAAAGAGGGCTTCTCAGCTCCCCACGCCTGACCACAAATAAACTGGCCGCTGGGTTTTTTCGGGTTGCGCCGCGAGCCGTCTGACGTTTCGCTCCCAGGGCAATGGAAGCGGAAATTTTAATTTATTTAGGTCCCGAGCAAATCCCCCCCCCCCCCCCAGTGCAAAGCTAAGGCATCGTGCCGAAACAGATGATGATGCAACCTAAAAACACATCGCAATTTGTACCGAGATTGCACTGACAATGGCTATAGAATTAGGAGTCCACTTAACCACGGATTAATCTTTACGTGCAAGAAATTATGTGTAGTCAAGCATGCTATGTAGAGCCCATCACCCGTATTATTATTATCATTATATAACCACTACTACATACTTTCACATGGGAGGAAGAGCCAAAATTGTCTCATTCAAAACCACTTTTCCAAAACAGACTTTTGTTATCGCGCTGAGCTCAGTGGGATGACTGTTCAGAGGGAAAAGGTGCGGGGTGGTGGTGAAACGACCGCTCACTCCGAGTGCAACAACAACAAAAAAACACACACACACACCCTGCAGCCTCCCACACCGCAATACCTTCCCCCGGCCCCCATCCGAAAAGATCATCATGAGTCATCGGTAATTGCCATTGATTACGCACAGCTTGCACCACATGGTCCCGTGACAAAATCGGAGCGAAGTCGCGCAATCTCATTGGCTCTACACTTTAGGAACCACATTTGCCAGTAAAAATATGATAATTGTTTTTTACCCTTCTATCTGGCAACAAAACTGACACCTTTTTACAAGGAGTCATGTTTGCATAGACCGCAATACCTGCAGTCATAATACAAACAAAAGACAATATCAGAGTTATGTCTTTTGTTTGTATTATGACTGCAGGTATTGCGGTCTATGCAAACATGACTCCTTGTAAAAAGGTGTCAGTTTTGTTGCCAGATAGAAGGGTAAAAAACCAATTATCTCATTGGATCTCACAAGCTGGGCAGAGATGGAGACTGCCTGAGAATAGCAGGCGTTGCTGGCAGGGCTTGGAGCCGCAATGGAGCCAGAAGGTGGCAGGGCAGCGATGGGTTACTTGAATCTGGATGTGCGGAGTTTCGCGAGGGCATTCTTTAGGTGCCACTGTTTCACTGCCACACTGAGCCACTCAGGAACGGTGTTGGCGAAACACACCGATGCAGAACTCCCTTGCGATGGAATCTTTGAGACTCTTTGAGGCTTTTCCTGGGCAAATAATTAATTGTCGTAATTATTTTGTGAACGGTGGCATTTTTCTGGATAATCTGTTTGGTTCCCCCCACGTTAAACAAAACACTCCCTTCATATGGTATTTCCCAACCATCCCTGCACAAAACAAGTGTCTTGAGACTCAGTGAGGCTTTCCTGGGTAAATAAAGGTCATCATAAGGGTTGCTATTAGTCACATCAATGCCATCAAATTTAGGGCACAATGGCTGGAAGAGACACGTGACTCACGCCGACGCCACTTCGGCTGCCCCCTCGCATTCACAATCGTCACGTTCCGGGTGACGACTCTCACGACTCGTCATCGCCAGAGGATCTTGCGCAAACCTCTGTCGCCAACTGCACAGGAAGCTGGCAACGTCTCCCCATTGTCCCCCCCGATCCCCAGCGGAGCAGGAAAAGGCCCGTTGAATAAATATGGCACGCGAAAGAAAAGAAAAAACCCAACATAGAGTCTGCTATCGCGTCGGTCGTGAGCTGGGGTGGGCCGAGGGGGGGGGGGGCGACAGAGAAGTGGGGGGGGGGGGGGTTCAGCCTTCCTGTGTGCGGAAGAGAGGAGCACTAACAACTGCGGATGTCCAGCTTCGGCATGGGCGCGGTCGCTGGCGCTGTGCTTCCTGACCTCCTCGGACAGAGCGGGGGAAATTCGCGAATCGCTTGCGCCGCGTCGGAGGGACCTTGCGGTTGGAATGAGACCGTCTCGCGATCACGAAACTGGCTGGCGCCCTTTGACCCCATGTATCTCTCGACAAAACGATAAAGTTACGCAATGCCGTTCAGTGCGCTGAGCGTTACTCCCTTCCTGCGTAGCGTCTAGGCGCTCGTAATGCCCAGTAGGCTCGTGAAGCTGACATTGATGCTTCGATAAATTGCTCGAGTTTGTGTGAGCAAGAGGCAAAGTGATTCTGTGAGTGAACGGCAGGCAGATCTCAAGACATGCAGACAAAAGAGACGTCAAACAGATATACTGCAGAGAATGAAATTATGAATAGGTTTTACCCTTTCTGGGAATGAAACAGCTGTTAAGATTTTGACTTAAAGCTTTCGTGACTGCAGGAATTCATATTCTTTGGGTCTTTCGGTAAAGCCACGTAGATATAATACATAATAAAAAATAATAACAATATCACGACGTTTCGATCGCAACACAAGCAATCGTCATCACGTGAAAATATAGCGCTATCTTTTTCACTTGATGACGATTGCTTGTGTTGCGATCGAAACGTCGTGATATTGTTATTATTATTTGTTCTATCTACGTGGCTTTACCGAAAGACCAAAAGAATACGTGTTAAGATGCTCAAACGTCGAATAGAATCCCTTTTCAAGGAATCAAGTCTGCATTAACCACACACAGTGCCTGTGGTAAAACATGCAAACGACCATGCTCTGATAATACGTGGCACTGTCTTTGAAACTGATTGGCCTACACCAAAGACAGCCTTCTGTGTGGCCCAGTCTCACCAGTGTCAGACCAGAGAACACCAAAAGGCGGACAGTACAAAGACCATGCGCGTATCAGAGCATTTATAGCTCGTGGTGAGCAGCTCTATCATGGGACCTTTTTTTGGCAGTTTGAAAGTATTTTTCATATATTGATATGAGCAAAAAGGTCCCATATACTGCAGAGTGGCACACTCACACATGGACAGACGGACAGACGGGAAGCATGGACAGACCAGCTCCAGTTGCCCAACGTTCACGATGTCAACGTCGTGGACCTGTCTTTTCTCACCTGTGACGAAGAACGGGACGGTCCACTGGTCAGCCTTGAGGTCATTCGTGGCCTCGCAGCGGTAGTGGCCCGACATGTTGGCTTGTCCAATCAGCAGCGAGCTCACCGTCTGGGCGGTTGGGGGGAAAAAAATGGAAACAAAAATGGCAACTAAGGAGTTGGAAGTCGCGCAGATGGCCACAACGCACGCAGCGTGTTTGCATTGAGCTAGGACTCAGCGTCGTCGCCACAATCCTTGGGCAGACAGAGCCCATAGGTGTCCCACTGGCACGTTTCGTCACTTGTTTCCACTTTCCTTTGTCTTGCAGTGTCAATACTAAACTATAATACAACTTTTTTTTCACCAGGTAAGGCCCACTGAGCTATATAGCTCTTTTTTTCAGAAGCGACCTGGCCCTCACAAATGATAGCTCAACGAAGTGGCTTATCACGTGGAAATTCTGAACAGCCAAATACTCTAAACGTGTGATGTTGATTCTAAATGCGGAGGGAAACCCCGGAGGACCCGGAGAAAAATCCACGCGACCACGGGGAGAGAGACATGCAAACTCCAAATATACAGGAGTCTGGATCGGGATAGAACCCACGACCAGGCGAGGTAGTCACCATCTCGCCACCGTGGCAGTCGCTCAAGTAGCAGCCACATCTCTCTGGCACGAATCTCTTGATGTCTTCGTCGAGCCATTCTCTATGAGGTCTTCCTCTCTTTCCAGTTCCTTCCATTTTTCCGAACATTAAACAAGTCCCGGCAGACAAGTTTATTACAATCGTCGGATAACGTTTTTGGGTAAAACACCCTTCTTTAGATTAGCGAATATATTGCTGTCATGATACTTTTTCTTTATTTGTGGTAATCAGTGAAAAAAAGAAGGCTCAAATTCGGAGGAATACAATGCAGCCTGCTGACATGAGGTGAATCATCATGTTCTGCGAGCATTTGACTCACCCATTCTAAAAGTAATAATGCCTGTTTAAAGAATGATTCATTATGAAGCTTGTTTACTGGCGCTGTGCATTGTTAGCAATTTTTTTTTAAATAAATGTACGCCAGGCGGAGCGATATTGCAGATTTTCACTTCACCACACAACAACCGATTGGAATCTTCTTTGCAAAATCAAGATGTGTAACTTCATGAGCCAGGTTCAACATCCTCGTGGAAATGGCTGAAACACATTGCCTTGCAAATTTGTTCCAGAGTTGCTCAATCACTGGCGAAATATTCATAATCTGATACCGGTGTCGGTCATCCTGTAGGTCGACTCAGCCTAAAATGTGCTCGGTGCCTTCATCGGTGCTCGCAAACGGCATCTGCCCCAACAATCTGTGAGCGGGAGCCTTTGTATTATTTCTAGATTTGAAGCTTTCGTGACTGCAAGGATTCATATTCTTAGGTTTTTTCGGTAAAGTCACGTGACTTTGTATTATTCTCTGCGTCTGAGATCGCGAAGGGAGCGTGTTGGAGCCCCGTCCGTCCCCTCACCTTGTTCTTGTCGTTGAAGACCTTCATGCGAGTGTTGATGGTCACTCTGTTGGGGCCGTTGATGACGTGGAAATGCGAGGGCAGAACCACCCAGTTCTGCTTACGGGGATAGCACCTGCAGCACGGGCGGCGTACGTTACTTGAAACGCATGGGCAGCACAGGGCAGCGTGGACCACATGGGCAGCAGGAAGCATGGAGCACATGGTCTGTACAGGGCAGCATGGATCATATGAGCAGCACAGGGCAGCATCAGCATGAAGCACATGGGCAGCAGGAAGCATGATGCACATGGGCAGCACAGGACAGCATAGAGCACATGGTCTATACAGGGCAGCATGACGTGCATGGGCAGCAGGAAGCATGATGCACATGGGCAGCACGAAGCATGAAGCACATGGGCAGCACAGGGCAGCATGCAGCACATATGAGCAGCACAGGGCAGCATGCAGCACATATGAGCAGCACAGGGCAGCATGAAGCACATGAGCAGCACGAAGCATGATGCACATGGGCAGCACAGGGAAGCATGGAGCACATGGACTATACAGGGAAGCATGGAGCACATGGTCAGCAGGAAGCATGAAGCACATGGGCAGCACAGGGCAGCATGACGTACATGGGCAGCTCAGAGCAGTGTGAGTCACGCAAAGACAGCATGACTCAAGCGTGGGTAGCACAAGGAAGCGTGAAGCACATGGGCAGCTCAGAGCAGTGTGAGTCACGCAAAGACAGCATGACTCAAGCGTGGGTAGCACAAGGAAGCGTGAAGCACATGGGCAGCTCAGAGCAGTGTGAGTCACGCAAAGACAGCATGACTCAAGCGTGGGTAGCACAAGGAAGCGTGAAGCACATGGGCAGCTCAGAGCAGTGTGAGTCACGCAAAGACAGCATGACTCAAGCGTGAAGTGCATCAGAGTCGAGTGACTGTGTCATTCGAGTTTTGTTATTGCAATGAAACGTCATTTTTAAAATGTACACCCGCAAAATATTCATCCGTTCATAGTCAGGATCACCAATGCATGTCTTTTGTATGTTGTCAAAAGCATGTATTTAGGGTGCGGTGAATGAGTTTTGAGTCAATGTCAGCTGCATGCGATGGTCTCCGCCCAATCACGGCCGGTTATAGCACAAACAAAATCCCGCAAAGACAACGGTGACATCACAGTGCACGTGACCGGCAGTGGCTCTTTAAGAGGAGCAGATCCACCTCGTAAAATAGTAAGTTACTTAACTTACATGAGAACGTTTTGTATTCTCTAATAAGCCAGGGTGCATCTTAGTGTCACTCTATTACATTAATTCTAGATTTGAAGCTTTCGTGACTGCAAGTATTTATATTCTTAGGTTTTTTCGGTAAAGTCACGTGACTTTACCGAAAAAAACCCAAGAATACGTATTACATTAGTTTGTCACGGCGCCTGGTAAGAGGCGACACGGCGTCATTGTGCCACAATCTAGGAGCGGAATCCAACGTCCCAACATAAGCCGAAGGGACTTCTTGCTTAAACGAGCATTGAGGTGGCAATCAACTCCTGTTGTACGTGTTCCGTTGGACTTCTTTTGCACCTTATGGAGCCAGCCGTGCTAATCGGAGGTTCGCAGTGGTGGTTCGGCCCCCGAGCGTGTGGAGGGAATGTCCACTTTCCCATGGCAGGAGCAAATCTATCAAGTGAATTCCCCACCCGGTGGTACGTATTTTATCGACCCCGGAAGGATGATGGGCCGAATCAACCCCCAACCAGGATGTGAACTCGCGACCTCTGAACTGTGAGCTGCTCGCTCCACCGGTGAGCCACGCGGCCGGTGATGGAATCACGAGGATGGAATCACGCGGATGGAATCACGAGGATGGAATCACGCGAGCACTCACGAAGAGACCCGTGGAACGGCAGAGGCAACAGGGGCAGCCGGTCAGATCCGCTGAGAGGAAGTTTGTGCTCGGCACAACGGGAAATCGTGTTAATAGACGCGTGATGAGCAGGGAGATGAAGATTAGTATAAAGCGGGATTCACACCGGAGTGTATATAAACTAACAGCTGAGCTATTTCATTGAGCACTGAGCTACGAACTGTTAGCTCGTTTTCGCAGGTGACCTGGCTCATTGTCGTGGCTGCTATCATCACCACACGTGGGAATTCATTGCAGCAGCCAAATAATATAAGTGCATTGTGTTTCTAAATGTGGAGGGAGGCTTTAAACCATAGCGACCGCGAGAAAAATCCACACGACCACGACGGGGAGAACATGCAAACTCCAAATATACAGCAGGCATCGCCAGGGTCCAGGATCAGGGATCGAACCCTCAACAAACTGCGTACCAGGCAAGGGAGATGAACTAAACTAGTTTAATTTTATTTTACCAGATAAGGCCCACTGAACTACATAGCTCTTTTTCAGAAGCGACCTTGCCACAAATTTAGCTCAACAAAGTGGCTTATGACGTGGACATTCATCGCAGCCAAATACTCTAAACGTGTGTGGCTTATCAACGTGGAAGGAAAAACTGGAAGACCCAGAGAAAAATCCACGCGACCACGGGGAGAGAGACACGCAAACTCCAAATATACAACAGCAGGCGTCAGGGTCGGGATCGAACCCACGACCTCCTGTGTACCAGGCAAGGCATTCAACATCTCACCACCGCGAGCCCCGACATGCAGAGAGGTAAGGGCCCTACGAGAGAGGAGATTAGATAGACAGCAGGTCCGGAGGCTGTACCTCCTTAGAATAGGAGCTAAGCGTGAGTGTGGAGCTGTACAAGGTCCGGAGGCTGTACCTCCTCAGGGTGACGGGTGAGGGGACCGTATACCAATTTGTGTGATAGGGACTGTCTAATAAGACAATAAACAGTGTGTGTCACTGGCTCTGCGTGATCTCCCCCCCCCCCCCCCCCCCGGGGGCAGAGCACACGGCACTCGCTCGCAGCATCCCACAGCGACCCTCGCACCGTCGCTCGACTCGCGGCGGAAAAAACGAGCGGCGACTCCGGAAGCGAGATGTTTGGAGAACGGTTTTAAAAGTGGGAAGTAGGCTGCGGGGAGGCGGGGGGGGGGAGAGAGGAAAGGGGGGTAGGGGGTGAGGAAAGAGTGGAAAGCCGGGCTGGGGGGGGGGGGTTGGGGGGTGGGAAGTGGGGGGTTGGTGGGGGGAGGGTCCCAACACGAAAGACCTCGATCCCGGTTCAATCCCACAAGAGATCATTGGGATCTCCTGGCGCTCGTTTAATCGGCGTGCCCTCGGAATGAATTTAGCCTTCTTCCTCTCGTCATCGGCTTTTGTATTTTTAAACCAGAGTTAGACGTATACATCGATCTCAACGTGGAGCGTCGTACCTAGCGCGAGCCAAGAGGCGCCACGGTGGCGAGATGTTAACTACCTCGCCTGGTATGCGGGAGCACATGGGTTCGATCCCGACTCTGATGCAGGCAGTCTATTTTGAGTTGTTATGTCTCTCTCTGTCTCGCCCAGTGGTCACGTGGAGTTGTTTTCGAGTCGTCCGATTTTTTCCTCCACATTGAGAATGGACATCGTGCGCTTCGAGTATTTGGCAGCTGTGGGAACCTCATTTGCCAGTAAAAATATGATAATTGGTTTTTTACCCTTCTATCTGGCAACAAAACTGACACCTTTTTACAAGGAGTCATGTTTGCATAGACCGCAATACCTGCAGTCATAATACAAACAAAAGACATAACTCTGATAATGTATGCACTGTCCTTGAAGTTGATTGGTCCACACCCGAGACAGCTTTCCTTAGAGCCTAGTCTCACATGGGTTGGACCAGATGACGCCAAAAGGCTAGGCTCTAAGGAAAGCTGTCTCGGGTGTGGACCAATCAACTTCAAGGACAGTGCACATTATCAGAGTTATGTCTTTTGTTTGTATTATGACTGCAGGTATTGCGGTCTATGCAAACATGACTCCTTGTAAAAAGGTGTCAGTTTTGTTGCCAGATAGAAGGGTAAAAAAAAAATTATCATATTTGGCAGCTGTACGTTCTTACACCATGAGCCACCTCGGTAAGCGATCATCTGCGGCCAGGTTGCTTCTGAAAAGAGCAAAAATAGCTCGGTGGGCTTTACCTGGTTAAAATTAAAATAGTCAAGTTTAGTGTTAAATTTCGATTTAAAGCTTTCGTGACTGCAGGGATCCATCTTCTTGGTTCTTTCGGTAAATAATAAAAATTAAAACATGATAAATAAAATATTTTATTTATCATGTTTTATTTTTATTATTTTATTACTTCCCTTCTACGTGACTTTACCGAAAGAACCAAGAAGAAGTTTAGTGTTAGTTTAGCCTCAACAGAGTTTTAAGTATCTCCTGCAGGAAAGTCATATATTCCACTGCAGTCCATGTCTACAGTTCCCAATATGCAGTGGTGTGTCCCAAACTAAACAATGCAATTCTGCGCTGGTAACAAAGAGCAGCATAAGTGTTGCACTTTCCATTTGGAATAATCCATGTTGCAACTGCGAGGAGGAGAGGGGAGGCATGATACCTCCAAGCCACTATGCGTGCACACTCAATTTACCATTACGTGTTTTTGCCCATGTGTGTGATATAGGGCATGAAAGGCAAGGGTTGGTGGATGATGCAAGGCTTGGGGTTTTCTCTTGGTCCTCTGATTTTCACCCATAATGCCTAACAATCATTCAAGATTGTTTAAAGGTAGCCCATCTTTCACGCGGACCGAACCCAGTGACATGTATAATCTTACAGTCAACCTAGGCCCGTTATTAAAACAATGCTTATTCACTGTGATGACGTTCAACACAGCAGTACCGGCCACCATGAATCTCGGCACAAGTCTATTGCCGGGCACAGACGTCAATCCCTGGGCTGTCAGGTGGCAACCCCAACCCCAAGGCAGAACCCTGGCTTTTATGGTTTCCTCCCGCGTGAAAAAAAACACCGCTCACAATGGAATTGACCAAACGTCCCAACGAATGGACCCCTCCTTAAAAATAAAGTGTCTTGAGACTCGGCGAGGCTTTTGTGAATACATAGAATGCAGCATGACCCGCGAGCGACACGTATGTTGAACTTCTTTCGCGCCGTACGTAGCCAACCGTGCTAATCGGAGGTGCGGGAAAAGCCACAATTGCCAGCGCTGTGCACGTCTTCTTCGAACGCTGGGGAGCCGGAAAAGCTCTCTGCACCAGCGTGGACAGACACCCTCATGTTCACCTTCTAAAGCGCTCGCTCGTCACCGTAGCGTGCGCGATGACACCACAACCACGTGACTTTTCTTTTGTATTGTGCGCAGGTGCTTTTAGCGCCACAGCGCGTCGATTTGTAGCGTTTGTTTTCTTTTGTTTGCTGGTGACTGTATTTCATATTGAATTCGCCTCCAGTGCTTTTGCTGCTGGCGGCAATACAAGTTGTTCAAAAGTCAAACTCTCTTCCCTGCGAGGGAAAATTCCGTGGCTAGCCATAACGCCATTATTCGCGTCCGAATTTCTCAAAACAAAAGCGGCGGAGAATAAATAAACAGTTCCTCGGAGCGTCGGGCGAGCAAACATCCTCCTACAAAAGAGCCGCCACACCTTTCCTGCCTGCTTCCAGTTGTAGAATCCCCCCACTGAGAGACACTAATGTGGGCCCCCTTACAGATTAAATGCACGTGTGTGTGTGTGCACAACGCAGACGCGTGTGTGTGTGTGTACGTGTCATCTTGGTCATCTCAGTCAGTCGACCCGTAGCACCTGGGTCTGCCCCGTGACCTCCTGCCAGCGGGCGTTCGACACTTCACGTGGCCTCAAGGTGCACATGGCCTGGCACAAGCGTCGTGGTGACGTCACCGCCACTTAGTGGCGAATGGCGGTTGTTGTGTTGTTGTTGTACGTGTCCCGTTCACAGTCAACAAAAGCGATGATCATCTGAACTGGTCGTGGGCCTGCCCTAGGTCGACTCAGCCTTAAATACGAATCTGATGCAATGTGTAAAACGTCACAACTAAGGGAGACAACGACGGCCCGGCGTGGCGCTGGCCAACCACCCCCTCGTGTGCCGTGCCGGCCTTCATAGGTGCAAATCGCTAACAGCACTTGCCCCTACAGTCTGTTGAGGCTACACGACAGATCTTTGTCTTCGTCTTTGAGTAAATAGCCGAGTCGGTGAGCAGCAAAAGTGCGAGCAAGCGAGCAGGCGAGTGAGCCAACAGACGAGCGATCAAGCGAACGAGCGCTGAGTGAGTGAGTTGGATGCGGGTGTTGGTTGCCCACCTCCTGGCGTTGTCATCGCAGGGCTGCCAGTACCAGTGGATGGCAGGTGGTGGAAGCCCATACGCCGTGCACACCACACTCTGCTGGCTGTTGAGCGGGAACGTCACGTCACTCTCTGCGGCCACGAACTTGTCGTGGATTTCCGACGGCACTGGGGGGGGTGGGGGGGGAAACGGCAGCGGGGACGGGGAAGTCAAACGAGCGATCTGGCTGAACCGCCGCTCCGAACACAAATCGGCGATCAAGCGTTGCCAAAGAAGACGGAGAAGCTTCGAGCGCGTGACACGTCGGACGAGCACACGGCACGTAGTTGCAATGACAATCATATTAACAACGGCCGCGTCACGGGAGTCGGAGCGGGCGAGCGAGCGATCGAGCGAGCGAGCGATCGAGCGTTCCTCTCACCGTTTACGACGAGCGTGAAGGAGACCCTCTTGAGCAGGTTGTGTTGCCGGATCTCGAGCTGTAGAGTGTAGTTGCCCGCGTCCGCAACCGTCACCTCCTGCACTATGAGCACGAGGAGCCGCTCGAACTGCCGCTTCTCATACTTGAGTATGCGGTAGCGCGGATGGCCTCGCACGATGGGAACGCCGTCCTTGAACCTATGTTAAACAGTTGCTATGATCGTCGTCGTCATCATCGTAATCATTGTCATCATTGGTGTTAGCAACATCATTGTCATCATCGCCGTTGTCCCCGTCATCGTTGCCATCGTCTTCATCTTTGTCATCGTGATCATCGACATCGTTTTCATCATCGTTACCTTCAGCATAATCATCGTCGTCGTTGTGATCATGGTAAATCGTCTCGTGACACAATTCTAGGTGTGCATTAAGTATCCTGTGTCCGTTTGCTATGTTTAAGGCATCGTTAAATTTCTCAATTGGGATTATACATCACAACTATCGCCCTCAACTGTGGAAACCTCGCAGAACCCTCCTGAAAAAGCCACGAGACTCAGTGAAGCTTGCCCGGGTAAACAAGCGTGGCACTAATAATAATAATAATTAGAGAGTAAATGGCCGAAGTGACGTTTTAGACTCCTTCATAATTGTCTATCTAGCGCAGCGCTCTTCATTGCAAGGCTCGCAGGCCGCTGGCAACCCTTGGGTGGCCTTGAGTGCAGCCCCTGACGTGATGTCCCCGACAATACACGATACGTGAAAAATTAACCCGTAAAAACAAAGTTTTTCACTATAAATCCTTTATATGCGTGGCATCGGTTTTATTTTATTATTCATTTCTGTTTTTCTTGAGTAAGAGTTTCATTTTTATCACATTGGTATTTAAAATTAAATATGAAAAAAAAATCCTAAAAAGTGTAAAATTTTGGGGAAAAACATTCACGAAAATAAATTGTCACGCACAACGAGTCTGTGTGCAAAATGTCAGCTCGATTGGATCACGGGAAGTGGGTTAAAAAACGAACAAAAGATTTGCACGGTCGTAAACGCGCAAGCAAGCAAGCGAACTTAATATAAAGGATTTAAAAACAACCCATCGTGGCTGGCAAACCCCAATGGTTACAAATGTGTGGCAGCTCTCACGCTGATATCTTATCGTCGAAAGCTTCCCCCCCCCCTCTGAAAATTAGTGAAGAACACTCATCCGGCAACATCTGGGGAACATTTGAGGTTCGTTTTGGTGACTTTCCTCTCCGAGGAGTTGGCGACACGTACGTATACACGTGCAACTTCTTTCGCACCATACGTAGGCTCGGCACGGTAGAGCCCCGGGCGGTCTGGGCGCCAGGGTCACGAGTCTCACCAGCTGAACTTGGGCAGGGGGTAGGCGCTGATTCTCGCCCGCAGCGAGACCTCTTTCTTCCCCACTTCAACCTCCGCCAGGGGCCCATCGTAAGGTGCCGCCGAGATGAATGGCCGCTCTACGGAGAGGGCGGTGGTGGGAAGGGAGGGAGTACCCGTGGGGGATTGGGGAGGGGGGGCGATCAGAGAGGATGAGAGGTCTGAAAGTGGCATATCCTTAGGTTTTTTTCGGTAAAGTCACGTAGGTAAAAACATTAAAATTTATAAAAGTAAAATAAAATAAAAAAATAAAAATAAAAATCACGACGTTTCGGAGGCAACACAAGATTCCGTCTTCAGGTGGAACCGTCTACGTGACTTTACCGACTTTACCGAAAAAAACCCTAAGAATATGAATCCTTGCAGTCACGAAAGCTTCAAATCTAGAACTGGAAGTGGCATTTTTGCATCATCCGGGGCACCGCGATGACAAGATGTTAACTCCTTCGCCTGGTATGCAGGAGGTCGTAGGTTCGATCCTGACCCTGACGCCTGCTGTTTATTTTAAGTTTGTATGTCTCTCTCCCGTGGATTTTTCTCCAGGTCCTCCGGGTTTTCCCCTCCACGTTTAGAATCAACATCACGCGTTTAGAGTCTTCGCCTGCTATAAATGTCCACGTGATAAGCCGCTTTGTTGGGCTATCATTCGTGGCCAGGTCGGTTCTGAAAAATCGCTCTGTAGCTCTGTGGGCCTTACATGGTAAAACATTTAAATAAAAAAAAGTGTAGTTTTAGTTGAATAACCTCGAGAGCTTGCTCTCGTGGAAGTCCATCGTGGAGGCCCAGTTGTGTAGTAAATAATGAACAGTTTGGGGGTGAAGGATGCGGGGAGGATGACGTGCTTCTCACCGTATATGACGACGTGTGACAAGGAGGAGCAGTGCTCTTGCATGTAGCTCACGGAGCAGAGGTAGTTGCCCGCGTCGCTCACAGTCACGTTCCTGAGCTCCAATTGTTTTGTGAATTGTTTCCATTTATTATTCACGATGTCTGGGAAGAATTTGCAGTTCTCTTCGAGTGAGTGATCCTGCAGCACAGGGAAGGAGAGACACAAAATTCAAATTAATTTGTGTATTGCCAACCATGTTCTTGGTTCTTTCGGTAAAGTCACGTAGAAGGGAAGTAAATATTTGATTTTATTATGTTTTATTTTTATTATTTTATTACTTCCCTTCTACGTGACTTTACCGAAAGAACCAAGAAGATGAATCCCTGCAGTCACGAAAGCTTTAAATCGAAATATTGCCAACCACTTTGTTCCCGCCATCGGATCCTGCAGCCGCTTTTCTCCAGCTAGCGATTCAAGTGCTCGATAAAAATATTAATAAATAAAGGCGATCATGCGAGAAGGAGATGGTTAATTAATCGAATTTATAACTTGGGACAATTTTCAATTATGCACATTCTGGGCCAAGGCTACTGCATAAAAGAACACCATCAATGATTTATATTCCCGTAACTCCGACTTCATCAACTTCCAAACCGAGTGGGAAATCACATAAGGCATTTATACAGCTGGCCATTAGAATCATCCGTGTAACAAATCAAAATAAACTAAGCTCAACTTAGATTTGGCATTGGCAAAGATCGTCTCTTGCAAACTACATCCACATGCATGGTATCTGCTGATGAATCCCAAAATGACAAAGAAAATCCCACTGACATTTAACCACCCAGAGCCACGTATTCTGCCAACTTAAACGAATGTGATTTTCTTCTGCCGTTGGTGAAGAGTTTCTGAATTGCACTCTTCAGTTTCACCCCTTTACCCGCCTGTGCATGAGCTCAATGAATCGATCATTCGATCGAGATGAACGAGGTATAGATGGGCCTCGATGAGGCGTGCGGAATAGTTTTAGAAGGTAAAACAATTGCACCCGGCTGCACAATTTCCTCGAAACACAACACAGTACGCACCACACGATGCACAATGCGCACAACACGAGGCATGTCGTCCTTTGCTTTCCCAGCAGATTGATGACTGGACACGATTTGGGGGTCACGATTTGATTCATATATAACCAGCAAGCCCGCAACTTGCATACGATTTGCGTAATCTTGTAAATAATCAATACTTCCACGTACAACACGATACAGTGTGGTAGTCAATGCCAAGGGATCAACCGACGTGTCGGTGCTTGCCTTTACACGTGTCGCCACAGGTCTCCCTCGAAAAAGAGGAGAGTGATCGTTTCCGGTTACAAGATCACAGACTACGAGACTATCCCCGCAGCGATCCAACGTGTCGCTGACTGGCGAGTGACAGCAGAGTGGAAACTTTACTGACGTTCAGCGTGCATCCCACCGGCACAGGAAGATGCGGACGCTCTGATCCACTCGGCGAGGCACGAGAAGCCTCGACGCGCGTTAACAATGAGGCTGCCTCCCAGCGAGCAACCACAGAGACAAGTCAAAGATCCTCCGTAGAACGACTCTCTTCTTGGGGGCAAGTTCAGTTAGCGAGTATTATCCATTAAGGCCGGCCCAGCACACGATGGGGTGGGTGGCCAACACCACGCCCGTGGCCGCCTTTGTCTCCCCGGTGCTGATGTGGACACACAGAGGAGAACAAAGGACTGGTTTCACTATTCGCCACCGTTTTCGGTCGCGAGTGGGAAGCGAACTCGGGTCGCCGAGTTTGTAGCGCAGTGGCCCCTCAGCCACCGTGCCCCCGCTCCCCGGAGTGCACGCGCGCGCGCACACACGCACACGTGCTCACGCATGCGACACTGACCGGTCGATCCACATGAAGCCATTTCATCCTCAGTGCCACGTTGAACTTGGTGGTGATGGAGCAGTTGAGTAAGAGCGTCTCGCCGACCATCAACTCGGTCGTGGTGTTGGGCCCGATATTGAGGATGCCGTCTGCTCTCGCCACACATGGACAAACGCACACCACAGTGTAGCACGTGCGTGTGTGTGTTTGTTGAACGTTTTTCACACCACACGTAGCCAACCATGCAAATCGGCGGTTCCGAGATGAGAAAAACGGTGCCGGTGATGAGACTGTGACGAGTAGCTCCTGAGGGATGTGTTGACTTAGTGACAAGTCAGTGTGATGACGACGACGACGATGCCGACACTATAAGATTTAGCATCAGAAGTTGGTTATATATATGTTGTACGTAGCAGTTCTAGAGAAACGGTGCATTGTCGCACTGACGGAGCAACTTCACAACAAGGTGCAAATAATGCCGAGAGCAAGTGAGTGTGATTGAGACTGACGTCAATGAATTTACCAAGGAAGCCTCACTGAGCATCGCAGACTATTTCACTGTAGGGACTTGCAATAGGAGAGTTGACCAATGTCATTAATGAGCGTTAAGCTCCGTGTGGGGGGGGGGGGGGGGGGACCGGAGGAGTCGGACAAGAAATATATGAGGGGATAACATTCTCATGGCCACCTTACGGCACGTGATCTTGTCAGATCCCTTGGTTAAATTCGGTCAACAATGAAATTGGGGACGGGAAATACCTCGTGTTGTAGATTTGGGTTGCGAAGTGGGTAGGAGATGGCAGTACGGTGATGAGTTATTGAATTTGTACGTGCAGAGCTTTGAGTGTTTCCTCTCACAAGCAAGACACCCATTACTGCAATTGTCCAACCAATTTCCATGCAGGATTCTCTTCAGAAAAGAAATAGATTCTTTTGACTCAGTGACACTCTCTTGGACAAGTGAATAAAACTAATATATTACCTTTAAATTTCTATTTAAAGCTTTTGTGACTGCAGGGATTCATCTTCTTGGTTCTTTCGGTAAAGTCACGTAGAAGGGAAATAATACAAATAAAACAATAAAATTCTCACGACGTTTCGGCCACAACGCAAGCAGCCGTACCTGCGTTGTGGCCGAAACGTCTTGAGAATTGTATTTTATTATGTTTTATTTCTACTATTTTATTATTTCCCTTCTACGTGACTTTACCGAAAGAGCCAAGAAGAATATATATTACCTTTTATTAAATTGTCTCGTGGCATTTGTTGGTCTGGCGAATAGAGACACCTGCTCACCTTTCACCAAGATTTGCGGGAAGAACCGGTAAGAGTGGTAGGTCTTGCCCTGGATGCTGACCTCACAGAAATATTGGGTTGGCAGCTCCGTGATGAGGCCCGGCATCACGGTAAAGCCTACTTTCGGGTCCCACAGCAGGTCCTTGTTATTTGGCTGGTACCGCTTGGAGGGTATGTACTGGTGAACAACACAGGCGCAGAGTTCATAGACATTGATGAGATCGAGTCAACCCTGGGGACCCTGGCATTCCCCTGGATTGATGCGAAAGGACGTAAAATGTCGGCACCGATAGGACATTTTGGATGGTCTACAATAGGAAATCGCGACTCCAAAACAGGATGAGCGGCGCAAATCAGGCCCTGAAGCAGATTCTAGCACGTGGAGCGAAACGTCGGACAATGTAAACCAACGACATGCGCTGCAACCCGCAAGCGTAATGGAAAAGCGACTCGATTACGTTGCAAAGTAGCTCTCAGAACGTCACGAGGTGCTCACCCTCTCCAGGAAGAGGACTTGCACAATAATAATATATATACACAGGAAATGCAAGTATCATCTATTCAGTGACGTGTCCATGACTCCAGTAATCTCCGCCTCGAGGTTTGTCATTGCAGGTGACGCGTACACGTTTGTGCATGTGTAGGACTTGAAATATGCCGCGCCACGCGTTCTCTTTTGCGGTTGTTATGCAAGAGAGCAGTGTACAGTGTAGGGGTATTTGAGGACGATGTTGTTGTTGTTGGGCGTGAGGGAGACGCCGTTAAGAGGCGCGACAGGTGTTAGGGGTAACCGGGGGACACAGGCCGGTGATTGGTTAAGCGGGTAAGTACTTAATGACTGGCGTCACTCAGGCGGGAATAACAAGGCCACGTGAGGCTGGGGGCCTGGGGGCGAGGGGTAAAGCGAGGGGTGAGATAATTAATAGGGACTATTAATTAATTAATAGGGACTATTAATTATCTCAGAGAGACGGGAGTCTTGGTTGGAGCTGGAGTGATGGTGCCCGGGGATAGAGAGAGCAGAGAGTACGGTAACAGTGATAGGGAGATGATAGAGAGAGTACGGTAGCAGTAGATAGAGAGGACACGGTGTGTGGTAGCAGTCATAGCCATGCATCTGTAAGGTCTAGAGTAGGGTAGCAGCGGAGTATACGGACCATGGGAGAGACGGAGAGAGAGCGGAACGGAATCGCGGAGTGGAGAGAGAGAACAGAGAGACGCGGAGCGGTGACGATGAGGAGGTGAACTCGGAGTGTGAATAAACGGAACGGAAAGAAAGACATCCGGAGTACGAGTCCTACACATGTACAGGCCTTTTGTAAGTCCACTACTGGATGAGGGCCTCCCTGCACCATGCCAAAAATTGGGGTTGTTAGACTATACTTCACCACGTTGGAGCATAGTGCAGTGCAGCAATTGATTTTGCTGCACTCCTGTCTGTTGACAACATGGCAGGTTACACAAGCAGGTGATACAATGTTAGTTACTTATTTCGTTCTTTTTTTGGAGTGCAAAAAGAACGTGGAGGCTATGATTAATCCACAAATGGATTCAGGCCAATCACCAGCCCTGATTTTCCCAGGAGGCCACACAGATTCCTTCGCTGGGAAACCTGACACAGATTTGACCACCTCCTCGAACTGGGGCCTCGACTCACTGCCGCACATCGCCGAAAGACGCGCCTGCGACGAGGGGTGGGGAATGCGCGTTGGGCAGAGTGGCACGGGTTGGCATCGTCTAAAGCCTAAAGGCTCCGGCCTAGGGGGGTAGGGAGTTTTCGCATCGTCCTCAGTTCACACAGGGGTGGGAGGCAGCAGGTGCGATCCACATGCGTGGCATGTTGCAATTGATCTCGATCCTACAGGAAGCTCTGTGAATGTCACAGACTGAAATTTGTAAGAAAAAAATAATAACAAGGAGCAACTACTCGTCATTTCCAAGAAATGCTGCCAGCTGTTGGAGATCGTTGCACTGAGGGCACGCCGGGTACAATTCACTAATGTCCTTATTGGGGATTTTTTTCCATACAACCCGGCCTCTATCATGCACTAGAGGGGCACAGCCCCAGGTGCTGTGTTCTCAGATCGAGTAAATCAAGTGAAGCCGCATTGTCAAGGAGGAGGAGGAGGACATGTGGCCTATTCCGTGTCACAGCATTGCTGAGATGCTGAGTTCGAATCCTGAACTCAATTCCAGAGTTCAAATGATTAGACCGGGCTGTGAGCTCATAGCCACACCGTGGTCACCAATGACTGCACACAAACAAAAACAACCTTTGTTTAAAATTAAGATATTTTCATACGTTTGGAAAATTCCAGCATTGACGTGTGACGGACATTATTTGCGAGGCTTGATGAAGAGCATGTTGTTATCGCCAAGCTTTTCGCTAAACCCTTCAATCAATGTTCCCAGTTTTCGATCGGATGAGCCCGTAATAACGGCCGAGACGATAAACTAACACAGCTTTTAATTTACATTGCATCATCCTTAACAAGAGCAAGAGTGATCCCACCCTGCAAGACGGACGGACGGACAGAAGGAGCAAATGCGATAAGAGTTTCAACCGTATCCAGAACGGCGTTCAAAATTGCACTGCGGGGGCGGGGGGGGATCCTCACCGATACGAACGTGACGTTCACGTCAGGAGCGGACACTCGGCAGGGTACGACGTACGGGCTGCCCTTGAACAGGTACACGACGTCCAATCCATCGCGACTCATTTGCAGGAAGGGCCGACTGTAGTCTGAGAGAAAAGAAACAAAAGGCACGCGGCACGTACAACCGCGTCAGCCGAACCATGTCATGCGAAGGCTGACGGCACGTGCACGTGTGGTGAGTACGTCGGGGAAATGAATGAGCGGGCGATGCGACTCCTTCGCATATCTGTGGCCGCGTGTTCAAAACAAAAGTTATGAAAGCGTTTTATTCTTGATGTATGTCCCCTCAGCCACCTGGCCCTCTGGGAGTTGTTATTATTTGAGCAGCGTTGGTTCACACAAGCAAAGTGGACCGATTTTGAAATTCAGTATCTCACCAGCAGTCAGGCTTGACTGAACCAAAGCTGGTAAACTGCGAGATGTTAATAGGCAGGGGCACCCTCCCAGTTCTATGCGAAATTACAGAATGTAAAATAATAATAAGCATCACTCAATGCAATAGTAAGCATTCAGAAGGAACACATTTTTGTTTGAATTGTTCACTGACGTGAGCTGTGACCAGGAATCCAACTCAGGTGGCTGGGTTGATAGCCTCGTGCCATAACCGGTGTATTCCCACTACCCGCAAACTGAACTCTGACAATAACATAAAATAATTGGCACTTTTACGACATTGGTCCTGAGAAACGCCAAGTTCTATATCCTTAACGTTACGACTGACGACACACACGGGAAAAATCTATCGCGTGCAAAAATGCCCAACCACATATTTAAAATTAAACATAAAAATTTCACGGTTAACTTCACGTTGCTATGGCACTAGAAAACACAAGGGGAAAGGAATGTTTTCTTTTTGGAAAGAGTTTTTTTTTGACGTATGAAAAATTATAATCTGTGAAATTACCAACTCTGAATGTGATTTCTTTGCCGCTCCCAGGAATATTTAGAAAAAGGCTGCCAAAGTTATGTTTGCCAATTTACATGGAACCAGTTGTCACTTCTCTGAGAATCTCCTCATGGAAGGAATGTTTGGCCATGTTTTGACAGCGTCACACACGTGCTATAAATGTCGATTAACTTCCACCCCTTTCAAGACGATGTAACGCTTCTGCCATTACACACACCGACCATCGCCGGCTTGAAAGAGCGGTCCGCAAAAGATTTCCCTCGCGCTCCTGCTATCGTCTTACGCAGCAGTGCAAACCGCACTCTGGTTGGGGTGAAACAACAACAACAACAAGCGTGCCTCCGAAAACGTGGCATCGTTCCCGTCTTGACGATTGATCATTTCTCATATGAATGTTTTTTTTGCTGTAACTAAATAAATGGAACCTTGCCAACAGGGACCCTGCCACATTCCATAATAATTTATACAATTTGATGAAACCGATTCATCGTCGACATGGGAATGATGCCCAGTGCATGTACAGCACACCCATCGTCCGTGTATTAGACGCGTCTGAAGAAAGGACCCAAACAATGGTAACCATTAGAATTGTGGCGTAGACAGGGCTTGGATAATCTGTTCACGAAAACTTTTTTCTCTTTCTCTCTCTCTCTCTCTTTTTCTTTCAAGCCGGAGGGAATATTCTAAGTAAATAATTAGGCATGGGACGGGAAGTCGTTTAAAGGGTTTAGGAGTTTAGCGGGTTGAGGTTGACGAGCAAGCGGCGCTGTTTAATCCAGAGGTTCAATGTCCGTCCGTGTATTTGCTCTTCCTTCATTCCGTTCCACCTCGGGGCTCCACTCTGCACACCGCCCTTGATGACATGCCCTCCTCCCGACGTCAATCTGCTCATTAGGGCGCCCACGCACTTAAAACCCGTGTCCTCATGAATGAGCCTTCTTTCTCTCTCTCTCTCGAGGGAAATGAGCATCATAGGGTAAACCGGTGGAAGATGAGCCACCTCAAAATATAGCCAGATGCTTCAGCCGTCGGGGAGCAGCTTTCCACGAAATCTACAAAAGGCAGCACTCTATTATTACTTATTACTCCTGCATTAACGCACATCGGGAGCACGGCCGCCGTACAAACCGAGCTATATCCTGGCCCCAAATTACACTCGTGTAGGATTACTCGCGCGGAATGTATCGAGTTTAAAACAAAACAACAACACAACAAAAATGAGACGTGCTCCTTCCTTGGACCCTCGATGCTGATTACACAGAGCAAAGACCCCGTCGATGCCACCTGCCACACATTTCGTTCGCATGGCTCCAACTTTTCCCAACAAATGCAGCGTTCCCCATGACCACTGGAAAGTGCGCTGGCTTGGTGTGGGAACGGTCGCGATGATGCGACCTCAGAAAAAAACTATTCATTTTTATTTTACCAGGTAAGGCCCACTGAGCTGTATAGCTCTTTTTCAGAAGCGACCTGGTTATCACAGATGACAGGTCAACGAAGTGGCTTATGACGTGGAAATTTATAGAAACCACATACTCTAAAAGCATGTTGATTCTAAGTTGTGGGGGAAAAACCGAAGGACCCGGAGAAAAATCCACGTGACCACGGGGAGATTGACGACGCGAACTCCAAACATACAGGGGTCAGGGTCGGGGTCAAACCCACGACCTCCTGCATACCGGGCGCGGGAGTTTACATTTCGCCACGTGACACCCCAGAACCAGCCGTTATGTTATAGGATCAATGACACGTGGTCAGTGGCACCCTCGCTTACATCCACTAAAGGGGCAAAACAATAAAAGTAAACTTCCTTACCTTGCGATAGCCTAAACTCGCCTAAGTTTACGTAAAAATAATTTCAACAATTTAACATTTTTCACCCGAGATCCCTCGATCGCTCAACGACCGTCCAACGGCCGATAGGAGAGCGCAGGGAGGACACGGCGAGAAGGAGCCGATGCCACAAAGGAGTGCCTCGTGGCTCATAAATGACGGGGACGCGGACCAGCACCGCAACGCGCCGGCGATCGCGGGAGCCTAAAGTGGGCAGTTCCCGATACCACCAGGTCCGTGGTGCCAGCGGCCCTGAAAAAGCAGTAACGCAGGCCGCTTTGAGCGCCCGCCCCTGACTCACCTCTCACGAAGACGTACACCGAAACGGAGTGGTCCCAGCCTTCCAGCCCTTCGATGTAGGGCGCGTACTTGCTGTAGAAGCAGCGGTAGCGGCCCGTGTCCTCGACGGCGGCCTGGGGCACGTGCAGGGTTGCGCAGAACCCCTGGCGACCCCGGTGGGGGCACGGCGCTGCCACGAAGCTCTCGTTGCGCGGAGAGGCCCAGCTCACGGGGTCGCTCCCGCTAGAGCGGAGCACGATGGTGAGAGGGTTCAGTGTCACACGTTCAGTTTCGTACTCGTCATAATCATCATAAAGTCAGCGTTCCCACACACCTACCCCCCCGTGGAATCTATCCGAGGATCCATTCCTTTTCCTTCACGTGAACGCGTTGCCTCCATGGCTGCAGGGGTCACAGTAACCCATTACAATCGTTATCATAACGTCCTGTCTAATGATTGTTATTCTATATGAAATCCTATGGCACTGTGTAAATCCACCGCTAGAGCAGCGGTTTCCAACCCGTGGTGCTCGGATCATTGGTGGTCCGCAAAAGGCGACAACAAAGTGGTTCTACTTTCGATTCGGAGTCGTTTTGAAACAAATTCATCTGGCATTGACATTGTGGTTGACAGTGGTCGGCAGGTCGAGGGACATTGCGTGGGATACACTCCTCGAGATGGGGCTGACGAGAGCTCCCTCTCTAAAGTTCACTCTCTAGGGTTCACGCTCTAGAGCTCCCTTTCGCGTGGATGCCTTTCATAAGAAGCAGGTTTTTTTGTTTTTGCGTGCAAGCAATTGCAGACGGCTCCGCTTTCTTTATCGCGCGCGTCATATGCGGTCAACTGGAAGACGCGAGGCGTTTCCGCTGAAGCTGCTTAATGCTGCCGCTCTCCCAGAAGGAGTGGGCACAGCCGTGGAGGTGGTGGCAGAGGTGGTGGTGGTGGAGGTGGAGGTGGTGGTGGAGGTGGTGGAGGTAGTGGTAGAGGTGGTGGTGGTGGTGGTGGAGGTGGTAATGGTGGAGGTGGTGGTGGAGGCGGTGGTCGTGGTGGAGGTGGTGGTGGTGGTGGTGGTGGTGGAGGTGGTGGTGGTGGAGGTGGTGGTGGTGGTGGTGCTCACTCCGACGCGCGTTGTGTCGCCACCAGTGCTCGCTGGCCGGCGTGGTGCGGTTGGATGTAAATGATGCAATCTGATGGAATGCGTGCTGGTTCAGACATGGGTTTTATGTATATATTTTTTAAAGAAAAATGAAAATACGGATCGCACGTGCAACTCACGCTTCATTGGGGCATGTCTATCAAGACGCCAGCTCAACGTTTTATTTTATTTATCTCAGCATGGCAGCGGCGTGTTCGAGTAAGCGTGAAAATTTTGTAAAAACAATGAACTTTAACTTTTTTTTACCAGGTAAGGCCCAATGAGTTATACAACTATTTTACTAGAAGCGACTTGAATACACAAATGATAGCTCCACGAAGAGGCTTATCACGTGAATATGCATCGCAGCAGCCACATACTCCAAACGCACGTTTCTAAACGTCACTGCGAGCCTCTTTAAATCGAATGTAAAGCTAACAACAGGTAAATCTGAACTCGGCGTGCAATAACTCTACCGACCCTTAGCGAATGATACATTGTCACGATTAAGGGCACGTGAGTTCATGCAAATATACTTCATTCTGTTATCGTTTCATTTCTGCTACATCGTTTGAATTTTTCTTACGACCTCTTGTGTCACTCCATTAGGTAACATTATGCATGTACACGTGCATACATCTCAAACAATGCATTCTCACAGACATTAATCGTTTGAACGCGTTGTTGAGCAGTTTAAGAATCCGTGTTCGTTTTAAGAAACGATGCATCGTCAGATTCCGAAATGCAGAATGTCGCATTTGTGTGCGCTGTGCTTTTCCCCCACAGCCGAAATGTCCTTAGGCTACGTACGGTGCGAAAGAAGTTCAACAAACATACACGCGCACGTATTCCACAGCAATTTACATATCCAAGTACCCAACCGAGCAGGCTTCAAATCCCGCTCAGTTTCGCTTTGCTTCCAAAGTGTGACGACACTGGGCAGATTGAGGGGTGATTAATTTTGGTCTTAGATGCACACAAAAAAGACAAAAAATTTAAGTTTCTGCCCAACACAAACAAAAACTATTTGGGATTTACTCCCACCCCCCCTCCCGTGCGTGAGATGAGCAACACGGAACGGCGTATCCTGGCGGCGCCTTTGTTTACGGGCAGCGCGGCAGACAATAGGCGCGTGTTAGTGAGGCTGTGTTTAGTTGGCCCGGCCTTCATCTATTCTTGGGAAGCTGCCGCCGCTGCTGCTGCTGCTACGGCGTTGGCCCCCTGGGGCGAACGGTCGACGCGACCACGTGGCCTCTCAGACGCTGGGGCGCACGCGACGCGCGGTGTCTGCTGGGACAGAGAAGCCACCGTCTTTTTCTTCGTCTTATTATTCATCTTCGTCTTCTTATTCGTCTTCGTCGTCTTCTCCGTGTCTCACAGAGGAGTCCCAGTGCTGTCTGCGGCAGCTTCATCGTAGACCCACAGCGGGTGTCGCTGTGTACGGCTTTACCCAAACAGGTTCTCTAATCTTCTTGGTTCTTTCGGTAAAGTCACGTAGAATGGAAATAATAAAATAATAATAATTAAACATAATAAAATAATTCTCACGACGTTTCGGCCACAACGCAAGCAGCCGTCCTCAGGTGAAACCAGGTGTCGAGGCGACAGACCTGAGGACGGCTGCTTGCGTTGTGGCCGAAACGTCGTGAGAATAATTTTATCATGTTTTATTTTTATTATTTTATTACTTCTCTTCTACGTGACTTCACCGAAAGAACCAAGAAGATGAATCCCTGCAGTCACGAAAGCTTTAAATCGAGGTTCTCTAATTTTTTTTTAAATGTTGGATAGCGACAACTACACGCGTGGTCGACTTACTTTAAAATAAATAAATATACAATGTCACTGGACGTTTTGTGGTTAACCAGGGCGGCTCTCAGGTTCGAACCGCGCACCCCTGCGGTGCCTGGTAAACACGCGCTGCCTACACGGCAACTCGGTGGACCTGGACACTTTCGCCTTCGGGGACGTCTCCAGACAACTGCCCTCCGTGGTTAACGCAACAACGCTCGTAGGCTAACGATGCGTTGCAGTTGTTTGTTTTGGGCTTCGTTCTACACGCTTTTTGTGTTGCCTCCCTCCCTCCTGCCTGCCATCCCCCCCCTTCCCCCCCACCCCTAGCTAACCGAAAGACGAGAGGAAGGAAATCTCCAGAAGTGCCCCCACCGGGGCATTGCAGCGATTAGCGGGAAACATTTTCAATCGGAAGAATCTAATTTTGGGTCGGGGGCTACGAGGCAGGTGGCTCGGCGGGAAAGCGAACGGAGCGGGCTCACGGTCAGACGGATGCGAGCTCACGTCCTGGTCTCGGGGTTTTTTTTGGCTCGGTCCGTCGACACTCTGGGGTCAATAAAAGAAGTAGTGTACAGTAGCACTCGTCGGGGAAGTCAACAGTGGTTGTTCTATGTTTAGACTCTGTGCATGGTATGTGTGTATGTCCCGTGGGGGATGTTTACTCCCTCGCCTGGTCTGCAGGAGGTCGTAGATTCCATCCCGGCCCTGACGCCTGCTGTATATTTGGAGTTTGCGTGTCTCTCTCGCTGTGGTCGCGAGGATTTTTCTCCGGGTCCTCCGGTTTTCCCCTCCACGTTTAGAATCAACAATCAACATTTTTTTTTGAGTATTTAGCTGCTATAAATGTTCACGTGACAAGCTATTTACTTAAGCTCTCATTTGTGGCCAGGTCGCTTCTGAACAAGATTAAAAGGGCGTTTTAGCTCAGTGGGCCTTACCTGCTAATATAATAAAAAAGTTAAACGTTAGCTAAACTCATCCAGTGCCGGATGAAGCTAGTGCGGGGCTTGTAGTATATGTTGTTATAAAGGGGCTCTAACTAAAAAAAACACGTCAATATTAAAGCACACATTTAGAACTCGCATGGCAAAGTAATTGTATTTTTTCATTTGCAATACAGCCAGATCATACGACAAATCGCTCACCGTAAACACCCAGTCGTTCATAAAAGTTGAAGGCGGTATAGTGCTATAGTAATAGAGCAAGTGCAGAATCACTGAACCGGAATTGATAGCTGGAAAGCATTTAGCGCGGGGCCCTTGGAAATGTGTAGTAGTAGCTACTACACTACTACACATGCAGTAGCTACTAGTAGTAGTAGCTAGTAGCTACTAGTAGTAGCTACTAGTAGTAGCTACTACTACATATGTAGTAGTACTACTACATATGTTGTAGTAGCTACTACACTACTACACATGCAGTAGTAGTAGCTACTACTACATAGCTACTACATTAAAGGATACTTCGGCACTGGACTCGCCCCCATCATATGAATGTGACATTTCCACAGCTGATTGAGGGCTGTAAACAGGAGACGAACCACCACTTCAATGATCAAGGTGAGCAACAATTCACTCTGGGTTCGTGTGTGGGGCGGGGTTGCGGTTGGGGGAGGGATATCTGTGTGGAAATCGGCGGCGCTCGGAGACATTTCGGCGTAAACCCTCTGCGAGGCGACGGCCGATGAAGCCAACGCTTCTCGCACGCATCCTCCGTGCGAGAAGCGACGGACATCTGCAGACTTGGAATGGCCATCATCCAAGCGTGCTGCGACGGTTCCACCTGAAGACAGAAGCTTGTGTTGCCTCCGAAACGTCGTGATTTTTATTTTATTTTTTATTTTTTATTTTACTTTTATTAACTTTAATTTTCTACCTACGTGACTTTACCGAAAAACCTAAGAATATTCCCGCGGGGGTGGAGGGCGGTGGAGTTGTGGGGTGTTGCGGTGACTCCCCCCACCCCCACACCGCTCACCCCCCGTCCCTTGCGCTGCGTTATTGTTGTCGAACGCAGGTGCCCAAGTTGTCAGGTGTTGTTGGCATCCCCTCCCGTGCGCGGAACGGCGGCACCTGGCGGCTACCCAAGCTCAGGGCGTGGGGGGTGGAGACGTCCGCACTGTCTGCGCTGTCCGCACTGACACGCGCTGGTCTAGGGCCATGAACCCCCCCCCCCCCCCCGCTTCATTGCACGGCTCGGTGGCAAGGGGATGAGTCAGGGTCACCTCTGGGCACACGACGGAGGGACCGTTGGTTGTTCCCTTGTATATGTCTCCCTTACAAATATGGGCCGATTATTTATCTTAATGGGCCTTCGCCTGGTTGTAGAGTAACGGGTCTAACGTGAACTGAAATGAGCGTCTCTCTCTCTCTGTGACTGCGCTTTGTTGAGTCCAGTCCTGCATTGACTTCACATGGCCACGATGTCACACTCAATGGGATAACACTCAAAGCTCCGCACAGATAGATTCAAGAATCCATTACTGTAATGCAAAAAAAAGTGTAAGGTGGTAACAGAAGGTCCAGGCAATTTTGTTTTCACTCGTGTTGATAGATTCACTGCCACCCCCGCCCCTCCCCGTCACCACCCCTCCCCCAACTTCATTGAAATAATAGTACGTGAATAATGCTTCATTAATAATGCAGCAGTGATGATACTATATTGATAATACTACGTTAATAAAACTGCATTCATAATACTACGGTAATAACACTACGTTAATACTACTACATTAATCATGCTCCATTAATAATGCTTCATTAATAATAGCAGATTAAAAATACTATTACATTAAGGGACCGTGCATATGTGTCTGTGTGTGTGTACAAGACCTGATTAAACAAACAAACTAAAATAAATTACCTTTGTTACGAACGCCGCCTTACAATAGAGGAAAAGTGAGCTCACATGTCATGCACTTGTGCTTCTCCAGAGCAGTGAGACGGAAGGTGTTGAAGGAGGGAGATTCATCACACAGGAAGGGGCACTGCCTGAAATTGCATCCTTTCATATATTTTTTCTTTCTGTTATAACACAGTGAGGGTGTTGAACTCGGTGGGTTTATTTTTACGTGTATTTGCAGCTTCATTCATTGGAGTCGTTTACTCTAAGAACAGGGTCCATGCACTCGAATGAGAAGTGTGGAAATGCGATGAGCATTTCAAGTCTAATGCTTGTGCAGGGCAGATATTTGTGACTCTTCGTGCGGGTGAAATGCCATCAGGACTTCATCTGCTTCACAACTCAAGGAACTTTGAGATCCTTCAACAAACTCCGGGATAAGAAGGCTCAGCTAATAGAGTCTCGCACCTTTTTCAAGGCGCTTTCCTCCTCCCACCCATCTTAAAATACGCTGCCAAGCTTAGCAGTGTTCATTAGGACGCTGTCTTTCCGACAGCTCTGTTTCTTCACCTGAGGACGGCTGCTTGCGTTGTGGCCGAAACATCGTGAGAATTTTATTGTTTGATTTTTTTATAATTGTATTATTTCCCTTCTACGTGACTTTACCGAAAGAACCAAGAATGTCAAAGAAAGCAGATCACGAACATCCGAACCAAGGCTCTACATTTACGCGCGCGCGCGTTCTAACGTGAAACTATTACTGGCCGCAAATTCTACACTATTATTGCTGACTTATTTTCATAGCTGCCTCTGGGTTTTTGAGATATTATTTTCCTTAATTTTATTACCCCTCTAAACGGCCGGCTCGCGGTAGAGGGACGGTGATTCGATGCGCTCTGTTCACCCAACACGTGTGTGAGCACATGCAAAACAAAGACAAAGGCCCCCGTATAGCCCGGGCAACTGCTGGGGCAAGTGCCGTCAGCAAGCACATGTAAAGGCGCGGCGCACGTGTGACGTGGTGTGGTTAGGTTTGAAGCGCAGTAGCGCTCTAACCACTACACGACTGCTCCACCAAAGCTCACAGTGTGCATACCGCGAACACTCCAGCTCCCCACAAAGACAAAGTTCCCCCGTATAGCCTGAACAGACTGTTGGGGCAAGTGCTGTTAGCGAGCACCTATGAAGGCCGGCACGGCACACGAGGGGTTGGGTGGCCAGTACCACGCCCGGCCGCCTTTGTCTCCCCAGTGGCGATGTTAACACACCGCACCAGGTACTCGTTTTTTAGGCTGAGTCGACCCAGAGGAGGCCCATGACCGGCTCAGATAATCGTCACTGGTGTTGGCCGTGAGCGGGAATGGAACCCGGGTCGCCGGGTTCATAGCGCAGTGCGCTAACCGCTACACCACCGCAGACAGACACCCACACAGACACCCATACAGACACCCACACAGACACACACACAGACACACACAGACACACACACAGACACACACAGACGCTGTCTATGAACCCCCCCCCCCCACCAGGGGATTGCTCACACGTGCCAGGAGTGCGCTTGCCGTGGAGAGAGCCCGCGGGGCATCTAATCCAATCTTAGCCATTAACCTCTTCCATCTGAAGTTGCAGGGGCCGTGCTGTTTGCTCGCAGCCTCTCATCACCCCCTCCCCGCCTCCCTCATCCCTTCCTGCCCCCCCCACACCCACCCCAAGTAGCCCCGTCAACAACCCCAACACAAAGATTCACCCCCCCCCCCACCCCCGACTCGGTATAGCCTCAACAGACTGTTGGGGCAAGTGCTGCTAGCGAGTTGCGAACTACGAAGGCCGCCACTGTGGCACACGACTTGCAGAGGGAGGGAGGGAGGGAGGGGGGGGGCACTAGCCCCACGCCCGGCCGCCTTTGTCTCCCCCACAGTGGCGATGTTCACGCACCGCGGTGGGTGCTCATTTCGAGGCTGCTGCACTCCCCTGCTGGGCGGCGTTTGCCGCCGTCGCTGCGTTAGGGGCGAGGGTGGCCTCGGTTGGCGCTTCCCGTGCCGATGTGGCCATGCCCATGTGCAGGTTGCGTGCCCATAGACGCAGGACTGACTGCATGGCGCAGCTTTTCACGATCAACGTGAAGGGTGATGCTGATGGTGGTGGTGGCGATGATGTTGAAGGCCCGTGGAGCGGTTAGCTACGAAACCCGGCGACTCGAGTTCGACTCCCGCTCACGGCCACCAACACCAATGAGGATGATCTGAACCGGTCCCCCGCTAGGTCGACTCAGCCTCAAATGAGTACCTGGTTTCGAGGTGTGGTAAACATCGCCACTCGGGCGATAAAGGCGGCCGGGCGTGGCGCTGGCCACCCACCCCCTCGTGTGCCGTCACGGGTGCAACTCGCAAACGGCACTTGCCCCGTAAGTTTGATGTCGAGGCTATACGGGGGGTCGTTGTGTTTGTCATTAACGGGAAAGGGAACGCGACGGGGTGATTTTTTTTTACCTGCACGTGAGGTTGAGGGATTTGTTGACGTCGATCACAAGTTCTGGAGATGTGACGCTCAGAAGAATGCAGTCCACCAGCGCTGTTGAGAGAGAGAGTGAGAGGGGTGCGAAAGAAGCGGAGATTAAAGGCGCGCATCTCGGAGTGAATTAAGAACGGCTGAAATAGTTGGAATCGGTCCAAGGAGGGTCTCAGCGTGTCGTACGTGCGGTTCGTGAGGTCAGCATCGGCACCGGGAGGGACCATTCCACCAACGCGAGCCATCACCCCCAACCGCAGTTGTTTAAGCTCAACAAACCCTGTCCATCTCCTTCGCGTAAAAAAAAAACGCCGTCGTAAAAACTTGTTAACACAACACTGCTGTGTTGTGTAAGTGCAGGGGCTCCCATGCTGCGCTAGGAACCCAGCCACCTGAGTTCCATTGCCTGAGTTTTGTTAATCAAAACCAGTCCTGCACACCCAAAAACCAAGACTTGTTTTCAACCTTCAGCGACCAGCGTGGTGAATTATGGTAAAAAAAATAAAACCACGTCACAGGCATGGTGTGGGAATTACTTCATCAAAGCTGTGGATGGGCAAAGGATGAACTTGTATTATTATGCTGTTTTAAAACAGCATCTTGTTTAACGTGTTGTGCGACCGTTGGTTGTTCCCTTGTATATGTCTCCCTTACAAATATGGGCCGATTATTTATCTAAATGGGCCTTCGCCTGGTTGTGGAGTAACGGGTCTAACGTGAACTGAAATGAGCGTCTCTCTCTCTCTGACTGCGCTTTGTTGAGTCCAGTCCTGCATTGCCTTCACATGGCCACGATATCACACTCAATGGGATAACACTCAAAGCTCCGCACAGATAGATTCAAGAATCCATTACTGTAATGCAAAAAAAAGTGTAAGGTGGTAACAGAAGGACCAGGCAATTTTGTTTTCACTCATGTTGATAGATTCACTGCCACTGTCTAAATGTAAAACAATCACAATATAGTAATTGTGTAAATCCACTGCTGGATGAAGGCCTTCCCAAGCTATATCAGTCATGGGGATTGTTTGACCATACTTCACCACGCTGGTCAGTGTGAAATGGTAGGAATGGGAACAGGACCCGTTTCAGATATCACACGCTACTGATGTTGGCCGTGGCCCAGAATCTATCTCTGCTGGCTAAATTCATTGCACAAATACTCCACACAACTAAGATGCATCTCTGCAGAAACACATGCACTCATTAAAGTGTATACTGCATTACTCTGCATTGTTAAATCACGGTGTCGTTAGTAAAAAGGCGTGGCTGCTGGTGGTTTTAAATGTTCATTGTTGAATGTTAATATGTATATTATATGATGTATGCTGATGATTGGTTTTAGTTGGATCTCGCACGGTTTAAGTAACGGATATGTACATATTTATATCGATGCCAAAATTAGTTTTTAATCAATGTTAATAAACCAGTAATAAAGCCAGTAGAGGTGTGATAACGAAACACATCTATAAAAATAGGAACACTCCAGAACAAACGTTTCTGGCGTGTGTTTTATGTCACCAACTATGGCTGTGGGTAGGGCTTCATTTCATCTGGGTCTGCCTGGTTCAAGGACCCGGGAAATATGTCTGCTCCCAGCACACCACTTCCAGTACACGTCTAGCTGTGGCTGCGATTCTAAAACTATTTTATTTTTATTTTACCAGTTAAGGCCCACTGAGCTATATAGCTCTATTTCAGGAGCGACCTGGCCACAAATGATAGCTCAACGAAGCAGTCAAATACTCAAAACGCGTGATGTAGATTATAAATGTGGAGGAGAAAACCGGAGGACCGGGAAAAAAAATCGGCACGACCACGGGGAGAGAGACACGCAAACTCCAAATGTACAGCAGGTGTCAGGGGCGGGATCGAACCCACTACCTCCTGTATACCGGGCGAGGTAGTTAACATCTCGATACCGTGTGGCTTACTCCAATCTAGGAGGTGACGTGGAAAAATATGAAACTCCGTGATAAATTATAACATTGTAATATTACGTTATATTTTATTAATTTACTTGACTTAAATAATTTACAATGGTATCTTGCTGTTATTAATATTATTGTTATGGAAATTTAGAATCACAATTTCTAGGTGTTTTAAAATCAGATTGTGAGGTTCGGCAACCCACGGCTGAAATCTGATACCATCCTATAATTCAACTTTGTCCTGAATCAACACGGAGGAACCTTGCCCCAGGGTTTCAACAACTTGTTCTAAATCTTTGGCACGAAAAGAAACACCTTCATAAATGGAGAACATCCCACGCCGTCTTACGTGACAGGAAATTGTTATTTTTCTTGCACAGGTGCCAAGGATACAAAGTTTTGTATAAGCCGTGAATGATGACCCATGCCACACATTAGCGGTGTAGCAATTCATTGATGAATCGGATTGAAATCGATTCTTAAGCTCACACGACATGCATCATTATCACCTGTGTAATAATTAGTTTTTCATATTAATGTATCTTGTGCTTAATGGGTTCGCGTGAAACCCACTCCAGCCATTAAATCTTGCTCCATTCACCGCGATATGAGTTCGGTTGTTTAAACATCCGAATCACCACTGGCAGTCGTGACAAATGATTTAAACTTATCTGCAGCCACGTACGGAACGCGTGTAGGAAATGTCACTTCTTTTGAACGTTAAGCATTTGAACTCACAAAAACAACAGCCTGTCATTTTATATTTCATCAGGCGACTAGCCATCTACATTACTGTATCGAGACACACAGTACCATCGTACAAGCAAAACAACTCAGTGGATTAGATGATTAAATACCGAACAGTACTATAGAATAAACAATGAAAACGACGCAAAACTACTCGGGATTTCAGCGACTGCATTTTATGTCCATGACGCACTTTAATTTCCGTTTCAAAACACTCGAGTGGATCGGCTGCCGGTACGAGCTGGCATGACGAAGAGGTGAATCAGAAATGAAGCTGGGAGAGAAGAGGGAGATGAAGATGGCTACACCGTTCATTTGTGTCCGTGATCTCAAGGGATGGTGCCGTGGTGTCATGGTGAGCATGCTGGGTGTGGCACAGTAGGAATGGACGACTCTTTTAATAAGTCCTTATGTGCTGTGCAGTACATCAACGCACGTGTGTCCACCAGCATGTGATGACTGAGTTGGGTCTGTGGGGGGGGGGGGGGGGCTGGCAGGATTAATGATTAATCGGACGTGTACACCAGTCACGTGGTTAATGGCGACTCGGTGAAGATTTCTGTGTGTGACACCACGTGCTGTTGCGTTTTACAGATTATCACAATAAATGTGTTTGCCCTCGATTTGGAGCACCTGCCCACGTCCTTCATTTCGAGTGTGCAACATGAGCGTGCAATCTAACTCAGACCCAACTAAACTTTTTTTTATTTTACCAAGTAAGGCCCACTGAGCTATGTAGCTCTTTTTCTGAAGCTGCCTGGCCACAAATGATAGCCCAACGAAGTGGCGATTCACGTGGAAATGTATAGCAGCCAAATTGTACTCGAAACGCGTGATGTTGATTCAAAATGTGGAGGGAAAAACCGGAGGATCCGGAGAAAAATCCACTTGACCACGGGGAGAGAGAGACATGCAAACTCCAAATATACAGTAGTTTAGGTCGGGATTGAACCCACGACCTCCTGTATACCAGGCGAGGTAGTTAACATCTCTCCATCTCCAGGCGTGGCAGGTGAAAACGATAGGGCGGTTTAAACAATGGGGCGGTTTAAACAATGGGGCAAGTTGTTACATCCCCTCTCACCCGCCGCTCCACCGCCTCTATCCACCCAACATGATCCGTGGGTACTCCCCGACTATCTAGATTTGAAGCTTTCGTGACTGCAATGATTCATACTCTTAGTTCTTTCGGTAAAGTCACGTAGGTAAAAAAAATGAAATTATAATTAATAAAAATAAAACAATAAAAATCACGACGTTTCGGAGGCAACACAAGTCTCCGTCATCAGGTGGGACCGTCACAGCCAGATTTGCTGCATCAATATATACTCCCCGACTAAGTTGATCTGGAGATTGTGGTCGGTGGAGTGTAGTGTGCATACTCCCACTTCTTCCAAAACATCTGACCAGTGTGGAAGATTAGGCCAAAATTCCCTCAGGAGCTTTCTAGTGGCAGAGGCCCTTCCGGCAGCAGGGGCGTGAGCAAGCATTTGCTGGCCTACACCTTTATCTCAAGGTCTCCTGCTCACAAAGATTAGAAATAGTGTGTGGCATCGCGGGCAGAGATTAACTTTCATTGTTAAATGTGTTTCACTTAGTTGGAGTCGACGACAAATCTAAGGGAGGGAATTTGCTATAGTTTATTCATGTTTTTCTTTTTTTTCTGCCGGGGAGTGAATTGTACTCTTTGGGATTTTGGCCACCCAACCAGGGCTAAGCGTTGTTTGTGTTTTATTTTTTTCAAGGCAGAAAACGGTGGCGCAGTGGTTAGTTGCACCGTGCTACTGAATCTCTCGCCCTCAGCTCGATTCCCAGCCACAGGGCGTGGTACTAACAACACAACCCCTCGTATGCCGTGCCAGCATTAGTAGGGCGCTCGCTAACAGCACTCACTCCAACAGGCTGCATGTCTCTAGCAGGGAATCTTTGTGTCCTTTTTTATTTCAAGAAAACAAAAAGTAGTACCGGTACAACAATGATCCAGGAAAGTTTAATGAGACTCAATTCGCCCTCAGTTGCTTTTGTGGGGCTTGCATCAGGTTTGGAATTGTTGCACATTGAGGCGTGGGCGGCTTCGTCGGAAGACGAGCTGTGAGAATGGATCGCCGATGCAGAGTGGCTGCGTCCGTGTGGGAGCCGTAAATCCGTCCTTCGAGGCAAGCTCCTCACACCACAGCCCATGCATCTTCTGGGTCCTTTATCTGACATTCATTTTCTCCACGTGGCCTTCTTTTTGTTCTTCTTCTCCAGGAGGCACACACTAATGCACGCCTTTGACGTGGACCCACCATCTAAGAGAGAGCCCCCCGTGATTTTATCCTGCGTAAGTTGAGCGATGGGAGCATGAACCGCCTTCAGAGTGACATCGCTTTAATTTCTTTATTT